AGGCAGCCAATGCAAGCGCAGCTATGGGTCTTGACAATCGGAACTCACGAAAAATCAGCAAAAAAGTTGTCCATGATAGCAGTGGATCAGGTGAAAGTAGTGAGGTGAGATCTTTATATTTGTTTTGTCCTGTTTATATTTCATTAGCAGTGGTACAGGACAAAAGTATGACCTCGCTGTTAGAAGTTGCAGTAAATCAACAAGTGAGAAGTATTTTGGGACCTCATACTCCTGAATATTTCACAGAGGGAACCATTTATATGATTGTGCACTATGCTTCCTTAGTTGTGAAAACTACATGTATTTGTCATGGATGGATTTCAAACTGACAAATTGCAAAAAAAAAATGTGTCGTGGATAATAGTTGGTTTACAGTGTTCCTTTAAAGAGGGTTCATAATAAATACAAATGTGTCTAAGTGTACTCTCATTTAATATGCTCACATTTGTCAACAAAATATGTTAGAACATTTGTGTTCAAATGATTGAAGCTATTTTTCTTTTAATATCTAGGATGAAGAAATTAAACCTAGACCCAAGAAAAGGAAAAAAGCCATACCTGTGGAGGAAGATAGTGATTGAACAATACCTTTGGTCAGAGTTAATGATCAAACGATACCATAGAAGATAATGATCAAACAATACATTTGATGGCACAAAGTGATTGAACAATACCTTTTATGGTACCTAGTAATACAACAATCAAAATCAATGCAAATCAAACTGAAAGACAGTCTAGAATGTGACTGTCATCCCCAAACTTTATAGTGCTCTTGTCAGTTGTCAGGTTAACGTTGGGCCGTTGAGGAACCTGAAGGACAATATGGAAACAGAGAAGACAGTGTTTTATTATGAAGTCTTTCATTTTACCAGGATGTGAGCAATCTGTTTTATCTGTGGTAGGAACTTGGAATCTCATCATCCAAATAATTGTGCTTTCCAATAAAATCAGTTGATGCCAAAGGGCATTTCCAAAGACATTATTGTGTAAAAGGAGTTTTAGCTGAGGTGTATGTGTCTACATGACATGTGTCTGAGGGACATCAACAAATGTGATGAGTGTCTGCAACTCAACAGATGTGATGCATTTTCAGTTGACATCTAAATCTGTGATTTGTTTCTTGGAGACAACAACAAATATCATTAGTCACGACATCATTGGAAAATGTGTGTTGTGACAACATCAACAAGTGAACTGATCAGTGAAGGACGACAGTTCTACTTGCACCCCCTGAAGCCTGAGTATGACGGGCAGCAGTGCTACATGGCTCACCAGAACATTTACAGGCAGCACACCTGTTTTAGCTTGCCTGAACCTCGATAGGCAGCACAGTGTGTATCCTGATTTTTTTTTTATCTCTCGTCAGACGAGATCAGTTTTAGAGATGACTGTGATCTACACAATTTATAGCATGTGTGAGATGACATTCATCTGTCTTTAAATTTCATTGTATATGACGTCCAATTTTGTTACATGATACAGCATATTAAAAATATCTAAATCCGGATTTGTTGTTTTCAAAAATTTATTTTAAAAGTTGACTTACTAGCATTATCCAGTAATTGTGTGGTTAGTATGTAATGCATGGCTTCCCATTACCTAAGGTTAGTTGGTTAACCCATAAGCTTGACAGCTATAGCACTGAACTGGTATGCCAGAGGTCCGGGTTCAAATCCAAGCAGAGGCACAAACCTGTCTCTGTTGTTGTTCCAGAACTAAAATAAAGTTCAGTATACAGTGGTTATGGGTCCATCTTTCCCTTTATCACAACTCCAACATATCCTTAAGATACCAAAAAAATTCTCCAACATATCCTTAAGATACCAAAAAAATTCTCCAACATATCCTAAGATACCAAAAAAATTCTTATTGCATATGATTGGCTTGTCATGAAGATGAAGATATGTCTTAAGGTTTTGGAGATTGGAATTTAGGCCCAGGGGGCATAAAAAATTGTGGTTTAAAAATGTCACTGGAACACCTCCAGTTTGAGTATTAAAAAAGAGAGGTTCTACATTTGATTGATTATGTCATGTAGATGGGCAATAGATTGTCCCCAAGCACATAAAAAAAAATTAAACCTCAAAAAAAAAGCAGGACCATGATTAGTTGTATTAATCATAATATGCATGCATCCTCTGCAGACTCATGTTTGTTTAAATCATGGGCCCTGTGTGTAGCCACAATACAAGATCAAAATTTGACATGGGAAGACATATCTTTTCAAGAACAGCAGGGCAATAATTGATCATAGGAGTATGCAAGCCTCCTCGGGTAACGTAGATGCAAATTTGATCAAATCAAGATTGTGGGGATCAAAGTTTTGCACAAAAATTTATTGAAAAACAAAATCTACTCAAGAACAGGGCCATAATAAGTTGCATTAAAATGCAGCTAGCACCCTCAAGTACAATAAATGTAGTACAGATGTAAGTTTGCTCAAATCATGTCCCCCAGAGGTAGAGTGGGGCCACAATAATGGATCAGAATGTTAGATGGAAATACTGTATGTGGAAGAAAATTATTTAAATCTCTTCAAAAATCACTGAGCCATAAGCAGACATTCTCAAGTTGTCTGGATTCATGTTTCCTTCTCAAATTATAGACCCTTAGGTAGGGTGGAGCTAAAATTTGGAATCAGATGTATACAGGAAAAAAATCTCTGTAACAGCAAGACCATGATAGTCAATGGATACTGGAGCATCTTGTGTGGATTCAAGTTTGTTTAGTCATGACCCCTTGGTGTCAGGGTAGAGTCATAATATGGGGTTAAGATTTTCATGTGAATAAAGAAAGGAAACAAGGTATATTTGTGAAAACACTGATGCCCCTGGATAACAGCTCATGGTCAAGGGTAAAAATTCTCAAATGCATGTCAAACTCCAAGGTCAAGAGAGGTCAAAAAATGTTGGTACCCAAAGAAAGGTGTGGTCACAAGGAAAACACATGTGAAATGAAACCCTTGCACCATCCTCAAATATATTGATACCAAAGGGAAGGTCTTGTCACAAAGAAAACACATGAAATATGAAAGCCTAGCACCAACCATTCAAATGTAACAGGAAAGAAGAAAATGTATGGCTGGACAGGGAATCAAACCTGGTACCCCTGCATCACTAGTCAGGTGCTCTACCGACTGAGCTACCTAGGCCGATATCCACAGCCCAAACCATTACATTCCTCCCTCCTTAATTTGTCTTTGCCCTCGAAGACACAACCTAAGTTCTTATTTGCCCCTGGCAGGACTTTCACCTGCAAGTCCAGGGGAGGTCAACAGCACCAAATCTGTAACAGGAAAGGAGGAAATGTATGGCTGGACAGGGAATCGAACCTGGAACCCCTGCATCACTAGTCAGGTGCTCTATCGACTGAGCTACCTAGGCCAATATCCATGGCCCAAACCATTACATTCCTCCCTCCTTAATTTGTCTTCGCCCTGGAAGACACAACCTAGGTTCTTATTTGCCCCTGGCAGGACTTTCACCTGCAAGTCCAGAGGTGGTCAATGTCACCAAATCTGTAACAGGAAAGGAGAAAATGCATGGCTGGACTGGGAATCGAACCCAGGTCCCCTGCATCACTAGTCAGGTGCTCTACCAACTGAGCTACCCAGGCCAATATCCACGGCCCAAACCATTACACAAAAATTATTGCCAAGGTTTAATAGCTTTTTGTTTGTAATTCAAACTCCAAGGTACAGGTCAAAAGGTCACAAATCTTGATATCCAAGGGAAGGTCTTGTCACAAGGAATACACATGAGAAATGAAAGCCCTAGCACCAACCATTCAAAAGTTATGGCAAAGGTCAGTTTTTCAGAAGTTGGTCAACCTCCAAAGTAAAGGTCAGAAATCATGGTATTCAAGGGATGGCCTTGTCACATAGAATACAAATGAGAAATGAAAGCCCTAGCACCCACCGTTCAAAAGTTATGGCCAAGTTTAAAGTTTTTCAAAAGTTGGTTAAACTCTAAGGTCAAAAAGTCACAAATGTTGGTATCTAAAAGGAAGGTCTTATCACAAGGAATACACTTGTGAAGTATGAAAGCTTTAGCACTTTCCATTCAAAAGTTATGGCCAAGGTTAAAGTTTGGTAAATTTTGGAAAAGTGGGTCAAGTTCCAATGTCAAAAGGTCAAATATATTGGCACCCAAAGAAAGGCATTGTCATAAGGAATATACATGTAAATATGAAAGTCTTAGCCCCTTTCAATCAAAAGTTATTTGCAAAATTAAAGTTTTTGCAGACAAGCAGACAGATGAACAGATCAAATTCTATATGCCCACAAATCCTCTATTATAGGGGCATAAATACACAATTTGTACATAAATGCTGGGGAATTTTACTTTTGTTTACAAGTTTTTCACTTTTGAGTACATTTCTTTGTAATTCTGAGGTGAAAAGCTTGAGGAAATATACTTCTGAGCTTCATGATTAGATCATTTCCTTTCAAAGGATTTTTTTTTCTTTTACAAAAACAGATTCTCCCTAATTACACCCTTCTGCCATTTTTTTCTTGTCCATAGCCCTAAGCATAGATATACCATTTTATGTGAAAGCCATTACCTTGTATCTCAAGGATTCAGGTAACAACTAAGGACAGAATCATAGCCATGGGTTTCCATATTGTAGTAGTCCAAATTCAACCAAGATGAACCCTGACAAAATCAAATATGTCTTCTCTCTGATGGGGAACACAGACATGTAAATATCATTTGTGTACATGTGTGAAAGTGTTTGGAATTTAATCCCAAGTCTAATATCAACCAGCAGGTGTGGAAATCACATAGGAATAGCCTTTTTGGACTTGACTATTCACTGCATCTAAATACCTCTTGGAGGCTCTTCAAGAGCAATACATTTTTAATCTAATCTAATTTGTTGATACCGGTACTAGAACAATCCTACCTACCCCCATCCCAACTCTCAATAGTAAACTCTGCAACTTTGTTAGCATGACATCATTTGTACTGATATTTCTATTTAACAAATAAAACAAAACATTTATTCATACTTGTAGAAATGTGTTTATTATTAGCCTATGTATACAGAAAATGGCTGTACCATAAAGTGTCCGCAACAGTTTTCCTGAACACAGAATTCATCAAAAGCAAGATGCATGACACAAAAGAATCATTACAGAAAGTGAACCCCCCATTGATCAGTAATACATACACAAGTTTTTCTTTTTTAATCTTAAGACAACAAAAGGAGTAAGAGAGAGAGAGAAGAGAAGAGTTTAGATTTGTTAATGACTACACTAGACTATGTATAATCCCTTAAATGTCCTCAAGCACATTACATAGTTGTATAATTCTGATTTACAATACACACACACATTAAAACATATCATACAACCTGATCAGGACTACAGGACTGGCATACAATGGGGGACTATGTACAAAATGTCAGCACCACACCCACTCTCTGTCTGCAAAAATGTCACGTTTTGTTCATGTTCCAATCATGCAGGAGGGCAGGTTTGTTATTGCAGTGTGGAAAATAATAACCACTTTACTCAGAATATGGAAGTCCAACATTGAATGTTAGCTTGGAAAAAATCTCTATATTATAATATTGTGAATCTTGTACAAAATTCAGTAAAGCCAAAAACTATGCCAGTAAAATGGTTTCAGGAAAACTACATAGCACTAATTTACAAATAATTTGTATTGCTCTATAAAATCTGGGTTTTTGGCAACCTGTGTTTTGTGTAACTTGTAATGTGTTGGGGCATATAGATGTATGTAAAATTCACCGTTCTATTTCTGCCTATAATTCCTCAATGTTGATGTAGTTATAAATCTAAATGGGTAGACATATATTAAACTTGGTAAAATTATATAATACAATCTTCTTTATTGGTACTTGTAACAATTGCCCATAATTAATGATAAATACTGCCATTAATGTTACATGAACCACCTTTCTACAGTCTGAATGAGGATGGAAATTAACATAATTAATAACACAATAAACATCCACCTCGCTCTTCACAAACACACTGGCAATGGTCTCACCTACCTACGTACATGTAGGTGACCCGCCAATGGCAATCCACCTAGCTACACCACCCTCGTAAGGTAGACAGATGCCATAATTTACAGTGATATGAACTGAATAATTCACACTCATACATTTACACACTCTTCTGTCAAATAAAACTCATTTTTATATTACATAATTATTGTTCTTGTTATAAATAATTTCATAATAAATACACTGTTAAATTTACATGTAAGATAGTTGATATAAAAATTTTATCTGCAGAAGAAAAATATCACAAAGAAACTGCATGGTAAACAGTGGGCATGAATGTCTGTAAGCCATATACATAATGAGAGTAAAGTACAAAACTTTCCCCGAGAAAAATCCTTCAATGCAACAATGCTCTTTTGCATTTGTACTTGAGTTACAGAACTTGATAATAAACAAAAAATATTGTCTATAGCATGAAAATAAATCCAATAAGAAAAATACACAAGAACTCTTTAAATATTGGAGATACAAAGAGATATCTCAACAGATATGCTCAGTTTCATCTCTTGTTTAAGAATCATGCTGGTACGAATTCCATTTACAAGCTTTCACAGTTTATCACACAAGCTGGCTGCCACGCTGGCCCATACCGTTGGCCATATAAAGCAACAAAGTATCACCCTATTTTTTCCCTCACAGCTTCAACACTTTGGCAGAACTGATTTGTGTAGAGTAAACAAAGGATCACAATGGCTCTGAGAAAATTCTCCGTCCTCTGATATCGGTATAGCTGAATATATTTGATTATTTGTATCAGAAGAGCTCCAGTGGCTGACACTGATTATGAAGGATGATTAACTAGTTCCCGTATAATTTCTTGTCTCTATGTCGCTCTTCTGTCAGACGAATACCTTAGCGAGGGCATCAGCACCAGCACTGGCTATATACGGCTTTGACGGGTGAAATGCCACATCGTGTATTGACTCTTCAAATTTCTTCCTATGGGCGGTTATTTCTTGTACACAGGTTTTACTATCTAGGTTCCACAGTCTTATTGAACAATCATGACCTATAATGGGAAAAGTCATAAATATTCAAATATCTGATCCAGACCATCATATCAGTTAAGTTTTCTTGAAAGCTTTTATTGTAAAGTGTTCTATTATTAGTGGACATGATGGGTAGCATAACATAGTACAACACAAGATCAACCTCATATTTTAAAGTTCTATCAATACTTACTTCCAGATAATAAGTATAACCCATTGGGATCTACAGCTAAACTTGACACAGCATTTAAATGTGCCACCATGGAGTGTATCAGTTTTCCTGTGAAAAAAAAATCAATTGAGCTAAATTTTATCTACAGTTTGAAACCCTGTAATCTAACAGGTTTGTAACACTGTAAACTAATAGGTTTGTAATTAGATCTGGAGCTAAAGCTGTCATTACGGACACTGACCTGTGGTGTTGTCAAAGAACCTAATGTTGCGATCCTCGTGTGCCGTAATCGTGACGGGGAGGGTGGGGTGATTTACCACACAGTTTATCTGGTTATTACTCCCATCTTCTGAAAACATCAGAAATTGAAGTAAATTGCAAGAAATGTCAAAATTTACTGCATGTTCAATTCATTCTTTACCAGTAATGTTATTTTTGTGTACTGTGAAATCACCCAATTTCCATGGGGTTTAATTTTCATGAAATAAAGAGACCCATGAATTCATAACCTCCATGAAATGTTAATATTTTTGACAACCAACCACAAAATCAAATCCCCATGACCATTTTTTTTCCTCAAACCATATACATGAAAATTTGAACCCTTAAAAATAAGAGAAAAAAGTAATTTTACAATTGTAAACTATACACATTTCTAAATCATGCTTGACTAAACAGGCAGCTATATCGTACACTGGGATATAAATTCTGTACCTGAGGCTGATTTGGTGTCGATACAGAGCACCTGCTTGGCTGTCTCTATATCATAAATATAAGTATTTGATGATGAGTAGGAAGCCACCATTTGGCTTGGATCACATCTAACAAAATCTACTGAAGTTGGCACACCATCAGCTGTAAACACCAAAGAATTTGATTTAGCACCTGTATTTTAAATGGCTGAATCTGCGGACTTATTTGAAGATCTACATTAACGTACCCTCCTCTGCTGTGTAGCTCTGTAGGAGAGGTGGTTTCTGCCCCGGACTCCAGAGGCGCACCGTGCCGTCCGCGGAACACGATAGTAGCTGCATCTTAGAACTGTGTACAGACAACCCCCAGATTGCATTTGTATGGCCTTCTAATGTACAATTTAAAACACTTGGATCTGCAACATGACAAAAAGAAATATAGCTATAGTCAAACAACGTAATCATTTGAACCTTGAACTTGCCACTGAAGTGGAGAATTACTAACCGAAAGAATCATATGGGTCTATATTTGAGCTGGGTATATTCCAGCATCTGATTGTAGAATCTTGACCCCCACTGAAGCACTGTTCTCCAGTGGAGCTGACCGCTAGACATAACACCGGACCAATGTGTGCACGAAATGTGTAAACTGGTTCTACATCTAATGAAGTGGCTCTGAAATATCAACAGATTAACAGGATCACACACATACAGATATCACATGACTTACTAGTAACTATTGATATAATTTACAAATAATTGTGTGATTTCATCACAATCAGGACTTACTTTTTGGCAGGGACTGTTTTTTGGAGGTTCCATAATTTAAGGGTGTGGTCTTCTGAGGCCGTGATAAGAACTGGGTCCACAGGATGGAATGCTAATGCCCGCACCCCATCAAAGTGACTGAAACACAAAGATTTCAATCAATTGCTGAATTCACCAATCAAACTGCTTGATTCAAAAACATAAACCACGTCATCAAAGCTTACATACCTGCGTAGTGTATACTTGGCATTCCAGGTTTTCCTATAAACCTCCTTGGGAGATGATATCTGAAATAGTGATGTATAAATGAAGTACACATACACCCAGTAAGAGTGATACACATTACATACACTACTGTGTTGTCCTAGCAGAGTTTAGTGTAATAGTTATAAATTAGAAGTAAACATGAGCGGTAGACATCACAGTTACTACATCAATGTTCTGTATCCTCTCAATATTAAGATTCAATCATGTTTTTATAATTCATATTTTATTGTCAATTATCACAAAGTGTAACGTTGATAATAATACACCTCCCTGCCTGATTTATCATATACAATAGTAAGCTACAATATTCAGAACATTACCTGGTATTTTGATAGCACTATAGTATATAGTTCAGTAAATATTAATAGAAAACTGCATTCATATAATACATGACTGTCTCGTACATGAGCCTTCCTATAAATTCCACACAGAGAAAAGATCTGACCTCATAGTTTGCTTTATAAATCTTGATTACATGCTGAAAAGGATGGGTACACCACAGCAAAAATACAAGGAAGGTTGCTCATGTTGCAGAAAATGACAAACTACTCACTGTCAAACTGGGGGGAGGGGGAATTTCTGCTTATCAAAATGAAATTTTTTTTTAAATTTCTATTCAAGACAAAACATTTTTTTCCTTTAATTTTTGTGCCAAGACAAAATGCCTGATGATCACTGAATTTTTTTTTCTCATGTAAGCTGAAAATGTCATGGCCCCATTCTCCCCAAGGTAAATCAGAATTAAGTCAAGCTGAAAATATTCAATTTTTATGTCTCCAGACATCATACATGTACATGAATTTTGCATTCAGCTTTTAAATGCACTCTGAGGTTTCAATTTACACGTGCTGTATTTATAAAAGAACACCTATTTTCAAACTTGAACATTTGCCAACATTTTTGGTACAGTGTATTTACTACATACTGATACAATATTATGGCTATTTAGAGGTTTAACACAAAATACAAGTTAAAGGTCTTCCTGTACTTTTTTTTACCTGACATTTTATATTTAACTGACACTGACAACTATAGACTCTTCAGGATAAGAGTTGGTCTGAATATTTTGCATGTAAACTTTAAATAACAGTTTCAATTTCTGAACAGTACATGTATCAACTTTCAAAATGGAGGTTTCGGTTCTCTCTGACACTAGGCTCTCCTACAGGTGAAGGATCAGATGTGTGATACACTCAATTTCGTTGTTGATGCATGAATATTTTTTTAAGATGTAGTTGTTGAACTGATCCATGCATGATATGACAGAGAAAGTCAGAACTGTCATCAAGATTTCATGCTTTTGACACTTACCCCAAACAGCTAAGAAACAGATTCCATACATGTAATACTCATCAGTCTGGATATTAAGTTTTCTACTGTATGTATGCAATTATATGTGTTATTATATATGAATGAAAATATAGGTTTGAATTAATATTTCTTCATGTAATGTATCAATCTAGTTACCAGGGTTGACCGAATACTGTAATGTAGGAGCATGTTAATCAACAGACAAATAAAAATCTCCTACATTACATTCCTAAAATCAATACAGAATAACATTAACTCCGTCATTTAACATCATCTAAAATTGTCATTTTATAGAAGGGGGGGGAGGGGGGTGCTAAGAAAATATTTTCAATGAATATGTTACTTGTGGTGGCTAAACTTAGATTTGGACCAGGTAAGTTTGCATAAAGAACAAGTAGATAAACATCTCGACCGTCTACATTGCAAATTCAGAATTCTTTTTGAGTGACATCATACACAAAGGTTTTAAGAAAGTTACGGGGTTTTTTCAATTCCAAAATTTTCTTTACTGAATCTTGCTAAATTTTTCGTAATTTTAAGTACATTTTGCTTTGGAAGATGTGCAGCTCATGTTAGCTTATCTGCAAAATTTTTAAATTCTATAATCGGATTTATTTGTTTATGGAAATCAAAGATAGGCTTCTTGCACTCCAAGTTTTCCAAAGCAAACAGTATTTATTATTCCAATTACCCGGGTAGATTTCATTAAAAATGTGGAAATTTATGATTTGTGTCTGTTTATTACTTGTGGACTCTCTTTATAGTGTATTAACAATCAATACTGGTTTTGAGGTCTTAATTGTACAGTATCACTACTATCAAATGCGAGGCTAAATTTGGCCCCTACTATACCCTGTTCTTTGTCTGACAAATAATTTAACAAATGATTTCCTGCAAATCTATATCAAAGGGAAATGTCTCTGAGTGCTAGCTCTAAGAAGACATTGGAACAAGACAAAAGAGTTACAATGTTTACATTACGGTTTACTTACATCGTAATTGTTTTGATCGGCCTCGTTATTGACTGTTAGGTCTGCTAACTCTCCGAGATCTTCCAAACTTTCGTCGTCTGGATCAGTGCCAATCATCTGTTTCCGAGATTCAGATGGAAATGCAATGGATGTTCCTCCTTGGATACCTGATTAAGAAATCCATTTAAAACATCACAAACACTTGTCAATGACTGGCTTGGTATTGGTTAATCTACACAATGTAAGCCACAAATAAGCTCTGCTCGAATTACACTTCTACAAACAGATTTTACAGTTTCATTACTAATATTGATACTGCTTAATTTTTAACACTGGAGATGCTTTTCATATCTTTATATCAAATAAGCAAAAACACAAGTTAGGTAGACAAAATTTTTGTAGCAACAAACAAGACTTACACAGCAGTCTTATATTTGGTCAATATTTAGACAACATCAAAAGCAGAGAATGATGCAATGTAATATTTCGAACGACAAATTTTCAAATGCAGAGAAAGAAGTCTAAAATTGAACATGGTTTAACAAACGCTGAATCAGAATGCAGTGAAAAGTTAGTAATTTGGGGGATTTTCTGGGGGGAAGGAGAAAGAAGACCCTCCTCCACCTCTCCTGTCATGCCTACCCATCTCATCTGCATCCATCCCACTCGATCCTGGTGAGCCGGGGGAGTTACTTCCCCTCTGGGGACTTGAGGCAGCCCCACTCTGATAGGACGAGGATTGGGAGGAGAAAGCATCTTCATCTGATCCCAGATTGGCCAGCATTTGCTGCAAGGCTGATCGCTTTGGTCCTACAGTCACATAGTACTTTTAAAAATCACAATTATCTCCCCTTATATCTTTTTAAGTTCTCACTTATATAAACTTTATTTTATTTATTTTTGGCATCTTAGTATTTCCATATAGTTTACCTACAGCTAGTATTTATTTCACAAAGATATTCAATTGATATACAAGAAATAAACTAGTTAATGGTAAAAAGATTATAAATTAAATAATTCCTCATATAATTTTTTTTTTTTTTTTTGCTGCAGTGATCACTACTTTGAAATACATGTACTTTATCTACGTATACCCTAAAACCAAATAAAACAGAATGAAGAGTAGACTGTCTGACAATGGTTAAGGGCTGTCTCCAGAGGGGGGATGTGGGGAGAGATGATCAGTTATCTATTTCTGCTCATACAACATTTATTTTTTAATCATGCTGGATTGGTATATGAATTTTAATCTGATGTTCTGGATTAAAAAAAAACAACAGGTTTATCTTCATGCAGGGAAGGAACTTATGAATACTTAAAACATTTATTAAAAATCTAATTCAGTATAATGCTGTAAATTGGGTGCACAACATTTAGCTAGTATCAGTAGCATGCATAACCATTCACATCCATAGATATAAAATCTCTTGCTATGTATCCAGAATATCTGGACTTTTCCCCCAGATGCTTAAATCAGTTATTTCCCTAACATAATGTCATCAAAATTGTTTCCCTTGCAAAACATTTATGTTCATAATGGGAAAAAAGGCATTCATGCTAACTCAAAATCTCAAAGGGACAATATGGGACAGATTTCAAAAATATTTCCTCCATCAAACTAATTAGAGTGTAATTTCCTGTTTTAAATTTCCTGTTGTATCAGATTTTAAACTATCAGTGGTAAATTCCTGGCAGCATTTTAGGCTGGCAGACGTTTGATGAAACTTGATACCCTGTGGTCTTAATCTTCGCTGAGAGAATTTATCGGAACTTAATAAGACTTGAGATGACTTACTTGACTTAACGCCCTTTCTCTCCTTCTTATACTGGTCTTTAAGTCTATCTATAAGTCGCTGGTCCACGTCCCATTCGTCCTTATCATTTTGCACTGTGTAAAGCATACACCTATGTCAATCATTTAGTCTATCAGAGTGTCACTTGAGTTTGGAATCATATACCGTGCTATATGCATACATGTTAACCTCGGACTTGAGAGAGAATTTTTTCTTTTTTCTAAACCCTTCTATGTGTATATGTATCTGTTTTTATTGTTTATCCCTTACAGCTTCTGGAGTAAATATTTAGAAATATTGAATCCGGCTCACCCCTCCTCTCTTTTTTTTTTTTTTTTTTTTTTTTCATACATCAGGATAGTGGATCACCTCTGTTTTTGCTTTGTTTGTTTAGGTTTTTTTTTGGCAGCAATGACATTTTATTAAGTAAAGCAATTATCTAGCTGTGATTTCAAATCACAAAAGACATTGTGTTAGAACCAGCATTTAAATCCAAGCAAAAGTTAAGTGTTGTAAAGACTTAGTTCTTACAAGCAAGGAAAATGTAATGATATGGGATTTAGCTTAGAAAAATCTTTATGCCATTTATGAAATAAGAATTTACTTCTTAAAGATTTTTGGTATTTTTCGTGTAAGTATAGTATTTGGTGACAGAAGAAAATTTATCTAAAAGCAGTGGGTTGAATATTTTTATAAGGAAAAGCATCAAGGTTAACATGTATGTATATGGTGATCATTTCTATAGTTGACATGCTTGACAGTGAAAAACAAGACTATACAAACGAACTGACAGTGTATATATAACTCTTCAATCTAACCTTCATGACTGTGTAAGAGTGTGAAATATACATGTATATGTGTTTATATATTATTTAAGGTGTACACAAAACTGTGTGTACTACAATTTTTTCATGCATTTAAGATAATAGTATGTTGTAAACAACTTTAAATCCAACGTTCCTATTAAATATTGCATCTTTCAGCATTTTCTTCATTAACCTCTGCCTAATTCTATTTTATACATTTGAATCACTATCCATGCCTGTATCCACACCCCTATAGATCCTCCACTTTCTTTTTAGCCTCTGTATGACAGGAGAAGGTCGTGATCAGTAAGGAAATTCAAAACAAGGGTGAATATTAACAAAACAGTGACTAGTCACGAACACAAACGACAAAGTAATCCTTTCAAATCTGTCCTTAAACTTCCAAACTCAAGTAACGTTGTAACACTATTCAGAAAATATCAAAACATTTTTAAATAACAAATATGAATTGATTACTTTGACTGTGGAAACAATATGGAAAAAAAAATTAGGGAAAGATCTAGAATACACAATAACATCACTCAACTAAATACTACACATTGTAACACAGTGTCACCCTGCTGAGATTTCAGTCAGTGTGACAAAGGGAGAAAAAGTGTTATAGCTAACTCAACACCAACAAAGGACACATTACCCCACTCCGGTCCGTCACCGTGGCTCTGTGCCTCACCCGCTCCATTCTCTGCTTCCTCTACGAGGAAATCAAACTCGGCCAGGGCTTCCTCTGTCTCTGTGTCATCGTCGATCATCGCAATGTTGTCCACATTCTGCATCTATCAACATCACATGTAAATTGTCAACAATACAGGCCATTTATTAGTAATATACTGATATACATCTAGCAACACAATATTGTCATCAAGGCAGTCCTACGCCAACTTGATTGAACAATCATTTTGCATATCTGAGTTGTCTAACTTATTGCTATATTTGTACCTTTGGTCGTTTCTTTATGTGTTTGACTTCTCCTTCATCATCCCCAGCCAAGCCATCATCTTCATCACTGTAACAAACCAAAAATCTCACTGAAGTAATACCCTCTCATCTGTTCAATGCATAAAGCCTCTATTGTCAGTCTTAGAAGGAAATTAAGCTGGATATAAACATGCAGATTATTCTGAGCTTCGAAGTGCTAGGTACCTGAGATTATCTTCATCTTCGACGCCATCTTGACCAAGAAAGTCAAGAGTGGCCAAGACCGAAGCCTCGCTGTCAAGGAGGGCAGAATCGACAAGAGAAGCTGGCACTTTCTTCCCCCTGACAGAAAAAGTCAGTCATGCACAAAAGATAGCACAAGAAAACTTCATGATTATACTGGAAAATCAGGACAGTAGTTATACATTATAGAAACTATTGTTGAAAGTATTAATTTTCATCTACATTAAGAGATGACAGCTTTTAAAATTCAATACATGTATTGCAATGAAGAGAGTGGGATGATTAACATCAGTCACTTTAATGTAGTGTAACAGACTCTTTAGTAAAATGTAGAAATCATTAACTTGCTGTAAGAATCACATGCTAATAAGACTTACTGATCAAAGTATCATGTACAGAAGACAGCAAAGATATTAGAAGTAAAACAAGCTTCAAATTCATGATTTCAATTTATTTTAGAATTTATCAAGCATATTGATAATGCCTCCCTGACATCTCAATCCATATATATCTATAACCCTAAAAAAAATTTTCTCTCGATTTTTCCCCTTTCTTCACCCTGTTTGGAACTACGACCCTAAGTCTGTAACCTGATAGCATACCTGGCTTTCCCTTGATCATTGACCCGTTTATTGGACACATCTCCGTTCATCTGTACAATAGCAGGCTGGGCCCCCTCGGCTTCACTCTCCGCAGCGTGAGCCTGTAGGCCCAAAAGGGAGCGAACTCTGGCTGACCTCACATCAATAATTGTATCTGTGTAGCCAATCTCTTGTAGGTATCTAAACAGAAGAAAGATGCTTGTTACAATATATACAACTTGTCTCAGGTAGATTTTAGGTAAAAAGAAAAAAAGAAAACTTTAAGTTACAGCATGACATTTTACAATTGTCATGGCATAATCCATCACCTTACACTTTCATGTAAATTAGTTGAATCTGATTCGTCCAGAAACATTTGTTAAAACACTATTACCTGCTGAATGATGAAGCCACGCCCTCCAGCGTAGCAACAGTCAACATTGCTTGACGATGGGTGATAATCCAAAAAACAGTGATTGCTCAGAATTTATGCGCACAAGGTTCACTGTTATTTGTATTCGTGTAAAACATTCAGTATAATATAATTAGAGATGTCAATGAATAGTCAACTATTCGACTATCAGTCGAATGGACCGACGATCGAATAACAAAACGACATTCGAATAAATAAATTCAATAAAAGAGTGATAAAGAGAAGGAATTCTCATCCTTAAATTGAGAAACCGTCTTTCCTCAAACAGAGTCGATAAGTTAATTTTCCTCATTAAAGTCTGCTGACTTTACATGTAGAAAGTACAGTAATTAGAAATGTTTCATTTCCACGAGAATTATTTGTCAATTAATGTGTTGTTTTTGTAATAAAATTATCTCGCTATACTGCGCTTTCTTTGCAAAATTATTAATTAGACTTTATTTCATATCATGTACCCATTATAGCCGTGACATGTTTGGACACTACGATAATTATAAAATTAATATTAATATTCTTTTACATATTTCAAAGACAGAAAGTTTATTCAAAGATTTAACATTATCACAGACACCGTGTGTACCCCCCCCCCCCCCCAATCATTTTAATAAGCTTTAAATATATATATATCTATCATACTGTCATTTTTTTATGCTTATTTAAAAAACCAACTTTATTGATTGATTTATGAACACGATTGACGGGGAAATCATACATTTTGGAGAATTTAGCGGTCTATATTGAGTAAGTATAAACAAGCTATCCACATTTTAAGTCCATGTGAACATCTGTATGTAACATTTGATGTTACTATTTAATAAATTTAAGAAAAGGGGATTTGGGATTAAAAATGTCATGTACCAGTGAAGTTTGAAATAAAATTTTAGTTTCCAAAAAAAAGTTTTGAATATATTCGACTATCGTTCGAATAATCAATCAAATATTCGACTAAAGAAAATAAATATTCTGACATCCCTAAATATAATAAATATTGCATGTAGTTGAGTGTAACATTGAAAATTTTCACCCCTCAAAAACCATTGTCAACCTCGGCTGAGTCTCGGTTGACAATGGTTTTCTTGGGGTGAAAATTTTCAATGTTACACTCAACTACATGCAATATTTATATAATGGTTTATACTATTATTTTCAGGTGACAAACTCACTGTCTAAGAAGGTGTCTGCCTTGTCGCCATGACACATTCCCCGCGGACGGCAGTACTTCCCCATCTACACCCTCCTCTACAACAATCAATCAACATTTATTATCAAACATATATCCTCCTATATTGTACATGTTAATATTTCATGAATCTTCAATGTGCATTATTCTAAATACATGTATATTTTGAATAAAATTGGAATTTTACAGAGACAGCTCTGATGTTCTGTATTCTAAGCAAATGCATCCTTGGAATAAAAGAAAATCCAGACTGGAAATTTACTGAGACAGCTCTGATGATCTGAGAATTATGTACCTTCTTTCTTCTCCAAAGATGGGGGATTGAGATCTGAGAATTACACACTTTCCTTCTTCTCCAGTGAGGTTGGGGGGGGGGATAGATTTGAGAATTATGTACCAGGGTACCTTGGGGTGAGGGGGGAGGGAGAGATTTGAGAATTACGTACCAGGGTACCTTGGGGGAGGGGGAGGGAGAGGTTTGAGAATTACGTACCAGGGTACCTTCTTTCTACCCCCATAATGTGAGGTTTGAGATCTGAGAATTACATACCTTCTTTTTTCTCCACAGTGATGGGGGGTTTGAGATCTGAGAATTGAATGCCTTCTTTCTTCCCCCGTGATGGGGGGTTTGAGATCTGAGAATTAAATACCTTCTTTCTTCCCCCGTGATGGGGGGTTTGAGATCTGAGAATTACATACCTTCTTTTTTCTTCAGTGATGGGGGGTTTGAGATCTGAGAATTATTTACCTTCTTTCTTCCCCTGTGATGGGGGTTTGAGATGTGAGAATTACATACCTTCTTTCTTCCCCCGTGATGGGGGGGGGGGGGGGGGTTGAGATCTAAGAATTACTTACCTTCTTCTTTCTTTCTTCCCCTGTGATGGGGGGTTTGAGATCTGAGAACTACATACCTTCTTTTTTCTCCTGTTGGGGGGGGGGGGGGGGGGGGTTGAGATGTGAGAATTACATACCTTCTCTTTTCTCAAGTGATGGGGGTTTGAGATCTTCTTGATTGATTTCTGTTCCATATTTTAATTTATGATATTTGGCTCTGTAGAAAAAAAAAATATCATAAAGGCATGTTTTAGAGTAATTCCTATCATCTACTCTCACTGAATGCAGATATTTAAATTCTAAGATGTTTAGCTGTTTTCAAAAAATGTCATAAATTTTTAATTTAATCATGAAAAACCATTATAGATTATATAAATCTACACAATCTTACACTACATTTTTTTTCCAATTCAGTCAATACATTCAGATAAAAATCAGTTCAAACATTTGCCTGTCTTAGAAGAAGGGAGGAACGTATGGGAAAATAGTATGTTTCTATTTATAATCCTTCATGCAGTAAAACATGTTCAGTACAAATAATAAAGAACTGCCAAACTAACCTCTCTTGTTTGAGAGCAAACTCCAGCATCTTGATTCTTCTGACCAGGTCCTGCTTCAGATTCTCCTGTCCTTTCCTCTCTCCTTGGAGAAAAGCTATTCTTGCCTAATTAATAAACAATAAAATGAAATGATCTTCTCATCTTTAATAAGGTTTAGTAAGCATGGTTATGTTACCTAATTTTACTGCATAGCTACTTGCAGGCATTCTATAAATTGTAAATGAAAAAGTCTTAAACCTTCAATTGCCAATTAACTATTTTTCTATATCCAAAATGTGATAAAAGAATAACTGCCAATATTTAGTATCACAATTACCTCATGTTTATTTACCTCATTGTCACTCTTTTGTAGTAGAGTCTAGGAGCTATAAATCTCACGAGAGATTGTTTACACTAGGGACAATAAAAGATTGGAATAATAAGTATGTCAAAATTACTATGTATTTTCGAGGATTGCACTCAGCTAGATAAAAGATCATCTAATTTGGAATTTTTAGAAAAATTGTACTTCCAAAAGAAACGACTATCAAAAAGATATGAATGATTTAATTCAAAGAGTTGGATTTGCAGAAATTATCAAATAAGAATGTAACACAAGAGGACTAGCTCCACTTAAGTTTGGTTAGCAAAAGTTAGCATTTGTCATTGTTATACCCTTATAAGTATCTTTCTATATATTTATTACTAATAAAAAGTCCAACAAAAGAAATGTTAATTGCATTGGTCTAACAATTTTATTGTTGACCGGTCTGCCAGTCCAACATAAGAATTGTTAGACCGCAGCGTCACAGCTACGTCACAAGTAATTAATCATTGTTCAATATCAGCGACACAGAAATAGCCGAAGTTTAGAGCTCAAAGAGTTGTCGTTTGCTATATGAAAGAGTATGTTTTGTGATAAATAAATTTTATGATATAATAATTTTATTCTTTATTTTTTCATTCTCTCCTATTGTTTTATTGATTAAGCCAAATTTTTTCAAAGAAAGTAATTGATTATATATTGATTAAATCTGTTCAAATGTTTTAATTTAATTGTTCTATCTGAAGTTATAGACTGGGATTCGGGCAACATATGATTAGTTGGACCTGAAGGTGAAAATGTTGCCCTCATACCCAGTCAATAACTGTATATTGTTTGACAAGATATTTCATCAGCACTTCTTTCTTGTTTTGTCCTCAAAAAAATATATGATCAGACCTCCAGTATTCAACAGCACATTATCCCCTTTTCCTTCCTCCACTGTGAAAGAGTTATGTTATGTAATTGCTATATCAAGTATTTATTTTTCCATACCCAAAATATGACATAACAACATGCTTTTCTTTACACTTCACTACTATGCTATTTTTTCATTTTTATATATTTATTTCGTGAATATCTATTTTACATATTATTTATATAATACCTGTTTTACATGATGCAGACTGCTCTAATATCCAGTACAAAGAGTAATATACCTTCTTTAAAGTAATTAATTGACGTATTATTAATATAAACACTGATTTTTTGGAAATGTGTTGAAATTATCTTCATAACTTAGGACTTCTATTTAAGTTATAATTAATGTTCTGATGTTCAAACCAATGGCTGTGACTGCAGATACCCCTACCGTGAAAAACAAATAAATACATTTATTTACATGAGACTTAAGACTGAAGACTTATTTGATGTCATCATGGTTATGGCAACAAGTTTCTTCCTAAATAAAAATCGGTTGTTTATCTTCTATACAAATGCATTATTTTTCCTTTGTTTTCTTTAACTAGAAAAACAATGTCAAAAATTAGAAGTTAAATTCAATCACGTGGTGCTACAAGGACTTCAAATTTCTTTATTGCATAGTTTATTACAGGTATCTATTTCGATTTTTAACATTTTTTCTTCAGTTTCTACATTTTAAATTTCTTATCATTGTTCCACTTCCTGGTGCGTTACTCTTTTGATCAGGTAGATATGGATGCAAGATAAGACTGATAAATCCACATGTGGTACTGAGGCTGAAAGCCTCAGGTGAGTCATCCACATCCCCCGTCCTTGTCACCCTATGTCACCTTTCTTAACTTAATATATCGGAGAATTGAGGCCTATATCAAGATAAAATGTTTTTCTCTACACAGGTGTTCACAATGACCTCATTTTACATTGTTTGTTGAAAAAATGTCAAAAATGAAACCGCCATATTGAAATTAAAAATGGCGGACGTTAAACGATACACCATTGTTTATCTAATACTTTCATGACTTTAAATTGTCTTGCTCACCCAAATAACATAAAATGACCTTCATAATATATTAAATAAAGATTTGCAAGTCCATGTGACAAATAAACTATTTACTTGAAGCTCTGCACGCTCCACTTCCCATTGTGATCGTTCCATCTCAAAACGAGCCCATTCCGTTTGTAGAAAATGCAATATCCCTGGCATCGAATATTGCGGGCGTTGGCCTACATCATCTGCCTGTTGTTTTGTCATCATCCCCATTGCCCCTGACACTGGGCCTAGCTGTCCCGCGTGCTGAGATCCAGGGCCCTCTCCGTCATTCATTTTCTAAGTTTGGAAGCCATTACAGTATTTTTAGCATAGATGGCGCTGCAAGCTGACGTCATATTTTGTTTTCGGGCTTCTTTTTGACTGTTTATCATTTTTGAACGGAAATGCAGTTGTGTCCCGAATAACAAGAACCAACCCTTTAGCACAGTCACGGTCCACGGCGCCGGGTATACAACAAAGTTGGTACTTTGCTGTTTGATGTAACTTATATCAAACATTGTAAGTCAGAATTGTCTAATGATGTTTGAAACTTAAAGTTGCAAATCTTGGTTTGTTATATAGGAATATGACTAACGTTACGTAGCACAAGACCAGATAATGTCTTTTCATTTGTCTCTGACAGTCCAAACATGAAAAGTCAAATGATTGTTGTCATTTGGTTTTTTCCTTTAAGTACTCAGGCACCCTTTATACACTATTCCACCATCATGTTTAGTTACTAAACATTACAGTTTTAGTGTTTAATAATACAGTTAGAACTTGTCAAAAAAAAAAAACCAACAAACAAACAAACAACAAAAACAAACAAACTTAGATCTATTAATTAAAGGTAAATGTAAAATATTTACGGAAAATTTATATATATGACAGTTTTTAATATTCAATTATGGAGTGTTTAGAAGGGAGACATATCACAAATGATCAGGTCAGAGTATAGGGTTGTCACTGGAGGGCACAGGGGTTGGCATTTTCCTGAAAAACCCACTAGCCCAGGGGCTAATGATTAGTAATGAATTACTAACCAAAACCTCAAACTAACTAGCCCAACAATTTTTTTATGCCAAATGAAAACATAACAAATTAAAGTTTCAAAGTTGAAATGCTTTGGTGACAGAAACAAATTTTAATTAGTTTTTAGTAAAAAAAAAAAAAAAACCAGAATAGAAAAGCAAAAGTATAGCTGACGAGAAATTTTTTCTGTTCTGCTAGTCCGACGGACTATCATTACATTTAAATTATGGCTAGCCCGAGTCTTACAATGACTGGCCCCGGGCATCGGGATACTGTATATTTCAACCCCTGAGGGCACTTGTCCATAATTGTTTTATTATCCTGAAGAATCTAAATTCAATAAAATCAAGTAGAAAATACCAGTCAAACCTGTTGTGTTTTCCTACCCACTGCTCTGATTCCATACTTTAAAAAATATGTCAACAGACAACTTTAACATCACCTTTGGATTTTATTGTTCACTGATCCCACATATACATCGATTTTATATATGAATAAATACTAATACTAATAGTATCTCACTTTCATCTAAAGGGAGACAACATAGTTGTGACCCTGCATGGTCACTTGTGCTATTTCATTGTCATCTGAAGATTAGACCACTCGGAGCTCCTCGGGTGGCTCGTACCTCACACACTAACCTCGGATGTAAATGATGTTCTACTGCAGATACAGTCATATGATCTTATTTGAAATTCCTCCAAATGTTATTCCTTTAGAATCTGAGTTACTCTGTGGCACGCCCAACACTATGTTTTTGCTTTCAAAGACTACTAACATAAGGTTGTAATCAAAGCCAATATACAAGGAAGAATTAGACAAGTTAAAAAAAAACTTTTTGAAGAACTTTATGCAGAACGAAATATGAAATGAGTTACAAGGCAGTTTTTGGTGGAGAAATGTATCGATTTGATGCATATTTACCAATTACATCCAAGGTTTGTATGGGGCGTAGCGGAGTCAGCCGAGGATTGCTGATTGAAGGGAGACAACATAGTTGTCACCTTGCATGTGAGGGAGACATCACAAATTGTCTCTCTACATGCACGTGACATGCTCTAAACCAATCAGATTAACCATATTATTCTGTAGGATAATAATTATACTAAATGTCACATGCCTGTGTCTGCAGCACAACCTGTAGAATCCACATTGCTGTGTACAGAAGAAAAATGTTACAAAATTTTTATTAAAATACACTATTCCTTGTCTTGACAGTACCTCAGACAAAACATTTAACTAGCCTGTGATCTTAGACCAAATGTCATGATCCATTTCCTGATGGTGGTCAGTAAGCAGGGAAAACCCCGCATCAGCCGATTCTTTACACGCCAGGACAACCAGGGCTCCACTCAGAATGCTGTCATTAAGCTTTGTCTGAGGGATGGCAATCAGGTATCATTTAATTCCTTGTAATTCTCTAATATTGGATGGATATTAAATAATATCTCTGTCTGGAAAGTTTAATCTACTTGAGCTATCCCAAAAGTTTATAAAACTCAAGTTACTGTCAAACCTTGTTATCTCAAACTCGATGGAACATCTTTGGGACAAACTTAGAGATATCCCAGGATTCGAGATTTTGTGAAAGAGGGATGGGAGTGGGAGGGGGTAGTCACTCTCTCTCCCATGTCTGTATTTGTACTACTAACCAGCATTTCTGGTGTAAGGAGGTGGATAATCACTTTCTCCCAGGTCTGCCTTAGTACTAGCACTTCTGGTGAAAAAAAAGGGGGGGGGCAATTAATCTCTCCTAGGTCTACCTTAGTAACAGCACTTCTAATGAAAGGAGGGGGGGTCGTTCTCTCCAAGGTCTGCATTAGTAGGAGCAGTTTCCTGGGTTACCTTAGAACCAGCACTTCTGATGAGCAGTACTGGGGGTGGTGAGCACAATCATTTTCTCTCCCAGGTCTGCCTTAGTACCAGCACTTCTGATGAAACTGGGGCGGGGACCCTCTCCCTGATTTGCCTCAGAACCAGCACTTCTGGTGAAAAGAGTGGGGGGAGTCAATCTCTTTCAGGTTTGCCTCAGTGCTAGCATTTCTGGTGAAAGGGGTGGGGGGTGCAGGGGCAAACACTCTCTCCCAGGTCTGCTTTAGTACCAGCACTTTTGGTGAAAAGAGATGGGGAGATGAATCACTCTCACCTGCTAAAAAGTACCGGTACACATTGGGCATAGATAAATGATTTTATCGTTAAAAAGAGCATGAGGATGAAAGACCTGAGCCCACCAAGGGTCAAAATATGAGTATGCCCAATAAAATGGCCAAAGTGAAACTGAAGTTTTGACCAAATATTTTCTATGTTTTGTTATACAAATTATGAAATTCATCTTGCAATTTCTAGTAAAACAATGCCATACTGCCAAATCTTTCAAAGAAAAAGTAAAATAGATATTGAAAAAAGAAAAACAGTTACAGTATATAAAGCTTCGAGTCTATGCTATCTGTAATCAAAATGTCATTAATTTTTCATCTTCACTAGCCAAGGGTTTCTGATCCGCTACTCTCCTCACAAACCCAAGGGATTATAAGAAGAGACCCTTGGCTAGCAAAGATGTTAATTTTTTAGTTGAGGTTGTTTTTGAACCTCCGTGGGCTTATCTCTTTGAATTGAACTTTTATTGTATGTGAATACAATTTTTCTTTTGTCCATTTTGACAGGAGGGCTTTGTTAATTATGAAGACATTGTTCTTGTCTACAAGCTGTACGTCAATCTCTGGTTCATAGCAGGAGTTTCTCAGGACGAGGTACACAAGTCACTTTTACTAACTACCCAGAATTCATCACATGGTGTTTCCATGTATTTGAGTAACATTTTCACTTGACTTCCATTTTATTTTGGCAAACCTTTAACATTCATTTAAAATATATTGCATATAGTGCCTTATTTTTATATGTAAAAATTATGAAATAATATTCCTGAAATCCTTTAATCTTGTAGAATGAGCTGGCCATCTTGGAATTATTCCAGAATTTAGTAGAGACAATAAACGTATACTTTGGAAAAGTGGTAAATATTAAAATTTCTTGTAGCAAATACAGGGGACATCTGTTCCTCCTTTTAAAAATTGATTGGGGTCACACTCCTTTTCCCAGTTGAAAATTGAGAGATTGTTTAACTTGTTATGGTAAACCATCTTTCACTCATTTGCCTTTGCAAGTTTCATAAGGATGGGAAAATCATAAATGTTTGTCTCCATGAACAAGTAAATTCCTTCTACATGCATATCTTAAATATCTTGGAAAAAAGAATATTCATGTTTAAAAATAACCTAATCAGAATTTTTGAGAATGACTTTTACAATCTCTGATAACTTACATTTCTTAATGTTCAGACAGGAGACAGTGTGCACATTATTAATGCTTCAAAGATCATAAGAAAAATTAAAATAATCCTAAAAATCTTTTTCTTTTTTCAGACTGAAGTGGATGTATCCTTTTAAGAAGACAATATACTGTAAACATACTTTTTTCTGCAAGGTCATAATTCTGCAGTCACAATTTCTGTTCAATCTATGGTTAGAAAATTTCCCCGATTTCTTGGATTGCAGTTGTACATCTTTATTGCACTCTAAGTACGCTGTGACAAATTATCATGGAAAATTTGTGATTGTTTCCATTGCGTTAATAAATCCCAAGTTAGGTAAAAAGAATGTCTACAGTATAAACACACATAGAGATATGTGAAGCTTTCTCATACCATTACATTATTCAACCAGTTACCATTTTTTTAGCCATGACAAACACTGAATCATTTAACTTTACAGAAAAGGTTTTCTGAATAACATGCCGTTATATTACATACAAAATTTGAATTAACAGCTTTGTAATTAATAAAAAGTTAAGATTTGTATTGCACACTAAGTGCAAGGCCTGTAAAGTAAGAGTTCCTTGACACAGTGTAGATATTATTTAACATGGACCGTGTCTACATGATTATTGATGAGATGATAATAAATGGACACATTGCTGAGACGTGTCGAGGGAGAATTCTCGTGCCTCTACAGCTCATGGATGCTGCAAAGTAATGATGCTAACTGCTACCAAGTAACTAACCACTCTTGCCAAGAAACCATCCCTGTTGCTTAGTATGTTTAACTATCAGTAGAGCCAAGTTACGGCTAGTCCTGATTACTGTCAGTGCTGTTCAGTAACCATCAGTTACAGCTGGACATCAGTGCTGCGGAGTTACTACAAGTGGACGTTTTGGAGAGACATATTGAAGAGGGCAAAGCACATTTAGTCTACAGAAATATGTCCGGTGGAATCAGATGTGCATCTGTTGGTCATCCATGTTTATAGTGACAGATGTAGAGAGATGAAATGAAACTCCAAAAAAATTTCTAAACTTCTGAAATAAAAAAGGAAATCTATTTTTTTTTATTCACATTTTTGTAAGGCATCTGAGACAACCACAGAACTGATTATAAACCAGAACAAAATTCTTGTTTTCCTCAGTATTATTTCCAATGGAAATTGACTTGAATGGGTGGGATATCCTTTGATTTTAATTTCAATCTCTTTTTGTCCCCTGCTTTCATGAAAGCAACAGGTCATTATATCTCATTCATTTGTCAGTCTGGCTCAAAAACTTCATCCTTAGTCATAACTTTTAAATGAGAAAAGATAGACCTTTCCATATATACTATGATTTTTGACTCTTGACCGTGAAGTTTGACCTACTTTTCAAAAATTTTAATATTACTTTTACCTTGGTCATAACTTTTGAATGGGAAAGAGAAATGGCTTTCATATTTCACATGTGCATTACCTGTGAAAGACTTTTCCAAATACAATATGATTTTGACTGCATGACCTTGACCTTGAAGTTATCATTAGCTCTTGTCACAGGTAATGCACATGTCAAATATGAATGCCTTATCTTTCCTCATTCAGACGTTATAACCAATGTTAAATTTTTTGAAATTTACATCAAACTTGACCCCATGACCTTGACCTTCAAGTTCGACCTAGTTTCCAATAAAATTTAACATCGATGATAACTTCTGAGTAAGAAAAGATAGGGTGTTTGTATTTGGCATGTGCATTACCTGTGACAAGAAGTTTCACTATGTACTATGATTTTTAACCCATAACCTTGACTTGAAGTTTGACATAATTTTAAAAAAAAAATTAACATTTCTGATAACTTTTGAATGAGAGAAGATAGTGCATTACCTGTTTCAAGACCTTTCTGAATTTACTCTGGTTTTTGACCTCATGATCTTCACCTTAAAGTTAAAGCTCCAGTCTTTTTCAACTTTTTTTTACATTGGTAATAACTTTTGAAAGAGAGAAGATAGGATTTTCAAATTTTACATGTGCATTACCAATGATAACAGGTTTCAGAAACATTTTTCATGTTTGACTTCATGATCTTGACCTAGAAATTTGACCTACTTATCATAAAATTTAACTTGAATTTTAACATAACTATCAGGTCCGTAGAAAGGAGGAGGGGGCACATTTTTCTGAGCATTTTACTATAGTACACCATCCCCCTCCCCCCCCCCCCCCCCCCACACACTTTTGAAACTGTTGCTACAGGCCTGACTATTACTCTAGAAGAGATGGGGCTTCCATATTTTTTTCACATGTGCATTACTTGTGACAAGACTTTGGATTGATTTGACCTCATGACCTTGATCTTGAAGTTTGATGCATTTTGAAGAAGCTTTAATCTTTGTCATAACTTTTATAAATTCAGTAATTTATATTTTGTTTGTATTATGCACAGACAAGACAGGACACACAAACAAGACAGTTACAATATATGCCATAAATAATTGCATCCCAACCACTAAGACACCGAAAGCGGAGGACCACAATTCTTTGAATTTGCTTGTAGAGTTTTTGAGCTTGAAACTGTTCATCCTATCTCTCGGTTTAACATAAATTTTATTGGGTTAAGGTCAAGATCTGTAAGTGATTTTAAACTAACTTCTTGTTGCTAGATCCATTATGTCATAATCATTTTCAACTTTCTTTTTTCTCGTACTTTACGGCTCTAATAAAATTATGTAGAAAATAAAGTATTTTCATGGAATCCAATTTGAAATCATGTGAAAAGTAATCCCGATACCTATATTCAATTTAATATTATTTTAAAGAAGAGGCCAAGAACATTACAAATTACCGTTTTCTGAGAGACTATAGGCAATCTCGAAACAATTCATTTGTCTGATTTGGAAAAAACTTCCGTATTCATGACGTTTTCTTAATTTTTCATTGAAAATGATAGCTTAAAATATGTTATTTTGTCTTATTTACCTACAAATTATGCCCTGAAACACCTTATTTGACCAAGCTAGAATTATAAAGCATCATTAAAGGAATTTATTTCTCAAATTTAAGAAATCTGTAGGCACCTCTCATTTACTAGATCTTGACCTTAAGCACAACCCTGACAAGGACTCTGCTAAATCTCATGACTTTTTTGTGTGGCATACACATGAAACAATTACCTATAGTTACCAAACTATAGATCAGAGAGTCATCAAAAAGAAAAAAATCATAATTTATGTGTATTTTAAAGAGGGGTTAGGGTGTTAAGATAATGTTTTCAAGACAAGAAAAATATGCAAATTTTCATACCGGCATTTTTATTCATGAATATTTCATATACGCTCTATAATGTATAATGAGTTACCACCATGTGGTTTATACATAAATGACAAAACAGAGAAATTCTCAGAGGCCGAGGGCCATAGCACTCACATGTCAGTACTTCAGATCAATCAGAATTGGAAATAAAATGCCTTTGCTTTTAGCAAATTATCCATTAATTCAGCTTATGCCCAAAGTACTTAAAATAAAATGACTTACAATTGAATAGATAAAGTGACTAAAAAAACAGTGCCATGTACTAGCCTCTGAGGAAAACAAAATTCAAATGTAACAATCAAGACATTCTTCAACTGAGGATTTCATGGAAGTCTTCAGAGAAGCCTGATGAATTTCGATGATATTGTTTATGAGTTTGCATCAACTTGCTATGATGGACAAATCTTTTTTTTTTCTTCTTTTTTCTGACAGAGTTCTCAGGACTAAGACATTTAAGTAAATTCCAAGTGACTGACGAAATTTGTTTGAAATCACTTTCTTTTCATAACAAATACCCCGGTAACAAACACACTGGCTCACATGAACCAACATATCCATCACTCTACAATGGAGCTATATATAGAGCTTCCCTACTATCACAGACAAAATTTGGCCACCATTTACTATGGGGGATAGCAGCAGGAGGAATCGAACCAGTCTTCTCACTCTTGACTAAGCCATCAAACTTTGTAAATTGTTTTCCCAGGAATCTCTTTGTTGTCGTTTCAATTTCCACCTTTTGTAAAGTTATTGAGAATTTTTTGGAAAATTCCAGGTTTTTGTCTGGTATTTGTGTCATTTGATTTGCTGTCGTGTGATTTTTTGTCGTTTGATTTGCTGGAGGTTTTCGGAGCTTGTTTTGAGATCTTCCCTTCTAGGTTTACATCTGCTGAAAAAAAAAAATAAATATATCAAATAAGTAAGAACTTCTACTAGCAACAGAGTTTTGAAAACATGACATCCAATGGCAAAGATAATCTGCATTCATAGACTAATAATGCATAATTGAATGAGAGACTTCTGTTCAAAACAAAAAGAATTGAATCCAACAGGCAAAAGTTTGAGAAGACATTCTGCAACAAGAAACCCATTTGGGTTGAAATCAAGAGTTGTCTATCCTTGACCTGATTCCCCATGCTAAAGAGAACCAATATTCACAACATAATTGACCTCTGTGACAATGTTTTTGTTTCTTTCTTACTTGATTCTGGTGAAGTTGACTCACTGTTTATTCTGTGCATTTCATCAAGCAGGCTGTTAATGTCCACCGTTTTACCTGTCAAGGTTACAAGAATTTAGTAAAACTTAAAAAACGAGAAGTCTCTGATGAGACTGTAGCTCTACTGGTTGTATTTATAAAGGAAGATAAAAGTAGCACTTGGACTTGAAACTTTGCAACAGCAATAAATAGAATAATGATCCTTGGTTTAGTCTCTTTTTGGCAAGATTTATTATTATATCAGACTAAAACTGTAGGAGGAGTAGCCTTTTAAAACAATTTTAATGAAATTTTGATTTAAGTAACCATGGCAACATCATTCAACAAAATCAAAAAACAATAACACCAATTATGTATCTCTGTAGTCTACTTGTATGCCACATTATTCTGAAATCAGACAAAAAGTGTAGGAGGAGTAGCGTTTTGAAAGTATTTCAAGAAAATTTCTATTTTTAGTAACCATGGCAACACCATTCATCGAAATCCGAAACTGGTACAGAGAATTATGTATCTTAGTGTAGTTTACTTGTATGCTAAGTAATACTAAAATCAGACCAAAACTGTAGGGGTAGCATTTTGAAGGTATTTCAAGGAAATTTCTATTTTTAGTAACCATGGCAACAATGTTCATCGAAATCAAAAACCGATACACAGAATTATGTATCTAAGTGTAGTCTACTTGTTTGCCAAGTTATATTGAAATCAGACCAAAACTGTAAGAGGAGTAGCATTTTGAAAGTATTTCACAGAAATTTCTATTTTTAGTTACCATGGCAACATCGTTCATTGAAATCAAAAACCAATAAACAGAATTATGTATCTTATTATAGTCTACTTGTGTGCCAAGTTATATTGAAATCAGATAAAAACTGTAGGAGGAGTAGCATTTTGAAAGTATTTCACAGAAATTTCTATTTTTAGTAACCATGGCAACATCGTTCATTGAAATCAAAAACCAATAAACAGAATTATGTATCTTATTATAGTCTACTTGTGTGCTAAGTTATATTGAAAACAGACCAAAACTGTAGGAGAAGTAGCATTTTGAAAGTATTTCACAGAAATTTATATTTTTAGTAACCATGGCAACACCGTTCATCGAAATCAAAAACCGATATACAGAATTATGCATCTTAGTATAGTCTACTTGTGTGCCAAGTTATATTGAAATCAGATCAAAACTGTAGGAGGAGTAGCATTTTGAATGTTTTTCACAGAAATTTCTATTTTTAGTAACCATGGCAACACCGTTCATCGAAATCAAAAACCGATAATCAGAATTATGCATCTTAGTATAGTCTACTTGTGTGCCAATTTATACTGAAATCAGATCAAAACTGTAGGAGGAGTAGCATTTTGAATGTTTTTCACAGAAATTTCTATTTTTAGTAACCATGGCAACACCGTTCATCGAAATCAAAAACCGATGTATAGAATTATGTATCTTAGTGTAGTCTACTTGTGTGCCAAGTTATATTGAAATCAGACCAAAACTGTAGGAGGAGTAGCATTTTAAAAAATTGTTTACAGACAGACGGACGGACGACGGACACATTACTATTGCATAAGCTCTTCTGGTCTCTGACCAGTAGAGCTAAAAAAACAAACTAGAAATAAGTCCATTGGACATGAATGCTCTGCCCAGGGGCATGAAAACATGAAAATTTGTATTGGTGTATGAAGTTTGATGAAAATATTGAATAGTAAAGTCAAAGGTCACTGTGAAGGTCAAGGTAAAAAAAAAAATAGACACAATTGATGAATTCTCACCAAATTATGTATCTGAGCATAATCTTTCATAAAAATATCTTGAACAGTTTCTCTGAAACTGAGCTAAATGCAAATTTAAGAAAGGTAGATGAAGGTCGAAGGAAAGGTCAAAATCAAAAATTTGATGCAGTTCAATAGCACTCTCCAAAATGTATCAGCAAATGAATTCTGATAAAAATATCTTGAATGATTTGGGGTTTTTTGAGACTTAGCTAAACACAAATTTAAGAAAAGTGAGGTCAAGGTAAAAAATAGTTGATAAGTAGAATAATTCTCACCAATATTAATCACCATATAAGGGTTGATAAAAATATCTTAGTGTCTTTGAAACTGTGCCAAATAAAAATTTAAGAAAAGTGAGGTCAAGATAAAAAAAATGTTGATGAGGTTGAACAGCTCTCATCAGCATAGAAATATCTTAAACAGTTTCTTTGAAACTTAGGTTGACAGAATTTTTTTAAAAAGTGAAGTCAGGGTCAAAGGAAAAGTGAAGGACAAAAAAAAAAACGTTGATGCAGTTCAGAAGCTTTCATCAATATGTATCAGCATACAAAGCTTGATAAGAATATCTTGAACAGTTTCTTTGAAACTGAGCTAAACACAAATTTTGGAAAAGTGAGGTCAAGATCAAAAGAAAGGTCAAGGTCAAAAATGTTGTTGCGTCTTCCGGAAACATCAAGTTATTGCTCCGTGCATCCTATAAAAACAGTAAAAACCATTGTATATTTTTAAAATGTTAGTAAATATTAATGGACCTGATTTTTTATATTCTAATAAACAAAAAAAAGGAGTTTCACCAGACACACATCATTCTTCAAAGTACACAATAAATTTTCTGTAAATCAATGTGTCCGCAAACTTTTCCAACAACCCTCGTATAAGGTTGAAATTGCATAAGCAGGTATTTTAACAGAAAATACAGGTCATGTTTGAATTTGGTCATGGTCCAATGATTTTTGACAGAGTTATTCCTCTTGAACTTGGGAAAAAATAACAAATTTTCAGTTTTCACTCTCTTTTGTAGGGATGTTTGTATAAGGTTGAAATTGCATGTGCAGGTATTTTACCAGAAAATCAAGTTCGAATACAAATTCAAAACTAAATATGGCATTTGAAATTTTGGCTGCCTGCAGCAGCACTCATGGCGAACACATCTAGTTTATTATTTATTTGTTAAAGAAGTGCATGGGACTAAAATTTAAAGCCAAAATAGACAAAATTCCGGAGTATTCAGAATCTGGATTAGACAAATTATACTGTAAATGATACCTTACAAAAAATCTTACTTGGTGTGAATTTTTATGTTTTTCTGATCACCGTCAGTCTCAGATTTGATTCGTTTTCAAAATTAACAATCATTCTCTTTGTTCTCATTACCTCTAGCGCGTAATTTAATCAAAGCTTGTTTGATGCAACTTTTTGAGTATCCCATTTCCATGGCCTTCTTTACACAATCCAACCCTTTCTCTACCTCTGTCAACTCTATTAAAAAGAAATTTATTATTAAAAATCAGTTTTATTAATTCTTAGATACAAAAGGGAAAGTAAATTTATACTTTTTAAGAGATTATGAGGTAAGAGTTTGTAACTAAGATAAAATCTTCAAAAGTTTTCTGTGACCAATTTGAGGCCATTTAAAGAAACAAAATATACTTAAGACAATAGGACTGGACTGCAAGGTATTTTCAATGTGATAAAATGAAATGTTTTCTTGCACTGAACTTCGAAATTCCTAGGTAGGAAGACATCTTATACTTACTAAACCCACTGTCAACATCCGTTCCTAGGCTCTCTGAATACAATTCTACATCCTCCTTATGCACTGTTACGTATTCTGCACTGTCCCTGTCTGTACTGGTCTCCGACCCTGGACAATCCTCAACAATGTCTGATGAATCACTGATTGAGGGCATCACTGGTTGCTCCGGGGTCCCTACAGGGGGACTAGCACCAGCCACAATATTGGGCTTACAGCAGCCCTGCATCTTTTCATTGACCACTAATGGTTTTGTCTGATTCACCGGTGGAATTTGCTTCACTTTGGTTTCCTCTTGAGGATCATTATTTGTTATATTAGGGGGAACAATTCTTTTTAAGTCTGTATTTTCATCATCACTCACTGGACTATTTGCACTGGTTTGTTGAGTCCTTTTAACATCTGTGCACTGAGGATCGGTTCCTCTATATGGTGTCTTTACCACAGTATCAGATTCCTCGCTGCTGGGTTTATCAGGCATGGACACCATCGGTGAAATAGTGGCTACCACTGGTTTTGAGTTCTGCACAGGCCCACTAGGTAATGGTTTAATGGGTCTACTGGGGTTAAACCTACGATGATTTGGTGAGGAATTTATATTTGGTTTTACCATACTAGAATGGTTTGATGGGGAATTTTCATCTCGGGAGATATTTGTTTTTTCTTCACTAGGACCTGCCTGCATCACAGTCTTCACATGACTTATATTTTCATCATTTTTCAAGCTTTCCTCTTTGATTGATGGTGTGTTTGGCAGATAAGTTTGTGAAGTCATCGGCACAGATTCCGGAGCCTGAGTGTCTCCATCAGAGTGACCTCCCCTTTCTATTGAGTTACTTGGTGTACTCAAACCACCATCCACACTTTGAAATGAACCACTTGACCTTAAAGACACATCAGAAGTATTAACTTAAACAACAAAACATAAAGCAAGGTTGTGAAAAATCTCTTGACCAATGGATATATCCTACATTTTTATTTGTTAGATGCAATATATATAAAAATATAGCTGCACAGTATAAAAGATAGTGTCAGTAAATATAGAGGTTGCTTGAGACATTCCCTTACCTTAAGCTGTTCCTCCTGTTTTCCTCTTCATCTATAACTTTATCATTCTCCCGAGTTGAGACAATGGTGGCGTTTTTCCCAATGGCAACATTTTCAGCATTAGCTATGTTATAGTTCTGTGTGACACGCCCAGGGCCCTCTGGAAAATGGTGGTAGTGATGAACTTCAATACCTTGTTGATATTCTTTCACTATTTGCTCAGAAGTTTTCGCTACAATACTCTCACTGGAATAGTCCATTTCTAACATACTGACATCTCCTCCACGTTGTGTCAGTTTTTCACCATGCATGCTTAGAATTTTTCCGTGTTTCTCATCATGCATGCGTGGAATTTTTCCATGTTCCTCGTCATGCATGCTTGGAATTTTTCCTGAATTTTTCTTTGAATAGAAAGATGTCGGTTCTGATGTTTCCAGATCCTTGCTAACTTCTGATCCAAAACTGTCAGTCCCTGACTCCACAGGAGATTTTTTATAATGTCTAGAATCATTATACTCCTGAAGTCTACCTCTCTGTTTCTCTATCACCATAGAGTCTGTCATCCTTCCTTCTGTACTGGAGACAGCAAGTTTTGAAGACGGAGGCATATTTTCTTTAAGTTTCTTACTCTCTATTTCTTGTCGCAGTAGTTCCAGTTTTAACTCCTCATGCCGTCTCAAGGCCTCCTCTGTTTTCCGTCGTACAATGTCCTCGTTTCTAATTCTGCATGCAGCCATGTATTGCTTGCGGAAATGTTCGGAGTTATGATTAAGTCTTACACTGACTTTGTCACCGATTAAACGTCGTAAACCTCTGCGATAAAAATCGTCATTGTTGTAAAAATTAACACCCTTCAGAGCGTTCAGTCCCATGGGGATTTTGAAATCTGCTTTGGCCCTCGACACTGTATACACAGGGACCACACACCATTTCTTTTTGGGGTTATAAATAGATTCCATTAAGCACTCCTCACTGGACAGTGTAGACCATTCACACTGACAAAACTTCTTGGTGAGATAAATAAAGGCAAAAGTACATCTCTGAAAGCAAAAATCCAAACTCTTTATTTTAGAGCCTGCTAGAGATACCAGTTCCTGATCGTCGTATAAAACCGCAGTCACTCTCCTCCCTCCCTCTAACATTATATCATTCTGCAGGTGCTCTTTGTAACTTTCTGCTAGTTCACGATCGTCCTCCGCATACAAAATCATCACATCATAGTACCCTATCTTTTCCTCTGACGTCATTCTGTCCCGGTACTGATCAATAAATGCCTGCATGTCATTCGGCTGCAGATCACTAATAGAACTGGCCAATCCTAATCTAGACATCTCTGGAATTTAAAAAATATACTTGTTGCTAAGTTCTGGATTTTTTTTTATTTCTCACAAGCAGGAAATGTTTAATACATTACCTTTGACAAAGTGATGATCCTGACCAACAATTTGGCTGATATGAATTTTTTTTTTTCTAACATTTACAAAATGTTGCCAAGGTTCAAGTTGTGAACACAATGATAGGCAAATAGAGAAAAATGATGTCCCCTACTCTTCAGTTGAGGTGATAAAGGAGTCAGGGATAAAATGTTGATATATTTGGCAGTAGCTATAAGAATGAGGGATGATCAAAATCGGATGAATTTAAATCCATAACAATTATACATATCATATTACTTTCAAATATTTTTTTGGAAAGTGAACATTTTAAGAATTGTACATAATTAATACATTTACTTTTTTTATGAAAATCTAATAATCAAACTCAATTATTGTATCTAATACCAATATTAATTAAACCCTGGACTTGCTTGTCTGAATTTATATTATTATTACATATATGGGAGGTTTCCAAGACCCAATCCCTCTTCATAAATAATTTATTTTGCTAGTATGATAAAATCCAAGTCTGTCTTGCCCCTGCCCTAGCTCCTCCCACCCTGTTCCCCAAATCAACCTTAGTTAACAAGTTTACAGTATTTCATACAATGTAGATGACATTAGATGTGTATACTGTATCAGTTTGAACTTTGTTCAGCTGGGATATTATCTTGAGAAATTAACTGGAGGCAGAAAATCTGTATTTAAAAAAAAAAAAGAAAAACAAGAGGCCCATGGGCCACATCGCTCACCTGAGCACAATGGCTAGGAAAAAGCAAAAATCAATTCAGTATAGAAAAGTTTACATGGGGGGAGGGGCTTGAATTTTAAACTACCTGAGGATGATTCCATATCAATATAACAAATGGCTTTGCTGTTCTTGAGTAGAAGATTTTTAAAGATTTTTTCCTATATTTATATTCCTTTGTTAAAAATTTGATACCCCATTGTGGCCCCTCCCTATCCCCAGGGGTAATCACTTGAACAAACTTTAATCTACACTACCTGAGGATGCTTCCATATCAGTATGACTAAACATGGCTTTGCTGTTCTTGAAAGAAGGATTTTTTCCTTTATATTCCTATGTAAAACTTTGATCCCACATTATGACCCTACCCTACCCCCAGGGGTCATGATTTGAACAAACTTGAATCTACAATACCTGAGGATGCTTCCATATCAATATGACAAATCATGGCTTTTCTGTTCTTGAGAAGAAGATTTTTTAAAGTTTTTCCCTATATATTCCTATGTAAAACTTTGATCCCCCATTGTGGCCCCACCCTACACCCAGGGGTCATGATTTGAACAAACTTGAATCTACACTATATAAAAAAGGTTTCCTATAAGTTTCAACTACTTTGAGCCAATGGTTCTGGAGAAGAAGAATTTTAAAATATGCCACCAAATTTTCACTATTTCTGAATTATCTCCCCTTGAATGAGGGCATGGCCCTTCATTTGAAGAAACATGAATCCTCTTCACCCAAGGATGCTTTGTGGCAAGTTTGGTTGAAATTAGCCCTGTAGTTCTGGAGAAGAAGTTGAAAATGTGAAAAGTTTACAGACGGACAGACAGCTAGACGGACGGACAGACGGACTACAGACAAAATGTGATCAGAAAATCTCACTTGAGCTTTCAGCTCAGGTGAGCTAAAAAGTAGATGCATGACACAAATGCCCACCCACCCCCCATGCATGGATCTGAGAGGAAGGAGGAAGGGGGTCTGGACTCTCCCCCAGGATTTTTAGTTTTAAAATTTCTAAATAACGAAAAAATTATCTTGGACCCCCACCCTCAGAGTTTTCTCGAGAGAATTTTTTTTATTAAGTTTTAATTCTTACCTAGATCTGCCATCGGACTAGATGGCATGTAGCTGGGCTGGGCGTCCATTGAAACTTGGGACTCCAGTCGACTTCGTGAACTCATGGTGGTTCTTTTCTATTTACATAAAAAATGAATGCCCTGCAAAAAGTAAAACAATTCATAAATCCGAGGCTTATAGGCTTTGAAAGAAACTAAGCACAACAAGACTAGTATATCAATGCACCTCGATAAACAAAAGTTTTCATACTATTTTCCTAGACACTGACTTTTTCAAAATAACTTTGATTCAGGTTCAATGTCAGTTGATAACAATGGCTAGGCATTGATAACCTTTTCACTAAGCTTGCAGGAACTTAAAAAGTTCCCCCAATTACTAACTGACCGCCCAAAGAACTTGATGAATAATTTTAGGATTTTCAGCTATTTGACTCAACTGTGTCTAAATCAAATAGCACCTAGGGGTGTTTCTACTGACTCAGGTTTTAAAAAACTTTCTACTCAGTTTAAACAAGTAACTTATCTTCACAAAGGATGGTAAGTCAGATGAGTTGCTTCAAACACAAACGGTTAACCTATAAATTTTATTTCCATTGAATTATAAGCAACCAACTGGATTCATTTTTTTTTTATTTCACTTTAAGGTTGCAGTGAGCTAAAAGTAGGATATGTGACATACCTTCTATCTAAGAGATTTGATGATTCTAATTCTAGTACAGTCAAACCTCATTATCTCAAACTCAATGGAGGTGAGAAAAAAACTTCAAGATATCCAAGAATTTGAGATATCCAGGATGAAATACTTAAGGAATAAGGGGTTGGGACTTCAAAATCACTTCGACATATCCATGCTATTGGAGATATCTGTGTTCAAGCTACCGAATTTCAACCGTAGTTTTTTAGTTATGAGCCTGACAAGATTTTTTCATATTTGGCCCTGTCATCTTAATTAAAGGTCACAGTAACCTACTTTTATGTGTAACACACATTCTATCCACTCTACTCTAGGCCTCAAAGTATATAAGTTATGAGCCGGACAAAAGCTAACAGACAAATAGATATGAACACCATGCCAAAATACATCCCAAGACAGGCATACAAAAAAGACTAAAACAATGTTTGTTGACAGTTTACTCATCTTTTTTCACTTTTTCAATATGGTGCTGCCAATCTGATGCTATTAAACTGATGCTTGAAACTTGTTTAATATCAAACATTATGGTGATATGAATTACTCTAAACTGTTCCTCAAAATGTGATTTGTGAAACAACTAGAAGAAAGGAACACATTTCAGAATTTTTTTTATTTTTGAACTTTTTAAAATATTTTTTTCTGAGATAATACAACTGGTCGGTCCAATGGACTACAGCAGGGTGATAATTAGGAAGTCCATCTCATACACTTTATGTCTCGGGCCTTGGACCCCCATATTTTTAAACCCCTGAAGAATTTTGACTTGTGGACTTCCCCCACATTAACCATCATGTCTTTTATCTTAAACCCCTTCCTCTTCCTAAAACAGACATGTAACAGCAGTATACTGTTACAACATTCCAGTAAGCACAAGGCCAATGATATTGACAAGTAATTTTTCAATATTTATTGGCGAATTACTTGGGAATTTTCAGTAAATTCCCATGTCAATATTTAATTCCATTTAAATCAAGATTTGTAACAACTGAACAAGTTTTGTAAATACCATGAATACTGGTTGTGAATGCTGTGAGGGTTGTTATCTGACACCACATTTTAAAACGGAAGTCTCAACAAAACAGGTCAAGTGTGATACTGTAAGAATTCGATATTTGTCGACCCTTTTGTTTGTTTGTTTGCTTTTCTTTTTTTTAAATTTTACTTAACGCTATAGGACAAGCTGTTTTGATGACCTTAATACAGTAACTGAGTAAGCATATCCCAAAATTGATTACAAAATTTGGAAATTACGCTGATCTTGTTAATTAGCGCAGTGTTGACGACAAAACAAACTCCACAAAGATTGACATATTTAAAACAGTTGATGAACTAATCGTCGTGACCATCTTGTCATGAACTAAGCGGAAGACATTGACAAGAGCTCACCTTATGGACGATGGCTACCATCTCAGATGACCATATATTCTGGAACGGAAGTTCTAACCGTGATTCATCGAGTTATTTGGACACCAATCAGCATATACCTCTTACTTTGGTTTCATTTCTATTTTTCGTTTGTGGAAAATTCCATACCGTCTAAAGCGGAAGTGAGCCAAGCAGAATTGGGTAATTGTAGACTGCGAGGATCAACCGCCACCGCAGATTGCCTCTTTGCACATGGACTCCTAGTCGATTGGCGTCGCTGTTTTGCTACTGATAGAACATCTTTTAAAATGTCTTATCACAGCAATACAGAGGGGAATAAATATTAAATTATGCCAATCATATGAAATTACCAGACATTTCAAAATGATGCTAAATGATAAATTAATGTAACAGACCGGAGCAGATACAAAGGCATTTACTGAAGGAGTTTTGAGGCAGACACGCAGGAAGGTTCAAATTATTTACCAGAAACCGTATATTTTTGCTCAGTAGGGACAGATGTTGCATAAGGTTCTGAGAGTCAGACTTTCAATTCTAACCTCTCCAATCGGACGCTTTTTTCCCTCTGAGGACTATGTTCTATCTTATCCTGGACACGGCACCAATTATAAAATGAATGACAGACTAGAGCGCACTTCACGCCAGGCTCTGAAGTCTAGACGAGTTCTTTACCAATTGATATCTTTGACCATCGTCAAACAAATCTACCTGGCAGACTACCAAGTTTAGAATTCAAAAGGCTGAATTAGGTTTACATATTCGGAGTTAAGACATATGGAGAAATGGTGTTCATTCTGCTCATTTACATATCGGCCATATTGGAGATATAATGGCGACAGATTCCATAAAGGTTTATATAGAGAACGTACAATAAATCGCAGATTTTTATGTACTAACTATTTCGGATAAAGTTCTTCCGCCGATGTTTAGATTTTTCTTAATATCTTCTACCGGAAATGACAATATTGATGATGCCAAAGTGAAAGTTGCGACCGCCTTTTTGATTTGAAATTCCGAAGCGAGAGTATAATGTTTTAATGAAGGAAAGAGCACAGAATTGATGTCTTTATCATTTTTGGTGATTAAATGTAAGTGTTTATTCCAGGTTGACAGAGTTCTTCCGCCGATTAATAGGTGCAGACGAATGCCTATGTTTATAAAATGCAGATGATTTATCATTTCATGAAGAGTTACGACCGCCTTTTTAATTTGAAAACGGCAATTTCTTTCATCAGTGTGACCTACTTATTACCAAAAAAGATGGTATCATGAGTTGTCAACTGTTAATAACACAAAATTCTGTCCAAATAACTATGACGGAGGATTAAAGAGAAAAAAACAAACAAACTGTGCTTGCAGGTTTTAATATAAAAATTTAAAGAAATGGAATATTTTGAGTTTATGCAGGATCTTATGAATATTAATGAGAAGTAAATCACGTGGGAGCAATCTCATTAATAAACTGTACATCATTTCTCCATATGAGTAAAAGTGGGAGCTAGATCAAATTCAGCAAAAGGGTTCAAAATGTTTTTAATATGGTGATCTGGGGCCTATTGTTAGTTATATACAACACAAATAGAATCCTTACCTGCATGGGTTGATATAACAGACAGGTATTCACATTCAACACGAAGTGTGTACCAATTTAAATGTAATTCTGGAGGTTTTTCAACGACTCTCTTTTTGCAAATGGTAGCCCTGATATACACTTACTGTCCATGTATGGATACCAGGGGTTAAAGCTGATACTCACCCAGATGCATCTAGAAACTGAACAGCAAATCGTCTCTACACCACTCTGAAATTATTCACCAGTTCACTTTTAGCGAATTATCTTCGTATTGAAAGCACATAGTTGTAACCGCTAATTCCCGTATTAACAAACAAAGAAAACATTATCATTGTTTAAAATAAAACTTAAAAACACTCAATAATACTCCGTTTTTTTGCCTTGCATTTACCTCTTCTCTTTCTCTTCTACACCTTTACAAACATACAGTTAAATTGGGGGGTTTTAAGCATCCAATGCATGTCTATGCATTTATTTTTGTTATTTCTCTTTTTCTATAAGACATACTGATAAAAAGTCTAGATGTTTTCAATCACGCCATAATTAAAACGTTTTATTTTTTTTCCGGCAAATTGTGCATATGATATTCTGAAGTTTTCAATTCAAGGGTCACTTTCCCACAAATAAAGACCCATGTGTTTGCTTCTGCCTAAGGTATCTTATGTCTTATGACTGTTTTGGTAACTATATCCTTGAATACGAAGAGAATCATTGAAAAATCTTCAAGCCTACAATTAAAATGTGTACAAGTATATCTGATGAATTATTCATATAGAATGGGCAAACGTGCGTAAAATATTTTTATTATGGATCCGTACGCATCGACGTCACATTGATAGAAGATGTTTTTTTTTTCTTTCATACCGGTCACGATAGCCTAGCTAGTGGTAGAGCGCTTGCTTCGTGATCGGGAGGCCCGGGTTCGACTCTCGTTCGCCGCGTCAAATCTAAGACGTAAACATAGGTAGTGACTGTTCCCTCGCCAAGCGCCCGGCACTAGATGTGAAAGTCACGGGTTTTTCGGATGAGACCTTAAAAACCGAGGTCCTGTGTCATGAAAAACCCTCACTGCTCAATGACCCTAAGTGCCGAGTATAGGTCTAAATTGGAAGCCCTTCACCGGCATACGGTGACGTCTCCATATGAGTAAAAAAATTCTCGAATGGGACGTTAAACAACATAAAATCAATCATTTTCTTTCATACGGATGGTTTTTTTTTTTTTTTAAAAAAAAAGCTGTAACTTAACTAGCATAGGCCGGTTTAATCGATTGGTTAAGGGAACCGGTTTTTCTAACGAAACAAAAGAGAAAATATTAAGTGAATGTAAATGCATAATGGTATCGTGACCAGCAGCTGAAATTTAAACCAGTTATAGGTGTTTATTTTAGATATATAAAAGGACACGTCGGGGAAGAAGCCTTAGAGAAAAGCACCACAGCATACATGACGTATAATTCCAGTAAATCAGTGACGCCAACACAAATACAATATCCATCTGTCTTTCTTATCGTATTTTCATGCGATTCCCAATTAAATGGTTACAACATCGGAAATGGAATTGATGTAACTTCGTACAGTGGAGCTACTTTTACACCGTCCTCAAGAACCAACAACGCATTAAATTTTTAGATCTTCAGATTTACAATTATTGTAACCATTTAAATCTTTAATTTTTATCACAAAAACTTTTACTAATAGTGTTTATACAAATGGTTTTCAATTTATCAAACAAAATCGTCCTTAAATATACTTTCGTTTTGAACGAGGGGTATTTCTCATGACTTAGTCAATTGTATATATATATTAAAGATGGACGGGATCCTTTCATTCGAAAATGGTATACAGAGTCTACTATTTTTTCATATGCCTATTAAGCAAACAGTAGTAGCTTTTATGAGTAGTATATACCAGTATTGTGTTTCGTGTTTAAAACTAATATTATCTCCAAGAGTCTTACTATACACATTTGGTTCCATTTTTTAATATTTTATGCATATATGTATACCGTTATAAATAACTGAAATAGTTTCACCAATTTGAGAGATATTTATTGATATCAACAGAAAGTTTCACACATAATCCTTCACTCTGATTTTTCCACCTATAGCGGACAGTAGACCATGTGAAAATTACTGATAATGTGGAAATTCCAGTCAAATGTTCCAGGATCTTCTAGGAGGGAAATATTTTTTACTATATCTTTATATCAGTGGTTTTTACCCAGTATAGTGATCGAAATAACCACCCACGAAAAGCAAAATGGACTTGTAATATTGTCAACTACGAAAAGGCAGAACTGCTCATTCGACAGTTAATATGAGCTGTGCGAAGGGAGGGGGGCCCTTTTCCCATATTCAAAAGTTTACAACTATACATGGCTGTTGGGATCCCTTTGCCTTAACCAAATGTTTATCAATATTAAACACAGTTTCAAAATTTGCGAAGTCTTACTCCACAAAGTCAATCAATCCAGTAATTAACCACTCTCTTTGATCATACCATCTTTAAATTTGAGTTTTATTTGTCCTGTCGTTTGGAAGAAAAACTATAAATACACCACCTGATCTCCAAAATATTTTTTTTTTTTAATTATTATTATTATTATTATTATTATATTATTTTAATATTATTTACAACGCAGTACAGTTAAGGCTACACATGAAGATAATATGGTAATGAGGTCATAATGAGGTTTGACGTCGTGACAGTTGCTCCGCCTTGATAGATCCATATAAGGAAATAGAGCTCAAAAAAGTCATTTAACGATGATTGCGAGAATTTGTAATGAATGACTGTATTTTCATGTTTAAATAAATAAACATTAGTGATTTTCTTTTATATAAAACAAAACGTCTTCGAAATAATTCTCTTTTTTTGGTGTCGTTTGGCTGCATTCGGCTTCAGCCAAGCGCTTGCACTCGGTGACACGGAATGTTGTTTACATCTAAAAACGTGGCGACAGCAGCTGAGATATGCAGTGGATAAAAGCAACAAGCAGGCAATCTTTAAAGAGAATATGGATGAAATAAGAGACCTAAGCCTTGTTTATCTCTTGATAAGAAGATGATGGCGTTATTTCGGGAAATCATGGAAAACTGGGACGATCTGCACCACCTCCCTAAGTCCCTTTCTGTTCATTTATGTAGGTGTGTATGCGCATATGTATCAACATGTAGATATACTAGGCCCCTATTGTTTACATCAATGTAAAATAACCGTGTATATGTACAATAAGATGTATTATTACAGTCCGTCACAAACTGTAATGCAGTGCCTTGTGTGTATGACATCCCCCCTCCCCCTCCCCCCTCCCCCCCCCCCCCCCACACACACACATTAGGCCCTATAAAAGTAGCATATTTTTAACAATATAATTTGCGAATACACAGAATACAGAATTCTTGTCATTCAGCTTATTTTTGAAACAGTATGTGTAGCCATGGAAATCTGTAATGATACAAAAGTTATTTAATGCCTTAACAATTTAATTCATTTATATTATATAAGTATATTACTGTGGATTACCGTAATAATTCACTTCTTACATGTACAGTTTCAATCATTGATTCATTTAACATACAATGATGTTGTCTTTCGGCATATAAACCTGTTACATAATATAAAATGCACAGCATGACATGATAGATCTATCAAATAATAATTTAGATGCAGTCACACTTGTAGTGTACATGTATATGTGAAGTCAAACTGCTGCACAGTGCACAATGTATGTCACTGTACAAATACAAGAGTACAAGAGCCTATTAATTTTAATTTATACCTCTGGCAATCAAAAATACCAATCAAAATATTTATGAAATTTAAGATTTCAGGTTTTTACCAGTGCTTCATATTTTAAATTTATTTTTACAACTTTTATCTATCTGTATCACTAGGCTGTAAATTTGTAGAATTTCTATATCAATGAAGATAAAATATTTGAATTTTCATTCGTCTGACAGCACGTAATTATGTATATACATGTATTTATAAACTGTTTATATGTACAATTTTTTTTATCATTGTAGCTGCCAGGTGTTGTAGGCTGAAAGAATAAATAAAACTGACATTTACAACACCCAGAATTATCAAAATAGATGCATCAATTTCTCCACTGGGTATGGACATAACTAAATTATAAAAAGCATTTCACATTAATTCTATAATATTTTACATATATATTGTGTTGTAACTACTCCAAAACAATTTAAACAATTCATTCATTCAGGCAGCACGTGTATTCACCAATCAAGTAAAAAGATATGCTCCTCATGGCCGTAAGAACCTGGGGGTTAGGGGGGGGGGGGGGGTTGCCTCCCAATACCGACATATAGAATACTATAAAAAGCATAGCTACAATATGCTTGTGCTCCCTCAATAATAAAGCACTGATGACCTTTTTCCTAGTTTTTAAAATTTATTTATTTATTTATTTTTTGCTTGTCAAGGAATTTTTGGTAGTTGATAGTGCCCCCAACTAAAAATATATGGTCCCCCCCCCCTGTAATTGCTTCCTACAGGCCTGCTTCATATTAGCAACATGTATAAACATATTATACATATTCCAGGCAAGATTATTGAAATATTTTGATAATAAAAACAGTAGAATTAAAATATATACACGTAATATGCTTTCTATGTTACTCAACACCAATGAACTTTCCATAATGGTATTTCATTTTGTTTTCAGAATTGATTTCATCCAAAGGAACATGAACGAAAATATTTTGCACCTGATCAGAATTCCCTTCACAACCTGCCTTTGAATTTGAAGAACTGTATTTATTAAAAATATTTTCTAGAAAAATAATGCTTTAACTTTTAAACTGTACAGTGGTGTGAAAGTTTGAAGGCTGTTAAAATGTGCATTTATTTTGTTGTTTGCATTGTTTGGTTTACCAAAAAGATCTATATTTCAGCAGGTATATTGTGTTCACTTGTTTTTTAACAGAGTATCTGTTTCTTGATTAGCCTGCAAAATTTTTCCTTTGATTATCTTGTATGTGCATGGATTGATAGAAACTCAAAAAAGGAGACAACACCCCCCCCCCCCCCCCCCCGTGATTTGTGCTAAAGTACCCAAAGAAGTAAAAACTGATGTTAGCATGGTATAATAATTTATTTTTAACATACAAGTACGGTATATGGTATCAAAGGAGCCAGAAGCAAACTGGTAGTGGTCGGGGGGGGGGGGGGCTTAGATCTATAGAAAGGAAAACAGGTTATCAGGTGTAAGCACTCCAGTCCCTCCCTCCTGGTTCAACAAAACTTTTAACCTAGTCTAGAATCCCTGAACAATAGAAGGTTTGATAGCTACTATGAGAATCAAATAGAATGTATGTGAAAAAAAAATTCTGTTGGAGATTTTTTTTTATTTGTCTGTGTGTGTAAAGCGGGGGGGGGGGGGGGGGGTGCTTAAATATTTAAATAATTGATAGGGGTTGTCCATTATTTATTATTAATGATTGAATCTTTCAATATTTTTAACCATGGGCATACACGATGGATGTTGCGTCAAATTTTAGGCCTATTGTGAACCAGGCCTCTGAATTTCTATCAATAAGCCGTTATATGATTGATCAGAGTGATATATATACCCCCTCTATATATATATATATATATATATATATATATATATATATATATATATATATATATATATATATATATATAATAGAGGGGATCCGATCAATCATATAACGGCTTATTGAGAGAAATTCAGAGGCCTGTGCACAGTGGTGCATGGAGGAGATGCGGAAGGTGTCAAAGACGTCTTGTGTACAGCGTATAAACGAATGAAGACATACAAAACAAAGTAAAGTCAAGGATTTTTTATGCATACCGTTTTGATTTAGTGAAAATAGCCCAGCACAGTCCGTAGGTATTATTTGTTTAAACTTTGCGAGGTACACAAACGCTAGATATGAAGTACTAGAGAGTTATCTCCCATGCTGGGTCAATGATGCGTTTGAAAACTATATTTAGAATTAATGTGTCAAGATTTCAATTTTTAATCAAAAAGTGCAAGGGCAAGGCGATAACCCAAGAGGTAGGTTTTTATTTTAAATTCTTTATTTTACTGTATAGTTTTTGAAAAGTGATGCTCATTTCTTTGTAATTCATTATGTAATTTATAATTCCCGATGAAATTATGAAAATAGCCTATTTTTTGAACACTGGTGTTTGTTTTCAATGAATAACTTAAATATCTCAGAAATCTAACTGAATGAGCATCAGTTTTGAGATAGGATAGATATCAAGGGACACACTGAAACATTGTGCAGTTTATTTTTTGTTTGCCTTGCCCTTGCACTTTTTGATTAAATTTGACATTTCATATTTTGACCCAAAATCGGATCCCACGTGACTGTATAGGGTCACATGATGACAAAAAATACCGATATGAAAAGCGATGGACATACTCTTCAAAATGCCATTAAGATATTTCAAATAGAGTTTCATGCTAAAAAATAAGACGGTTGATCTTAAAGTGTCTCGTTTTTGGTGCCTTTTGATAGAAAATGTTGCCTTAACTGTACTGCGAAGATTTTGTTTTAATTATACTAGTCCAGATGGCCATGCAACTAGTTAGCTGGCTTTCGCTGTCTTTTTCAAAAAAATTCTCTGAAACTATCAGGCACATTTTTGTGAAATTTTACATTGCTCATGTGGGATATGTCCTCTACAAACCATCCATTTTTTCATTTTGATCCAATGATAAACACAGCAAATGTTTCTATAAATAGCAAATGGGGTGATATGCAGATTTTTGCTAATTACTCCGAAATAAAAGCAGGTATAGCTAGATAAAACCTGGCGGAGTGTCAACATGACAAGATCTAGATTTATAGCAAATTTCATTAAAATCCCAAAACCCCTGATGGTGTTATGAAATGTCAAATTCTTCGGACTTTTGCAATTTCAAAACAAGATGTGTTTGTGCCCCCTTATGGCAGCTTAAGACGAAAATTAAAGTTTCTCAAGTGCAAGTCAAACTCCATCGTCAAGGTCAAAAGCTACCCAAATAAAGGACTTGTGTCAATGGATATATCTGGTAAATATGAAAGAAGCTCAAGCACCTTCCGTTCAAAACTTATGGTCAAGGTTAATATCTTCTAAACGTGGGTCAAACTCAAGGTCAAGAGATCAAAAGGGTCAAAATTAATGGTACGTAGGGGAAGACCTTGTCATAAGAAATACACATGCAAATATAAAAGCCCTAGCACCAACTGTTCAAAAGTTATGGCAAAGGTTAACATTTTTTAAAAGTGGATCAAACACCAAGGTCAAAAGATCAAAATTGTTGGTATCTAAAGGAAGGTTTTGTCACAAGAAATATACTTGTGAAATTTGAAAGCTCTAGTGCAAACTGTTCAAAAGCTATGGCAAAGGTTAAAGTTTTTTAAAAAGTGGGTCAAACTCTAAGGTCAAGGTCAAAAGGTAAAAAATATTTATACCCATGGAAAGGTCTTGTTACAATTAATACACATATGAAATCCCTAGCACCAACTGTTCGAAAGTTATGGCAAAGGTTAAAGTTGGGTAAATTTTTGCAAAAGTGGGTCAAACTCCAAGGTCAACTATGTTGGTACCCAAAAGAAGGTCATGTCACAAGGAATGTACATGTGAAATATGAAAGCCATAACTCCAACCAATCAAAAGTTATGGGCAATGTTAAAGTTTTTGCGGACAAACAGACAGACAGACAGACAGACAGACGGACGGACGGACAGGGCAAAAACTATATATCCCCGAATCTTCAATTATGGGGCATAAAAATCTCCTCCCTTGAAACTACTTCAAGCAGATTTTTCTGAGACTTTTAATAGAAGGACCTATTAATATGGACCATGTCCTTTAGGAAAGATCCACATTTCATATTTGTCCGATGAAAACAAGGCCGTTGTTACTATAAATACCGGTAGACCATACGGGGGTAATATGCAGTTTCTGGCTAATTACTCGGAAATAAAAGCAGATAGCGAATTCTGGAAGGGGTGGGATTTACTGCAATTAGGATGACAAGATCTAGTTCTGTGCAAACATATTTGGATTTATGGTCCCTAATGTGAAATTCTCCCGATTCTGTTGTCGACTATCATTTTGAAAACTGTAATCGTTAACTGTAATGATAAAAAGCATCTGTTTTTAGGTCTATCTGTGTACTGAATTTCAGAAATCTTCCGGCGACCTTGAATGTTGCCCCTGAAACATAAATTTGCTACTTATGTAATATTTGGCAACATTATTTGTTTGAAATTGATATGAGATAGAGGTAAAGATTAAGTGAAAAAAATGATCCAATGAACAAAGTCAATATATTTATCAGGTTCTTTAAACACTAGTATCTGATCACCCATCATCGTCTTTTCAGATTACTTTATACTGGAAAAGCTCATTGAAAATGGCATTGACAAATCTGCAATGGAAGGATGGTTAAATCCAGAGACATTCCGTAAGGTTGATTTATTTGCAGCAGTCAAGGAATCTGTTTGGAAAAAGTCTATTTATCACCATTCATCACATGTTGACTGTGACTGTATATTGTTTGCACATACTCAAAACCACACAATAGTAGAAGAAGTTCTGCAATATTTTAAGAGAGTATTGCTCCGATATGAACCCAAAATTGAAATTTATCAACGACATTTATGGACACCTATAAACGACTCTTGTGGCTCATTGCAGTTCAAAACGGGAAGTCAAAAAACAGTTTCGGCAGCAATGGGGTTTCTGTTAGTGACGTCAGAGTTTTGTGCTGACGAATGGCCTATTTTGGCTGGACAACCTTTCTTTCAAGAAGCTATGTACAGTAAAAATGTCACCATTGTTCCCATTCTGATACACAACCCTAAGAAAGCGAAATACAAAATTCCCATGGGAATTAAGAGCTTAAGATCTATAGAGTTTTTCAGCAAAGACGACATTCTGTGTCAAGATTCCGTCATTAACATTCTCCAGCCTGTGGTTAAAAAACGGCTGCGGAATGAGAAAGAAAAACTGAAGGATAATATCAAATGGTTGTACGAAAACATCATATGTAAACTGGCTTTGAGAAATGGAAATGGAGATTCTTGGTTCTGGAGGTTTAGCTCGCCTGGACAGAAAAACCCAGATTCGAAATATACAAATAATGATTCTTTTCATTATGCAAATCAACCATACAATAATTTTCACTCATCAAATGCAAAGAAAAATGGATCTACACATCATGGAAGTGTACCAGACTCGGCATACGCCAGTAACGAAAGCAATGATGATTTAAAGTCGAGCCCATTACACGGTTTTCATCATTCTGAATTGTGCAGAAATACATCTCGTTCCCCAGTTGAACATTCTTTACCAAATACCAGAGAGGAGATAAAGTCGCGAACGACACAAGGACATTCCTCAAGGGAATGCAATGTTGGCTGGAGTCGGTCGGAATCAAGCAAGTCGGACAGTTCCTCATCCCCAATTAGCATGAAAGGGGCACCTGACCTCAACTTTTCCTCCCTGGAATCCCGGGTATCCGAATCATCGAAACATCGGCGTCCGAATCGGTCTGAAAACTCTCCAAAGTACTCGTCCACGATAAAAACAACACAAGATTCATCATCTTATGCCTCACAACAAAACATCACGGGTATTCAGGTGCAATCTTCTCCAAGAAACAAACCGAACACAGTTGGTAATAATATAAATGGAAAAGTGACCGCAAATCAAAATAGCACAGACAAGCATGAATCAACTAAACCTGAATTAAACATTTCAATTAATAAAAAAGTGCCATACGACTTGCCAGTTGCGATAGAAGTCGAGTGTAGGAGCTTTGGAAATTTATCCACTCAAGACGTGAGAAGCACGCCACAGTCACGTGCTCAAGATTCGTCATCAGTTCATGAATCAAACTTGTCAAACCATTCTGTCAACTCGTCATCAATTCGTCAAAACAGCGAAATCATTTTTGCAAAAACTTCCGATCCAAATAAAGATCTACCCAATCCTGTACCTATAAATGCAAATAATATATCGTGGAACATCAGTACAAACTTAAGCTCAAATCATTCGCCTAGATCAGCAAATGAAAGAAGTGGGACTTCTTCATCCTCTGGAATATTTGACCATAATCAAGGTCATATCCATCCACAGCCTCAACCAATTAACTCATTTCCATCTGGAGAAGTACATTTCTCTACTAACTCCTACACATCTGCTGTTTCAGGAGAAATAAACTGCGAATCATCAAGAAATTCTTTCCTTTCTTCGTCAAACATTTCTTCGTGTGAGACAAGTTCATTGAGAAGAACAATGCAACAGCCCATGCCCCAAGAGATCAGCTTGACAAGCTTTCCCGCTGAAGGAGAGCTGAGCAATGACCTGAATTCTAAAGCGTCTTTTACCCCGGTGTCTGATGTCACACAACTAGCCCTCGGTTGCCTGCGACCTTCAGACAGCTTCAAAGACAGTTATCGATCATTTGTCCACTCTGAACCCGACTCCGGAAGGCCTGTTGGAGTGGTGAGACCATTCTCTATGCAAGAGGAAAACGACGAAGATGAAAACGAATATAGCAATGATTTATCTCTTTTCAGGGCAATGTCTGAAGAGACATACGTAAAACGATCATAGTAATCTAGATAAATCTTGAATGGTGGTATAGTCCTGTTTGAAAAAGCATAATACTTACACCAAGTTCATCGCCAAAAATCACTTTTAAACAGTTTAACAATTACGTACTAGTATATTTATGATCTGGGAGGGGTTCTTTTGTACATATATCATGGTAAAATGGTTAGAAATTGGGCATTAAAAACGTTAATATAGTTTACATGAAAACAACAGCCTGCAAATTTTGACATACGGTACTTTTGTTAAGCTTCAAACCACGCCCACAAAGGTATTGTTGTAGATAGTGTACAAATGAACATAGAACTAATCTACAGTGTATTTATAACATAGAACTAATCTACAGTGTATAGTGATGTATTTGTAACATAAAACTAATCTACAGTGTAGTGATGTATTTGTAACGCTTTAAGATATTTCAGAACATTATGGCATTGCTTATTTGGATGAATTGCAGTTTTGTAATGTAACGCTGTAATAGATCTAGTATAAAATAAAGTTTACTGTAAACTATACCATATTTGTAAAGTGGTGAATGCGGTAAGTCAAAGACTATGAAGCAGTGTTTAGCCACAGTAGAAACGTGTCAATGGATATTAAGCCAAAAGTAGGTCAAACTCCAGGTCAGCGTCAAAGGTTCAACATTTTTGGTACCCAAGGACTTGACACAAGGAATACACACGTGAAATATGAAAGCCCTAGCATTAACTATTCAAAAGAAATGGCCAAGGATAAAGTATTTTAAAAGTAAGTCAAACTCAAAGGTCAAGGACAAAGGGTCAAAATTATTTCTACCCAAGGAAAAATCTTGTCGCAATAAATACACCTGTGAATTATAAAAACCCCTAGCTCTAACCGTTCAATAGAAAAAAAGTAAAGGTTAAAGTTTTTCAAATGTGGGCCAAAACTCAAAGGTTAAGATCAAAATTGTTGGTATTAAAGGGAAGGTCTTGACACCAATGGACAAGGTTAAAGTTTTTCAAAAGTAGGTTAAACTGCAAGGTCAAAAATACACTGTATTTGTACCCGAGGAAAGGTCTTATTACAAGAAATAAACATGTGAAATACGAAGCCCTCGTCATTCGTTTAAAAATTATGGCTAAGGTTAAAGTTCTGTAAAATTTTGCAAAAGTGGGTCAAACTCATATGTCATGGTCATGAGGTCAGACATGTTGGTACTTCAAGAATATACAAGTGAAATATGAATGTCATGGCTCCAACCAATCAAAAGTTATGGGCAAAGTTAAAGTTTTTGCGGACAATGAGACAAACAGATTCACAGATAAATGGACGGAAAGAGAAAAAACTATATGCCCTGAATCTTCCTTTACATGGGTATAAAGTTCATAACGTAAGTGCTTGTTTAAGTCGGATTCCCAACCACTATTTAAAGACAATGTCTGAAGAGACATAAACGATCAAAATAGTCTTTAAAAATGATTAATGGTGACTAAAAATTGGAGGTATTGTTCTGTTTGAATATAAGCAGAATGCTTGCACCAATTGTATATCGCCGAAAGATCATGGTAAATGGTTATAAATTGGCATGGCCGTAGGAACCGGGGGAGCCGTGCCACCCCCACCCCCCCAATAATTTTGCCGATATATAGAATACTATAGAAAATATAGCTACTATATGCTTGTGTTCCCTCAATAATAACTTCTGATGACTTTTTTTGGCTTGTCAAGGAATTTTGGTACCTTGATATGCCCCCTTTTTTTCTTGTCAAGGAATTTTGGTTCTTGAAAATGTATGGCTGTGCCCCCTTAAAGTAAAATTGCTTTCTACCGGCCTGCGACCAATATCGATGTCTCTTGTACCTCACAGCACGGGATTTGCATTTACATACTGTGCGTTGAAATTGGCAAAGAATGACCAGGGAGTCATTTTTTTGTTTCAGTCAGATTTCAAACCATTCTTTAGTGACATACTCTTAGATATAAATTTTGTACCGTTTTGATGAGTTTTAAGTAAAAAATAAAAAAAAAAGTTCAGTACGTTAGCTACGTTAGCTATGAAAATACTACCTCAGAAAAAATGCATTACACGAGCATATATTTAAATATAACCAAACAAATTCACGAATATTTATCAAAAAAATTAATATTTTTGTTTGCTTGTCTGTTTAATGTCCCTCCGTTCGAGAATTTTTCACTCATGTTGAGACGCCACCATTTGCCGGTGAAGGCATGTACTCGGCACTTATGGCTTTTGAGCAATGAGATTTTTTCCGTGCCAGCACCTACCGCGACACGGGACCTTGACTTCATTATCTTGAATATCTTCTATCATGTTTTCAGAAAAATTCTATTTTTATTGAGAAGAGTTCCTTTTTTTAAGATAACTTATTCACAGTTTCCTCATGTTTTCATTTGAAGGTGGTAAAAATACTCTATGCTGACAATCAAATTCATTTTGCCCCTCTTTAAAATGAAGATGGGGACAAAATTATTAAATGTTTTATTCAAAATCATGGATATGTTTAGATCTCTACTTCTGTTGTATACCAAAAAAAATATGCTAGAAGTTTTAAATTAATTTTAGAAACATTCCCGAAATCAGAGGGGTAAGAAGAAGGCTATGAAAATGCATACAAAAACTTACTTCTGAAAAAGAGCAAAATGGGGTTTCCGGTTGAGATTAGAGAATCAAACAATTTGCAAAATTAAGGTTGAATTATATAATACTGGATAATGAGACATCCCATTCTTCATGTAAATATCTTAACAATTTTCTAAATTAAGGCTCATTGACCATCTGAAAAGAGAGATAACTCTTACTTGCACTTTTCCTTATATTAAAGGCATTTCTTTCAAATTCAGCATTGCAAGGTATGCTGAAATTTTTTGAATCTCAATTATATTTTTAAATTAGATTTCTTTTGGAAAATCATTATTATTGAAAAACAATTTTGAATACTCGGGGGGATGATAGACAAATAAAACATGGCAACCCAATAGTAAAAAATGAGAAATCTTTGTTTATAGATTTTATTTGATTATTCAAATTGTCCTATGTAAAAAAAAAAAAAATAACAATTTTACTTTTTATAACATCTGTAGACATCCTCCTTGTACAATAATAAATCCATGATACACTCTTAAGATTAAGTGAAGACCATATTGTTATCTGATAGTGCCTGCATTTTATCTAAGTACATTTGTGTCTGATTTAGCAAATTAGCATCTACTAGTATCTTTCTGCATGTTTGAAACTTAATTATAATGTTATTTTTGGAAAAATTCTTAACATTTTTTTCCCTTTAAATTGTACACAGTCAATGTCTGTCATGAGGAAGCCTGATAAAAATGGTTTATAATATTCAACAATCACGATATTGAAGACCAGAATTAGTATATTAAAAAAATAACTATAAATCTACAATAAAATTTCAGAGAAATTTTCCAAATATAATTTGGCAAACAATTAATTAGTAAAAATTTGTAAAAAAGTGGGTTATATATAAAATTATTATTATTATTTTTTTGTTTTGTTTTTGTTTTGTAAGAAAATCATTCTGACACCAAAGATAAAATTCTAACAGGACAAGGCAGAATAATGGCACAACCATCCAATAAATAATTATACAATCAGTAAAAATCACTAGATAAAAATAACATCACCTTTCTAAAAATAACAACAGGACAACAACTACTGAAATATGGAATGGTTATATGCAATATTGTAGATTTTATGGGATGTATACATTATATATACAAAATTTGGTGTGGGTCATGATTATTTGGACAAAAGCTGATATGTATAAAATGTCCTTGAAATGAATAAAAGTGATTACAGGTATACTGTTACAGTAATATAAAATCAATTTTGATTGGGTGATTATGTAAAAAGGACGTAATGAATTCCATGGTAATGCCTCTGTCAACCAACCAGAGTTCTTGTTACATTGAAGCTATGCTTCCAAGTGATTGAAATTCACTAGTGATTAGCACATGAAGCTGAACACTTCTACTACACTCCTCCCCTTTTTTAGTCTTATTGCTTCAATCACAGTCGTGTCCAAATGGCCTGGAACAACAGGGTCACTGGTTCAAATCTATAAATCAAACTCCTCTCCTACTCGATCTGAGCTGCGGTTTAGATTCTCATCCTTGGCCTACAAACAGGAAAAGATAAAGATTTCATACAATATGAAAACTCCAGCACTTTTGGGGGATTTTGTTCACAATTATATATTAATCAATTTTGTTTTATAAGACCAAAATATCCAGAATGGAACAGGGTAAGAGTATAGACTAAAATGAAGGCAGAATACTTTAGGAATAGGATTGGTGTATGAAGAAGAAAAAGATTGTACAATGCAATGGAATAATCTATTACAGGGTGAAGAAAAATCACAAAACTGATTATCACATTTAGAGTCTACTTTAGCTATTGTTTACATGAAATTGACAACTCTATATGCATGGGAGGAACAGAATACACACTGAAAAATGCAGGGCTAGAAAAAATATAGGAACAGCCAGTTAATTTTTAAGTTACACAAAAATTAAAAAGATAACGGATCAATTATTTCTGCATTTACATTTTCTATTCATTGGGAAAAAAAGGTATTTTGACCAGCGAAATTCCAGTAATTGATTCTTTAAACTTGATCAATGAAAACCAGGAAAACTTGTTTCTAGCCCTGAACAGAAGTAAAATTATAAGCATTGCCAAAAAAATTCACCAAAATATGTAATGTTGATTAATTAAATCTAAATATATATATATTTCAGTATCAATTTTGCTAATACTGAGGATACATTGTTTATGTATATATATATATAAACCAATGATATTAAAGCTTTTATTATTCTAACTGCACATACATCCAACAAAATCTAAATTTTGTAATGGAGGTCAAAAAGAAAGGAAATTGTTTCACCCTAATTTCAATTTTTAAAAAGATTATATTTTGTCAAGTTTTGAAATTCATGCATATTCATGCAGAACAAACATTGACCAAATTAAATTTTCATCAGAGCTTTCATTACACAGCACAATAATATTTTCAGCAATGACAAACAACTGATTGATATCTAGCAGTACAAGGCCTATGTATGTACCAAGGATACTAAGTGAGACAAGTCTTACGGTAAACGCCTTATTTTCGTAGGACTGAAAGCAGAAACGAGTTCTGGTTAATTCCGAGTTAATTGGGACATACGTAAAACCATATTAATTAAGTTAGAATGTAATAACCTTCTAAACTGAAATCATAAAATTAAACACCTACAGCATAAATTTATTTAAAGGTTCTTTTTTTCTTTTTTTAGCTTACAACTTTTATGATGAAGGATATGATTTTTTTTCTGTTTTTAAATGTTATTTAAAACCATTAAAAAATTTAATAAAAATCACAAAATCAGTTTACGCTATTAACAATTTATCACAATTATTAATCTCCTACAATGTATTCAGAAAGAATGAAGCCTCTTAAAAACACATCACAACAAGCTGCAACAATCAAACATGGCTACATTTGGATAGAGCCATTAAAGAATCACCATCTGTAGGCCATCTGTCTCAGAGAAATTCGTTAACAGACAATAATGCTAGGAAGGAATACCACATTGTCACATTTTTTTTTTTCAAATGGAAGTACGTTACAATTACAGAGCAAAAGTCAATGTCATACTAGTTCTGTTTAACTTTATATCAGGGTAGTTCGATGCTACAAGCCTTTGCTTCATTAATCTGCAGGAGAAAAGATCAAATGAACTAAGCAGAAATTTTCATGTTTTTCTTCTTTGATTTTACACTGAAGACGTTCTTATTTGTTGCTAAATTGTGTATACTCTGAGGAGTTAAGCTAATTTTGAAGCCAAAATTGAGGCCAGCCCAATTCTGAGGCCAGACCAGGTTTTATAGTATGCTGATTACTAAATAGATGGCTACATGAAGGGTGATGCTTTAATGCCTATAAACAGTTCACTAGCTAGTAAATACTGGGATAGCCTACATATGTCCATGCTCTATTCTAAAAATAAATATAATTATTCATGTACTCAAATTTTACTATGTTTATCTTCAATATTCTACAGATATATACATAGAGTTTTTTTGGTAAGATATGATAATCGTTGTCCATGAGACTTGTAGTCAGTATAATATTCTTTGTCAAATCATCCATAAGAAAACTGAGGGTCAATTATTTCTAATTCAAGTACCGGTGCCTTCTACCGTAAAGTGTTAATCAACATGAAGATCATTTCAAAGGCAAAATAATGTCAGTTTTTGTACATTCTAGATTTCAACAGTTCTGAAAACCTTCACAGATTTACATAAATCCAAGTCCAAGTACATCCTGTGGAAATAAATGCAGTCAAACCTCATTATCTCGAACACAATTAACAGGACCAAAATTAATCTTTGAGATGTCTGCAGATTTGAGATAACAAGGGAAAAAAATCATAAAGAAAAGGTGGTTGGGACTGTCAACTTACTTAGACATATCTCTGGTATTCAAGATATTGATGTTTGAGAGAACGAAGTTCAATTATACTGCAAAAAATCTGAGTCTTCACTAACTTTAGCAAAAGCAAAGCATGTTATATCAAAGGTCTGGATTTCCTCTGGTCATCAGCAATTCTAGATATATAATCAGCCACAGCCAAAACTCCAAACTCACACACAAATTGGCACTAAAGAATGCAACTAGAGCTAGTATGTTAGTAAGAGGACTGAAGCGATGATTAGTGTGAAGAGAGTCACACCGTGTGATATGTAACCTCTTTGGTTGGTTTCTCATCTTTGGGGTCATCCTCTTTATCAGACCCCTCCTCCGAGCCCTGGTCAGCTCGATTACTCCCAGAATCCCCTTCTGCCTCAGCACTCTTTACCTCCGGTTCATCGGTCTCGCGATGTTCAGGCTAATTACATGAAAAGAGCATGCATTATTCCTGATTACATATGGTATTTTTTCCTGTTAAAGGGTTAGATTTGTATGTCTCTTACTTACCTACGATTAATACAAATATTAATTGATAAGTACATAAATATTTAATGCAATGCTTTATGAAATCAAACCCACACATTCAAACCCCCATAGTTTCAAATAGAGATGTACGTTAATCACATATGCATGCATATTTCAAGGCAAATGGTAAAATAAGCTTGACTTTAGCAAACTTTTTTAAGTACTTTTTTCTTCTCTCTTTTGTCATACAACAAAATTTGGATTTATTAAAGAAGATGCAAGTTGACAAACCATCATGCAGCAAATTCAATACCCAATTTTCTTCTCTCTTTTTTATACAACAAAATTTGGAATTATTAAAGAAGATGCAAGTTGACAAACCACCATGCAGCAAATTCAATACCCATGCATATCACCTATCCACATTTAGAAAGCTATCACTCACCTTCTCATCTTTTTGCTCCTCGAAGCTGCTCATTCTCCGTGGTGCTCGGTCAGACACCACCACCGTTTCTGTGGTGGCAGACACTGCCACAGCCTCCTGCCACTTCTCCTCTACAGGGGGCTTCTTCTTCTTCTCCTTCGCCAACCTCTTCTTCTCTTTCTCCTCTTCTTTCTTCTTTCGTTTTTGCTCCTCCTTCTCTCTCTTTTTACGTTCCTTCTCCTCTTTTTCTCTTTTCTTTCTCTCCTCTTTGCTTAGGAGTGCTGGGGGATCAAGTGGAGGGGAGGGGAGGTTATGCACATTGAGGGGTTCTTGCTGGTTTGGAGGGGCATCAACTGACCTTTCCTACAAAGCAAAGCCCAGATTTCATTATTAATATAAGCAATTACTGTTGTTTTTGAAATCTGCGGGGGGAAAAATGGGACCATTGAATATTTTAAAAAAGAAATACAATTGTTTAGTTGGATCAGAAAGCTACATACATGTCCAATTAAAAGTAAATATTCACATGAATATTTGTTAATTCTCCTGTCAAGTTGGTAAGAACAATGTCAATCTTTATGATAAAATAGAAATGATTACTTTCTCTAAGTTTTCAAGAACTTTCAAATGTTGGCAAAAACAGGAATAAGCAAGAAATATTAGTTTTTTCCAGTTAAGACATATCCTATATGATTAAAATGTAGTAAGCAGTCATTATAGATGTTAGCAAATGATATTCATTTTTCTCTTTGGTTAATATAAGTGGTTAGTATTCTCTGAAGGAAAGATCAGTTAGGTCTCCTCCAAACCTTTAGCAGGTGCCCCTAACATCGGGACATATAAATACCTTGTTAAATCTGTATACTGTACGATATTGACAAGGGTTAGTTACTATATTTAGACATAAACTATTCAGTGTAGCATGCATTATGAGATTATAGTGAAGTTTCCAATCATCAATGGTGACATTTCTCACAGCAAGACAGGAGATAGAAGCTAAAGTGTAAATTCATTTGGAAATGTGTAACTGAATAACGTAAACATTTTCATATGATAAATGTAACCAAATCACATGAATGTTTTCATATGAAATATGTAATCAAACCATATGTAAACAGGTTCATATGAAATAAGTTATCGAATCAAATTTAAACCTTATCATAAAGAACAACATCAGTTTTATAGGATCTTTTATTCTGCTCCAGGATTTCAGCAAAATTAACAATTCAAAATTTTTTAGTAAAATAAATAATTCAAATGAACACAAGATTTTACCTAAATAAACAGAAAACAATTGTATAAGTGGATTCTTTAAGTACATGATAAATATAACATGTATATAGCAAAAAAAAAATCATTATTTTAAGCACTTACTAATTAAGAATGCCAAAAGCAAAACAAAAAATGAAAAAAATTCTTTCAACATTCAAATGTATCATATTGTGTCCTATGTATGTTATTAGCTAAACATTCCAGTATCCTTGCAATGATGGTTCGATCAGTTTATACCCAAAATGGCCAATAATTTGATTTTTTATAAATAATTCATGTAAAACAGAAACAAGAAACCTAGACAGTATGTATAGTAAATATTGGAATTCCATATCTAAAAAATGTTATAACATTAATGAACATAAACATGTTAATCTACAAGAATGAAAGCCTATGTTTATATAAATAATTCAGAAGTAAATGGCCAGCATTTTTCTGAATTGATTGATGATACAACGAATTAAAAGGAAGAGAAGATTGAAAAAAAAAAAACTATGAACAACATAACCATATTTTGCTTGAGAAAAGAGAGCTTTGGGTATCCCATACTTTTTAATTTCTGTAAAATCAAAAATGACTGAAAAGTGTTTGATCAATCATTGTCATACTGACCATAACTAATTGTATCTATATATCTTTTCTCTGTTTATATCTGTCCATAAGCTTTAAAAGTACACACAAAACAACAAAAACAATTCAATCCAAGACAAGAATATTTTTTTTAAAAAATAGTTATGTCCAATGCTTTTCCTTTTTCTCCGTTTTCTTCTTTTATACCTCTTATATTAATTAATGAATAAGTTGAAGATAATGAACAGTGACTGATCTCAAAAAATCTACAACAATATTGTAAACAGGGCATAAAACACCTCCCCCCCCCCCCAGAAATGAAAAAAAAGCAATAAAGATGCAAGTACAACAATGTAAAATTAATGTAAATTTATATAACAACCTGAGACACATAAACACTAAACAGTGTGTTTGTAAAACATATTCCCCAGCTAATGAAAATTCAATACCTACTTTACAGATTGCCAGAATAAAATATCAAGCAAGAAATGTAGACTGATATTGTATACACAAAAAGATTACTCCTCAAATTTGAATTTCTCACATAAAAAGTCAGTCAGGAATAGCTCAAACCTATAAAGACATTCATTTTTACAACACACAACTTCACTGCAAACTTGAAAGAAATCTGACATTAAATGAGGTCTAAAATATTTTTCTCAAAATATAATTTTTAGTAAGTATATCTCCCCTTTCCTGGAATGAAAAGAAAATTCGGTCAGACAGGCGCGTAGCCAGAATAGAAATGATGTGTACGCAGAGAACAGCAGGGGGTTGGGTGGGGGGGTCTTGAGCCCCCCCCCCCCCCCCAGCCAGTGTGTAAGGGCTCTGGTCAGGCACGTAATATAGCTTTTGCCAGCCAGGAAAAAATTACAACTTTAAAAATTTGTCAAGCAAGGACGAAAAAGGAAGATTGTCAAATTCGAAGTCCTATTTCTTGTGTGTGTGTTTGTTGAGGGGGGGGGGGGGGGGGGGGTTCCATCTTTCACAAATCAAATTTTTATTTATACATTACCAATTACAATGATTTAACAATGGTGCAACAAACAGTGGGGGTCCACCCTTTCAATGTACATTTTTTTCAATAGTAAAAGATTAGGTTTTGGGAATAAACAGTGGGGAGGCTCCCCTGATACTACGTGCCTGCTGGTGAGGGTCCAGAAGCTCCGGAGTTTTACCAAATATTTCATTCATTTTCTTGCAATATAAAAATTATGCCATTTAGTTTTTGTTTAGGAAATAAAAGACATAGTAATATTTATTGTTTTAACGAAAATTAATATTCCATGGAAATTTATTGTGCATATAATTGAGGCTAAAATTTAACCGATATATTAATTGGTATCATATAATCATTCTTAATGTTTAAAAATACGTATACAAAATTTTAATTATGAACAAAAAAATATCGTATTGTAAATAATACTAGTAGATCATAGCATTCAACGATGTGGCTGAAATTTATTTTTTCAAAGATCTTTAAAAAAAAATCAATGTATGATAGAATAATGACAAAATAATGAAAGATTTATTTGGATTTGTCAGTTATTAAATAAAAGATTTCAAATTTTATCACACAGCCATGATAATTTAAAATTTAAATCGACACAGTATGACACAGAATAATTTGAAACACAAATATTTGTTGGATGGTACCGAGATTTTTTTCTCCGAACAATTTTCTCTTTTTTTCTTATCTTTTTTTTTTTTTTTTTTTTAAATGATGTGTACGCACTTGCGTATTTGCGTATAGGCAGCTACGCGCCTGTCAGAAATTGCTCATCTTCACATTTGAGCTTCACTTTCATTGCCACAGGGCCTTAATGCATACATATTTGAAAGAAATCATACATGAAATTTTCTTTTAAACTTGTTAACAACTAATTTAAGATAGACTAACTGAGGGTTTAACAGACAAAGCAAATCGTTATAAAAATACAGCACTATTTCACATCAAATTACCTGGTAGTCTTTTATATAAACATCGGTTTTTCAAAAACTTTTTTTTTTCGATTACATATTCTGTTTCACACTGTACATGAATAATAGCATTCTTCTTTCAACCTAGAATTCAAGCATTTATAAACTGTTGCATGGCACTTCAATGAAAAAAAATTAGAACTTTATTATAAAGTAGCATCAAAAAGCTTCAACAAGATAACACAACTAAATCTATCATGTAGAACTATGTAAAACATAACTTTATATCAATAACCTGGGACTAGAGCAGGATTAAATATAGCATTGTAAGTACAAGCCAAATTGTATCACAGGAATTTATAAATATAACAAAGATTGTATATCTATATATGTATATACCTCTCTTAGGACTAAGCATAAAGAACAAATCATTTTAAATAAATTAAAAAAAAAATAAAGTTAGAAATTATCTTCAAAAAAAAAAATGATATGGAAAATGTCAATTTCAGCATAAAAACAAAAGCAAATGTTATTATAACAGAAAAAAAATGTATCCTTCATTTGTTATGTAGGACAGTTTCTCTGATATTTTAAAGTCAAAGTGCAGCAACAAAAACAAAAGAATGACAAGTCTATCCTATTTATATTACAAAATGTAACATGAACACAGACTAATCCTGTGAAATTTATTAAGTTTTCAGCTTTGACAGTTCCATGTGATGCAAGACTATGTGTATGTCACTTTCTACTGATTCAGAAAGTTATAAATGAAAAAATCCCAATTTGGAAAAAAAGTTAATACAAAGGAAATTTCTCTTTTGCTGGCAGAATAGTTAAAATTGCTTAAAAGATATTACCTTCTGCACAAATATTGCCAAAAAAAAAAAACCCATTTTGTTTTATAAAAAAAGTTACAGGACAGGTCTCTAGACATAAAATTTTGCAGGAAACTGATGAAAAAGTGTTTTATTTTTAATCAGCTTCTATTCTGACTCAGAAAAATAAGAAGAGCATTGAGACAAGAAATATCAGTATTGCTAAGAAGACCTCGGACAGGATGTACACGGCCTCTGGACTCTCGGGACGGACCATCACTGAACTTAACCTCTTAGCACTTAGTCTCCTAGGCAGCATTGTAGGAACGTCTGCTCCGCCTGTCTGAGGTAATGGTGGACGGTCATCTTTTTTCACCTGAGGCTTTACCCTCATCACAACAGCTGAATTCTCTGGCAGGCTGTCTGGCTCCTCTTCAGCCATTTTAAAGTCTTCCTCAAGTTCAGAGTTTTCAGAATCACAGAGAGGAGGAAGTTTATCATGCATTTCTAAACCATCTCCATCTTTGATGAGTTTCTCTTGTGATCCCATGTTGTGAAACTGAGAAGGAAAATTCTGTCCAAGTTCGATCATCTTTCTGTTGCTATATTCATCCTTTCCTCCATTGTTGTCTGCTACATTATTGTGAGCACTCTGACTACTTGTCTCTCCTAAACTAGAGACACTTTCACATTGAGGATCTTCAAATACATCTTCATCTGCAATTTCACAATCCTCAATATTTTCTATTGCTTCAACCTTCTGTGTTAAAATATCTCTTTTCATATTTATATCTTTGAATGATGTGTCTTTTAATCCACTGTTGTCATCTTGCACAGCAATCGCATTATCCACAGTATCTTTCCATATTTCACCTTTCTCCTTCTGTGTTTCCAACACTCTCGGTCTCTGAAGTGAGCCATCGATGTACACCTTCTTCTTCTTTGGACTTTCTCTGTACTGTCTTGCTGAGATGGGAGAAAACATGGATTCACTTGAGTAAGTTTTTAATGGCCTTTTAACATCTCTGTAATCTTCATAATTTTCCCTTGGATTTCCAAGAAAGAATTCATTTGAGCTATTTGGAATGCCTTTTGTATTTATTCTGTCTGAAACCTCTGTATCTTTCTTTAGCTCCTGACATTCAAAGGAATTATTTGTTGGTGAAATAGTGCTTTCATCTACTTTAGACTGAATTGGTTTATATTTTGTGTTTTCATGGAGCCTAGATATTTGAAAATGTTCTCTGTTGACATACACTGTATTCTCTTTTCTATCAATAGCTTTAAAGTTTATGTTCTTAGGATCAACATCTGTCAAACATTCATGTGTCTGTTTTATTTCCCTATCATTTGCATTATCTTTCCCTCCATCTTTCCTTTCTAGCTGATTCCTTACAGACATCTGTGTGTTATTTCCACTGATAGGACAAGAGGACTTCATCTGTTCAATTTTCATGACTTTCAGTTCTTTCTCCATTTTCACACCTGTACTAATATCTCCTCTATCTTTTAACTCGTCAGTTATGCCGAGAACAACCCTCTCATCCTCCTTAGTATTGGCATTCCTAGCAGTGACTTGGTCTACATTGGATCCCTTGTCAACTTTATCAGAGCCATTGACAAACCTACTTGAGTGTGACAAGACCCACTCTGCAGTGCTGCTGTAACTGTCCCTGGGTGATTTCTGTTCCTCACCAAGTCTCTCCTTCTGTGATTCAGGTTCCCTCTTTGAACTTTCTGGGAGGTACTGTTGTTGAGCAGTAGCACTATCCTTTGAACTTTTTTGAAAGGGAGATGCCTGATCCTTAACATTCGAAGGAGATGTGACAGTCATGGTCTTTTTGGGAGGAATGAAAATCAAGGGTCTAACAGGTGCTGGTGTTCTGTTCCAATCAGAAAAAGCACTCTGTGAAAAAGCACTAGGGACTGGAGAAGGCTTGATGAAACTTGATGAGACTTCAGATGTATGGAGAGTATGTAAAGTAGTGCTGATGGGAGCTCCAAGCTCTGAGGTACTATGGCTTACTATAGTTGTTTTACTCAGGGTTGAAATCACTGTACAGGGTGTATTATCACAAACAGAGGTACTTGTGACAGCAAAAGGCTTATCGACCGGTGTACTTTGGAAAGCAACAACGGTGGTATTTCTGTGAGTCTCTACTGCTGTGCTGTCTGATGCATTCATGGATGAATTCTGTACTGATGTATTTTTAAGTACCCTCTTACTCTGATCATTAGTAGAAATGACAGGAGTTGTAACAGATTCAAAAGGGATGTTTCCTGTTGTATTGCACACATGAAAATAGTTGGATTGATCTGAAATCCCTGACTGACTTTGACTAGGAACAACAGTAGGTGTGGTGATGCAAAGGGCCTTCTTTGACACAGTATAGGTCTGCTTGTCAGAAGTAGAGCTGACAATGAAAGTGGATGAAGGTAATGAGGCAGAATACGAGGCTGAATTTGACTGTCCATCTACATCTAGAGCCTGACCACAAGCAGGAAGTGAAGACATGACAGGAAGGAGTACTTCCTGTCCAGAGACAATTTCTTCTTTGACTTGCACATCATCTTTCGGGTGTTCCACTTTTGAATTATTGTCTCTTATTTCATCATCACTGATTACAGCCAAAGATTTCATTTTAAATTCAATATCCTTCTGTCTACTTGGTTCATCTGAACTGCTCTTAGGCATGTCTATAATGGATGAAAGACCTAAAGTAGCATCTGAAGCAGTCGACACCTCTTTGAGTTTTCCATCATCCTTGAATAAATTTCTGCAAACACTGCCTGCTGCCTTTATAGCATTCTTCTTGTAAGGCTGAAGTGGAGTAAATACATCAAGTTCATCATGGTGCATCTTTTGTTCTGCATCAAGTTCCATCTTACTCTCCATCTCATCAATCATTTCCCTCTCCTTCTCATTTTGACTCAGAGAAAATATTTGCTGATCACTTGACACTAAATCATTGTTTAATAGAGACTGAGGTAATGCTTGATTCTTGGAATTAAAGTCTTCTTCCATTTCATAACTGTCCCCTGAAAACTCTTTCATTTCATTGGCATCTTCCACATGGTCATTTTTCTTCAGCAACTCCATATCCTCAGCTGTATCATCAATTCCCGAGGTTCCTACCTCTGTCATGTTCTTTCTGCCTGTGGGCTTTTGAAGACTCTTCTGTAGAAGTGTCCTGTGAGAAGTGGTTACCACTGTAGACTTTGTATCCTGAGGTAACCTTGGAGAGGAATCAGGGGTACAGGAACTGGAGGACCCCGAGGAATCATTGAAATAACGAGATAGAGAGGGAGTGTTTGGAGAAGACTCGGAATCAGAGAGCTGATCATCAGACAAACTGTCATCAATGAAGTTTAAGTTGAGTTTTTCAGGTGATTCAGGAGGCTTTTCCTCATCAGAAAATCCATATCTCACTTCATACACAAGGTTATCCTCACTGCAAAATCTAACCTTCTTACTCTCAAAGGATGGGGTGTCAGTGGGCTCTCTTTCTTCCTGACTAAGAGTCATTGACCTTGCCCTTCGAACACAGGGTTCATGGTCATAACTCTGAATAAAATCATTCACAGTAACACTTCCTTCCTCTGATGATAAAGACAAGATGGATGCTGTGCTATTGGTCAAAGCATCATTCATGTTTCTGTCAGCAATTTCAAGTCTCTCATCATTTCCTATTTCACCCTCAGCTAGAACTGCTTTAGAAGGCTCTGGTGTTGAGATTTCCTCCTTTGATATTTCTTGATCTATATGAGAAGTGTGTAGTTCATCAATTTGTTCTCTTTTGTCGAGGATATCATCTACTGAGGAGGTAGACCTAGGTCCTGCTGCAAACCCACAGTACTCAATACTGCCTTGTAGAGCTATCTCTTCTGGGGTGCCCCTCAGGTTGGAGTGGAGGATGCTGTCATCCAGCAGATTCTGTTCTCTAGGGCTACTGGAAGATTCAGACTCTGGCTTTCTGATGATGTATTTCTCTAACAAAATGGCTTCATTGTTTATGTAGTTGTATGTGTCTGTAAGATTTGAGACATTCTCTTTTGAGAAATCTACTCTTTCTATGGACTTCTCTGAGGGAGCTATTCTGTAATTCTTGCTGAGATATCCTGGACCAGACTCTCTTCTTCGAAACCCACCTCCTGGTTCTGATTCTAAGTTTTTGATAACAAAATCAGAACTTTCCTTTTTAACAGGCACTGGCTCCTTGTTCATCACAGGCTGTTCCTTTTGCCTTCCTCTTCTACCTACTTGCTTTATGAAGCTTGACTTCAGCGTCACCTTTTCCTCCTCCATTTTTGCTTGACTACTGAAGTCCTCAGAGTCTGATGAGCTATATCTGTACAGACTCCCACCAAGTGGAGTGTTTCTCTGATGAGATTGATTTCTATAAGAACTGTCTGTTTCTTTCATTTCATCTCTCTGTCTGGAACCATCAAAAGAATCAGATTTAGAAGAATTTGTATAACTAGTACTTTTCCCATAACTTCTTTCAGAAAATTTTCTTTCAAAAGTGTCAGAATATCCTTCATCTATACTAGAATTCAATTCCTTATCAATTGAATGTCCTTTGAAATCCAGCTTCCTTGGGTGAGGATTCCTGGGAGATGCTGTCTTGGTTGACCTGACGGCTAGTGGACTATCCACATTGGAAGATGCTGTCATGGTTGACCTGATCGCTAGTGGACTATCCACACTAGGAGATGCTGTCATGGTTGACCTAATCGCTAGTGGACTATCCCCACTGGACTGGCTGCCTGTTCTCTTTTTCTGGTACCTCCTTCTCGGGGCCAGAGATAACTTCTGAGGAAACAGTTCACTGTCACTCCTGCTGACCTGAGAGCTTGCACTTCTGAGGCTCTCCTCATCGAAAGAAACTTTCTTAAAACTCTCACTTCCTGTTCGCTGGCGCCCTTTCTGTCTTTTTAAATTTGTCTTGGTTAATGATATAACTGGACTAAGTGAAACGTTTGTTTGATTCTGATTAGTGTCCCAGTACTTCCCCGAATTAGTATAAGCATGTCTATATACTAGATTATGATTATTAAGTCTGTCTGTACATACCATGCTATCATCCAGTGGTCTGTCGGAAACATCCTCCTCAAATGATCTTCTCCGGCGGTTATTTTCTTGGTTGTTGTTTTCGACTTGTTCTTTTTTCATCATGACTTGTGCCAGGGGGGTTGGGACAGCGTGCATCTTCTCCATCCGGCTCTTCCTGTTATCTGGCTCCTCCTCCTCCTCCTCTTCATCTTCAAACACATCTTCCCTGTCTTCTTTGTCATTGATTTCAGGCTCTGGGATTTTCCTTGTCATCTTCTCTTCTCGATTATACTCAGGGATGTGCCTTGGCTCCGGTCGAGGTTTGTACATTTCTAGAAAAGAGAAAATACATAGAGACAATGCAGTTCTTAACAAAATTTAAGAGAAAGAAACAATCAGATGATGTGGACTTTGTCTTCTTATTTCCAACAAACTACACGTAGATTGGACAGTCATCAAAGGTTTGGATGTGTACAGATAACTCACAAATTATTCAAAAGTTGCTTTAAAAAAATTGACCAGTTAGCTAAAAAGAGGACTTGTATAATTTTGAGGCAGAACTTTGTAAGATGCAGATCCAGGATTATTTATAACAATGACTTTAGAAATATATGCAGGCACTCCATCTAAATTCTGCTTCTCTGAATTAATTTCAGAATCTAAGAATATGACATAATAAGGAAACTCAACCATGCATATTGTTAAAATTACAACAAAAAAAAACTTTTGTAAAAAGGGAAATATATGAAACAAGAAAAATAAAAATAAAATGATGGTGGGGAGTGGGAGGTGAATTACCATCTGCTAGTTCCTTGTTTTTGGTCCTGCCATGATATGTGGCACGTTTGCTGTGGACACGATCAAAATATGGAGAGGGGCGATCTACTCCCATCATAGCCTGCTTGGTCTGGAAGTGAGTTCTTCCGGAATAACGGAACTTGGATCCAAGTTTTAAGAATCCCCTCTGTGTTCCTGGAGAGTCTGGCTCTCTATTTCTGTAAAATTATCACAGGCATAATGTGACTCTAGAGTCAACTTTGTCATTTTTGAGAAAAATATGTCACAAACTAGTATCGATTACAATCAAGTACTATTACTTTTTCAGAGGGGACAGATGTGTGATTATCTAATTTACCTGAAGAAAGCATGGTGTTCCACACATATCTTCCACATGCGTTTGGCATGTTTACTTGATAAAAATTTAAAACCTATTAAACTCTGGAACTCTTCAAACTGAAAAAGATAATCATGTTAACTTTATTTAAAATTACTGAGTCAAGCAATTGAATGATAATCCAAAGACAAAAAGAGAGAGAGAGAGAGAAGACTGAACTAAACTGAACTTAAAAACAGTAGAACTTTAATTAAAGGATTGGGGATGTTTGAAAATTCTCAAAACATTACTGATATCTTACCTCCCCTGTTCGTAGCTTGATGTAGAACTTTTTTCTTCTGTATGACATTTTGAGAATCTTTGGCCACACAAATTTGTTGATCTGGAGTTTTTCTCTGAAGACAAGAATGCCGCTCCAGCACACTCCTAATTGAATGTCTACTCCCTCACCATCCTACAAAAATAGTAACAGCCAAAAATAGTAACATAAAGTATACCCCACATATAAGTGGATATCCTTAACTCAATGTCCATTTCCTAACCATCCTACAACAGTTAAAAGTAGTAACATACTGTATACCGGGTTTCTTTAACGGGTGTAAAATTTGGCGTTTTGCATGCTCAAAGGTATGCCAATAATTTTGGCAGACACAGAGTTCAGTGACATTGCAAAAGAGAGGAAATTCATCTTTAAGAAAAGATTCAATACATTTAATATAGGTTTGCATACAGATTTACTCAAAAGTTTGAGTAAATACAATACCAGGTGAAAGTTATATTGCTTATTCAAACAAGAGGCCCATGGGCCACATCGCTCACCTGAGCACATTGGCAAGGCAAAAGCACAAATCAGTTCAGTACTGAAAAGATTACTGGGGGGGGGGGGGGGGCTTGAATTTTAAACTACCTGATGATGCTTCCATGTCAATATATAATTTTAAACTACCTGATGATGCTTCCATGTCAATATATAATTTGTTTAATTTGTTTTAACAAATGGCTTTGTTGTACTTGAGAAGATTTTTTAAAAAATTCCCATATATTCCTCTGTAAAAATTTGATCCCCCATTGTGGCTCCTCCCTATCCCTGGGGTCATCATTTGAACAAACTTGAATCTACACTACCTGAGGATGCTTCCATATCAATATGACTAAACATAGCTTTTCTGTTCTTGAGAAGAAATTTTTTTCTATATGTTCCTATGTAAAACTTTCAATCCCCTTATTGGGCCCCACCCTACCCTCGGGGGTCATCATTTGAACAAAATTGAATTTACACTACCTGAGGATGCTTCCATATCAAAATGACTAAACATGATTTTCAGTTCTTGAGAAGAAGATATTTTCCTATATGTTCCTATGTAAAATTTTCGATCCCCCATTATGGCCCATCCCTATCCCCTGGGGTCATCATTTTAACAAACTTGAATCTACACTACCTTAGGATGCTTCCATATCAAAATGACTAATCATGGCTTTGCAGTTCTTCATCAGAACATATCTTCCTATATATTTCTATTTCAGACTTTTATCCTCCATTGTGGCCCCACCCTACCCTCGGGGGTCATGATTTGAACAAACTTGAATCTACACTACCTGAGGATACTTCCACATAAATATGATCAATCAGGGCTTTGCTGTTCCTGAGAAGAAGATTTTTAAAGATTTTTCCTATATATTTCTATGTAAAACTTTGATCCTCCATTGTGGCCCCGCCCTACCCCCGGGGGTCATGATTTGAACAAACTTGAATCTACACTACCTGAGGATGCTTCCATATAAATATGACTCATCATGGCTTTGCTGTTCTTGAGAAGAAGATTTTTAAAGATTTTTCCTATATATTTCTATGTAAAACTTTGATCCTCCATTGTGGCCCTGCCCTACCCCCGGGGGTCATGATTTGAACAAACTTGAATCTACACTACCTGAGGATACTTCCACATAAATATGACCAATTAGGGCTTTGCTGTTATTGAGAAGAAGATTTTTAAAGATTTTTCCTATATATTTCCATGTAAAACTTTGATCCTCCATTGTGGCCCTGCCCTACCCCCAGGGGTCATGATTTTGACAAATTTGAATCTACACTACCTGAGGATGCTGCCATATAAATATGACCAATTAGGGCTTTGCTGTTATTGAGAAGAAGATTTTTTAAAGGTTTTTCCTATATATTTCTAGGTAAAACTTTGATCCTCCATTGTGGCCCTGCCCTACCCCCGGGGGTCATGATTTGAACAAACTTGAATCTACACTACATGAGGATGCTTCCACATAAATATGACTCATCATGGCTTTGCTGTTATTGAGAAGAAGATTTGTAAAGATTTTTCCTATATATTTCTATGTAAAACTTTGATCCTCCATTGTGGCCCCGCCCTACCCCCGGGGGTCATGATTTGAACAAACTTGAATCTACACTACCTGAGGATGCTTCCATATAAATATGACTCATCATGGCTTTGCTGTTCTTGAGAAGAAGATTTTTAAAGGTTTTTCCTATATATTTCTATGTAAAACTTTGATCCTCCACTGTGGCCCCGCCCTACCCCCAGGGGTCATGATTTGAACAAACTTGAATCTACACTACCTGAGGATGCTTCCACATGAGTTTCATCTTCCCTGGCTTTGTGGTTCTTGAGAAGAAGATTTTTAAAAAATGCTACTAATTTTTCACTAATTCTTCATTATCTCCCCTTGAAAGAGGGCGTGGCCCTTCATTTGAACAAACTTGAATCCCCTTCACCCAAGGATACTTTGTGGCAAGTTTGGTTGAAATTGGCCCAGTGGTTCTTGAGAAGAAGTCGAAAATGTGAAAAGTTTACAGACGGACGGACAGACAGACAGACAGACGGACAGACGGACTACAGACAAAATGTGATCAGAAAAGCTCACTTGAGCCTTCGGCTCAGGTGAGCTAAAAACTAATTAAATTATTTCAGTGATTTTTCTTATAATGAAGGGTGCAAATTTGGCAATTAAAATTTCAGTGGCTTACTACAAAACTGTTAAAATAAGCCAAAAGTTAGCACCACCTATAGTGGACACTCCTAAATCAATGTCCATTTCCTAACCATCCTACAACAGCCAAAAATAGTAACATAACTTAAACCCTCTTATAGTGGACACAACTAACTGATTATCTCCACTATATCAAAAATATTAACAAAGAGAAACCCCCACTAATAGTGGACACTCCTATTTGAATAACAACACACTCGATCACTATTCCTAGAGTAGCCAAATACAGTAACACAGGGCTCTCGATTCTCTTTAATTGGGGCCGATATTCGGCCCCGTTCCCAAAGTGAAAAAGGCACCTTTTTCCTAAATTTGAGTGTAAAAATTCCCAATGTATGATTGCTTAAAATTTTTTACTGTAAAAAAAATAAAAAGCATATCTTTGACAGTAACACTTTCGTGTTGTAAACTGGTAGTTCGTATATATGCTGGAACCAGTTTAATATGAAAGCGAAAGTCGACTATAGTAAATTACGAATTCTCTTAGGTACGACTTGTTTACTCACAAACATGTCGCATAATGCGAATACTATATAAAAAAGATCTCTACTAAGACAACTGACAAATGTAAGAAAATAGACACTTTGTTTAAACAACAGGCTGCCGCTCTACAATTAACAGAATCTCATTCTGAGTCAGTGGTTACTGAAACCCTGCCCTAGAGCATTTCAGAACATCCAAAGACAAACATTTAAGTTCTGACCAGAGCCCTAGAGCATTTCAGGACATCTAAAGACAAACATTTTATTTTAAAGTTCTAAACATCTGAACAGTCAATTACATGTCTAATTAAGATCTACTGATTTGTTTTCAGTTTCTATGATTATTCTGTGTTTATTTGATTTTTCTTGTTTTAAGAGTTAAAATTATGACTGGTAAAAATTTCCCAATTTTTATAAAAACAACGCTTTTTTCCCAATTCCTTTGGCCCCGGCCCCAGTACCAAAAATGGGTATGACAGCCCTGTAACATGAAGAATACGCCAAGTATAATTATGGAAGTTTATCATTGATTATTACTAACAATAAACCAGAAGAAATGTACTAGTAATTACACTGTCTTCTGAGATCATTTTTTCTGCGCTTTACCTGTCTATTTTCATTCTTACTATACTGATCAACAAATCAACATTTTTCAAAATGAACAAAAAATTTGTACCTTTGCATTACTGAGATCAACTCCATACATTGCAAGTTTCTTGGCATTTTCCAGAAAATGCAGCTCAGCTTCCTCTGGGGTTTGTCCCCTGTAAATAATGACCAATAATATACAACATAAATTTCATGTACAAGCATATTTTTACATACAGTCAAACCTCGTTATCTCAAACTCAATGGGACTGAGAATAAACATCAAGATATCCAAGGATTCAAGATATCTAGGGTAAAATACTTAAGAAAAAAAGGGTTGGGACTTCAAAATCACTTCAACATATCCCTGGTATTCGAGATATCATGTTCGAGATACCAAAGTTCAACTGTATTGTGATACTAACACAAGTGTGTTATTGAATTCTGTAACTGAATATAGCTTTTTTTTGTTGTAAATATATTTTTTGCTACTGTAATGACACAATTAAACTTTGAAAATAGTGTTGTGAAATAAACACACTTAATGAGTATTCATAACTTTATAAAAGTGGGGAAAAAAAACAAAAAGGAATAAAAAGTTTTGTTTTTTTTTTCAGACAATGCAAAGAAACATAGGTAATCAGAGATTACAGAGCTCACCTCAACGAATGTTGCCTTTAAGTAAGGCAAAGTCCTACACTAAACTAATAATCTAGGAGTGTGCATCCCTAGATGCAACATTTATGCGATTTTGGTCTGATAGGGCTTGCAGTTACTTGGTAATAGACTTATCTGAAAACTTAAAACTAGTCACTCATCCAGAAAATGTAAGTCAAATCCAGCATCCGAAGCAAGTTTTGAGATTGTTCGTCCCTTGATGCATCATCCATGCAAGTTTGGTCAATATAGGGTTTATAGTTACTTGGAAATGAGATCTGCTCCAAAAACCTTAACCTGGTCACTCATCCAGAAAATATAGGTCAGATCCAGCATCCGAAGCAAGTCCAGTAGTGTACATCCTTAGATGTATCATCCATGCAAGTTTGGTCAATATAGGGTTTATAGATACTTGGAAATAAGATCTGCTCCAAAAACCTTAACCTGGTCACTCATCCGGAAAATATAGGTCAGATCCAGCATCCGAAGCAAGTCCAGTAGTGTGCATCCTTAAATGTATCATCCATGCAAGTTTGGTCAATATAGGCCTTTTATTTACTTGGAAATGAGACCTGCTCCAAAAATCTTAACCTGGTCACTCATCCGGAAAATATAGGTCAGATCCAGCATCCGAAGCAAGTCCAGTAGTGTGCATCCTTAAATGTATCATCCATGCAAGTTTGGTCAATATAGGGCTTATAGTTACTTGGAAATGAGATCTGCTCCAAAAACCTTAACCTGGTCACTCATCCAGAAAATATAGGTCAGATCCAGCATCCGAAGCAAGTCCAGTAGTGTACATCCTTAGATGTATCATCCATGCAAGTTTGGTCAATATAGGGTTTATAGATACTTGGAAATAAGATCTGCTCCAAAAACCTTAACCTGGTCACTCATCCGGAAAATATAGGTCAGATCCAGCATCCGAAGCAAGTCCAGTAGTGTGCATCCTTAAATGTATCATCCATGCAAGTTTGGTCAATATAGGCCTTTTATTTACTTGGAAATGAGACCTGCTCCAAAAATCTTAACCTGGTCACTCATCCGGAAAATATAGGTCAGATCCAGCATCCGAAGCAAGTCCAGTAGTGTTCATCCTTAGATGTATCATCCATGCAAGTTTGGTCAATATAGGGCTTATAGTTACTTGGAAATGAGATCTGCTCCAAAAACCTTAACCTGGTCACTCATCCGGAAAATGTAGGTCAGATCCAGCATCTGAAGCAAGTTCAGTAGTGTGCATCCTTAGATGTATCATCCATGCAAGTTTGGTCAATATAGGGCTTATAGTTACTTGAAAATGAGATCTGCTCCAAAAACCTTAACCTGGTCACTCATCCGGAAAATGTAGGTCAGATCCAGCATCCGAAGCAAGTTCAGTAGTGTGCATCCTTAGATATATCATCCATGCAAGTTTGGTCAATATAGGGCTTATAGTTACTTGAAAATGAGACCTGCTCCAAAAACCTTAACCTGCTCCAAAAACTTAAACCTGCTCCAAAAACATTAACCTGGTCATTCTTCAGCTGAAACTGCAGCATCTGAAACCTTGACTGGTACAATGAAACACACTAGAAGCATCCTCCATGCATCTCTGACTAATATAGGCCATAGAAGTACTTGAAAAGAAAACTGCTCCAAAAACCTTAACCTGGGATGCCGACGCCGACACCGACGCTGAGGGTATTACATAAGCTCCCCCAACTTCGTTGAGGTGAGCTAAAAATGCAAGGGATATTAAAATCATATCTGTACACAGTACTTCAAATTAAGGTTCATCATTTCTCTCTCTCTACTCATAGAAAATTTTGCTTTTGTGCTAATGATTTTTCTCCAAAGGAATCTAAATTACAATTAAATGTAAACAGTTTCAGCATACCGTGCTGGTGAAATATGACAGAAGTGACTAATAATGATTATTTATCTGTGAGAGTTATCTCTCTTAGCAGAGGGTTAATAAACCCTTAATGTCACCTTCTTTTTCTCTAGAGTACAGTAACTTTGACAATTATAATTACCTGTGAGTTTTGTGGAGCTCTGCTATTTTTTTCAGCAGTTCTCTGTCTTGATGAGGAGCAAATCTCATCTTCCTGATGTATTCTGTTCCCGGACCAAATTCATCTATGTCGAAATCTCCCAGCTCCGACTGGACTGTGTAGGATCCCAGAAGAGCATAGGTTACAGCTGAGCAAGGCAATCTGAAAAATGGTTACCATGTGTATATTTCACTTCAGACTTAACCATCTTGATGTTCAGTCAAAGAAAAGCACAAAATGGATTTTGAGTTTTATTTCCAAAGTTGGAAATATAACAAATTTTTCAGACTTCCTAGAGTATATTTTAAGCATTTTACTTACTTCTCATTGACAATATCATTCCTTATCTGCAGACACAGCTGGTATCTACAAAAAAAATAGAGGTGGAACCATAATGTGAAACAGTAGTAAGAAATTTAAGATTTAGGCCAGCCTGAGATTACATTAATATTTCACAATACATGTGTCATTGCTGATATAAACCTCATACACCCACCTTGTAAGGTCCTCATGCAGGGTCTGGGGGTCTGGGGGGTAAAACTTAACTTCAAATTTAAACTCCCATGCCAAGCCTGAAAACATATACACACGTACGAAATTTTGCTTTTCTGAAATAAATACTAGTGCAATGAAAAGCCATGTATTCAGAACAACTACAATCCATCTACATAGTAATGATCAACTATTATTCTTTCAACAAGATTAAAAGATGCATGCATGTAATATGTCCTTTCCTTAGTGTTCATGCATTTTTTTTCTGGAATGAATTTATATAAAATCAAATGGAATATGGAGAAGTAAAGGGGAGTAACTCTTAATGACATTTACCTTTCATTTGCTTGGATATCTTCTTTTCTACATTTAACCATTCCTGCAAAACAAATGGGATAATAATTAAATGTAATTAGATGAAAGGGGCCAGAGAATGTACATATTCCAACCATACTGCTTTAAAAATTAGAATTTCTTATTTATTTTTTTTTTTTCAATTATAGATTTTTACAGAAGAGCAGAGTTTTCATGGCAAGAAACTTCTGATAAGCTTAAATTAACGCACTGCTCTCAATACAATTCATCAAGTAGATGTACAATGCTTAAAAGGATTACAAACAAATATCAAAGGAAATAATTCTAACTTATGTATAACATAAAAAGGCAGTTACTAGGAATAAGAGGATTGCGTGCAGTTATTGACAGCAGAGATATACTACTGTAACATTTTAAAGGTCATCTTAATACATGTACCCAATGTAAACGTATGAATAAAATGACATTGTCTTGAAACTTCTCATTTATTCACAAAGGCAGGCCAGTGAAAATGAATTATTGTCTAGAAAAAGAAAGTAATTACCAATACTACTTATATACACCTGTCTATATTTATCTGTGTTTTGAGAGGGTAGTGATCACCTGTGAGTCTGGGACTTTATATGCTACCACTTGAGTGTCAGAGTCACAAGACACATTTATACACTGTCAGGTAAAAACACAGGTAAGAGGCTTATCATCAGGAATTATTCGAGCTTCCCGGAGACAAGGAGCACCCTGATTAAGGTCTTTTCCTGGGTCTCAGAAAATTGTTTACTCATGGGGAACAACTTTGTGATAACCTGTCTTTATATCAAAACTTAGCAGATATGTCAACACTCCGTCAATATCACCGCTGGGATATAATAATAATAATAAACCATTGAAAAGATACATTGTTAATTTAAATCAGAAAGACATTCCTCATAAATGAGTTTTTCCTCCTATCACAATCATTATAATATTCAGTACAGATAGATATAAATATTTTGTAACAGTCATGCAAATATGTACATGATGCATAATCAAATAAAGTAATTGTTACTAAAAGAATGAGGAAAATTTTACTGATACATAAAGCAAAAAAACAAAAATGTTTAAAAAGTAACATTTTTACTGGTACTCAATGGGGTTTGTGCACATATATCATTTTTGGTTTGTTTACATTTGACAGGATTTTTCTTCCAGGCAGCACTTTTTTTTCAAGGCTAATTTTACTCATTTTTACAAAAATCAATAGTGTGATCGATGCTTGCATTGCGTGCATACCTAGATCCCAATCAGTCAAGATTTAAAGGTAATACACAGGTAAATACAGAGGTATGTCACCTAAATCAATAATCGTTACCTGGACAAGGAAAAGAGAAGACATGAATAATCTGATAAGTTCACCAAAATAGAAAGCTTTTCTTTTTCTCAATCCATCCTATTAAAATAAATACAGCGATTTTCTATTCCGTTATCTACACAGTACTTTTGCTAGATCCTTTTATTTCTTGTTTGTTCACAAACTATTTATCACAAAACAAATGGCCTGTTACACATATATATCTATGCATCAATGCAATCTACCTAGACATTGTGTTTTTTTTCTTAAATCAACTGAAATATGCATGAGGGCAACACAACTGCTTGTTGATAATTAATAGAAGAAAGTAAATCCAGGATGCTTTTCCATCTCTCCCCCCCCCCCCCCCATCTCCTATTTCTTAGTCTGTTCTATCAAATGTTGTAGCTAGGTACTTAACAGTCCCTCAAATTGCTTTTAAATCTGCATCATAATAAACACCTGAGTATATACACTGTATTAAATACAGGCAATACACAATTCACATCTCAGTCAGGATTCTCACAATTTTTACGATGTATGTATGCTGTATGAACAATTTTCACGATTTCCATTACAGACTCGTGGGAAATTTATTGTAAATCTTACAGCTCAATCAATTTAAATGCCCACCTTCCCTCCAATGACAAGAGAAATCAACAGATTTACCTTTACAAATTATCTAAAATACTCCTCCTTTCTAGGGTACCTATTTAACTGTCAGTGTGTGAATAATCAAGTCACATTGAACATATAGTGTCAATAACCTTCATGTATGTAGGTCAAATGAGACATAAGTGACTGAAGAATGTCTGAATTTTATGCCAAGTTACTACATTTGTTAATTAGTTATCAACATAAATATTGTATTTTCTTTCTTTAGATTATTGCTTTAATTAAATTAATTGCACAGTTGACAAGGCATGTCAGAGAAAAAAAGTATTGGATAAATTTTCACTAAGGTGGATTTTAGCATCTGTATAGGAGTTGAGAATTAAGGAAGAAAAAGTCTCTCCACTTTTCAGTGTAACCACAACCAATTACTTCAGTAAAACATCCCAGTTCATTTTAATTTAACAACTTTCTATCTTGGTTATATTATATTTTTTTTGTATATATGTATCATTTCAGTTTGTTTGGATGGACATACACCCATTTTCTAAAAGAGGGTCCAGTGGGGAGCTTAACTAGCAGTCCAAAATAGAAGTACATGTACATGTACTATCCTCATTCCAAATAACTAAACAAAATTGAAAATTCCTAATGAGTGAAAAACTGATATGGATCATAGCCTAGCTTTCAAATTCCAAAAAAATATATACATTCAACAATACCAGAAGTAGTGATTTTGATTTTTTACCTTTTTTTCCCTTATATAAATTGTACCCATAAAAGGTACCATTAACACTGCAAGAACACAGATTTTTTTTCTTATGACAAAAATTTGCAAATGTGCTAAAGATATACAGGTTAAATGACTTGATTTCTCAAATAAAAAAAAAAAGCTTTCTTTTTGTCTTTTTTCTCCCAATTCTAGAGCTATATTCATATATGATGGAGAAAAATCCCTGAATGCATCATAACAACTATGCTAACATACTTATCAACTTTTCTTCTTAATATGTACATCAACTTTTCTTCTTAATATGTACTTCATCTTTGTATTTGCTCAGATTCTAAATGCCTCATTCCATTGTACAATGAAAAAAACTTGCACACCTTAGGGCTACACTTTGTTCTTAAACCTAACAACCAGGATGTATTTTCTAGTTCTCTGATTAATAAACAGCAGCTTGGCACCGACAGTGAGAACATCCATAAAATTTGTGAATTTATTGATTTTGTCAATTTTTCACCAATATGGAATTCTTCGCCGATTTGTTATTTTATGTAGACAAGTATATGTTGATTGGTGTATATATAAGGTCTGACTGTCATAGCCTGTACACTTCCATTATTCTTAAGGGGGGGGGGGGGGGGGCACCTGTTTGGTAACCATGGTAACTTGCCCTGAGTCCAGTGTGGAGTCCAGTGTAAGACAGTCCAAAATAGTCCTTCTCCACCAGATCCAAGTGTTCACACACTTTGTCGAAAAGAATCTGACCGACTGCGCGTTTCTAAGGAATACAAGAAAATTTATCTAAATTTTTTTTTCTACAAACATGAAAGAGGAAAACAAAAACATAAGCCAAAACAATATAAGTTATTTTACAGATGTATTTCCTCCTTATTATACTGCACTAGTGCAACTTACATCAATGGACAATGTTCCTCTGCATATAAGAAATTCACATATCGAAACTCCTTTTGATATATTTTGTTTACTTTGCTTCCTGTGACATTATATGTGTTTTATATTTTACTATACTTACATCAACATCTATTTCGAATAGTTTTCCGTCGAGGAGAAGGACTCTGCAGATGACGGAACGAGCTGTGCGGACCTGCGCAATTCTTCTGTTATCTCCCATTTCTGAAATGTCCACACGCCAAAATAAAATACATAGACCTCAGTACATCCATTTTTTCAATAGTACACCCTCTCAATTTTTTTTTTAAGAAAAACATTATTTCCAATAGGAACATGATCAAATGTTTACAGTTAGTATTTTCTATTATCATAGTGTGAATGTCATTACATCAGCATTGTGTAGTACTAATATTTGTTTTTGATAAATTGAGCTATGGTGTCACAAAATTTAAGATTTTATATTTCAATCTTGCTGCCTGCAGTTGCAAGGCCATGCATTGCAAGGTTTCTGGAAAAGGAGGTGTAGGGAAGGGTCTGAGAGGGTAAAATTCTATCAGAGCCAGAAAATTTTTATAAATGGATACTATTTTAGTGCTTTCTGGTGCATTCTTGAAGTTTTTTTTTTTTACATATAAAATAAACAAAATTTAGCAGTGTTACTTTCAACAAATGAATAATGAATTGAATTTGGTTAAAAATATCCTTGAGAGTTTTTCATAAAAAGAGGGGTGCAATCACACCCAATAGCCCAACCCCCCTCTCTTTCCGATTCCAATGGCCTTGAGTTTCTTAGGATCATCTGAATCACCTCAAACATTTACTGCATGGCTGTACATGTATCCAAAAATCATACTGACTTCATTGTCAAACTCCAATACTTTGGCCTTCCCCTGCATGCCCAACTTACCCAAAGTGTGACAAGAAAATTGGGTGAGAGGTAATTTAACACAAGACAGAACATACATGTATAGTTTTTTTTAGACTATTTCGAGGTAAGTCAATTTAGTGTAAAGGGCAGTAGATTTTTAAATTATTGCAATGAGGAATTTAATTTCAAAGTTAAAGGGTCATTGCCAAAAGACATTAATATATTTTGTACATCCCTGCACCCCTTTCCATATTTATTATTTCTGAAATTAGCTGGAGTACCCTCCCTTGATGAAGATTTTTCTCTTCAAATTTTGTCGTCTTCTCCATTACTGCCTATTACTTCGCAAGGTATTTTGTGAGTACACTGGTAAAAAGCAGATACGTTCTAAAACCACACCCTAGGCCACCCAAACTCAAAAATACAGGAATTGTTTTGATAGTGCTGCAATGCGGAAATCGCTTTCCAGGTGTATCAACGTGCACAGGTAAATTACGAAATTCTTTTGGCAGTTAAGAAATCTTTAGCTTTTTGAAGGCTCTTGCTTTTTTTCTCTTTTAATAACATTTGGTAAACTTACCATCGGTTCTTTTGCTGGTCCGTGTAAACAGTCTTATTTCAGATCATGTCGGTTATCAAAATATCCCAACGCTTAAATTGCAGCGCCACCTAGCTGTCCGTGACGTCATCCCTCAGGTATCAGACAGGTATCATTCAGGTAAATTAGACTTATTAGACATTTCTATGGAATGTACATTTATGAATCATCTTATCAAAGTCTCAGTCGCCAAAAATAAAATAAATAAAATTAAAAAAAAAAAAATAAAATAAAATAAAAAAGCAGGATTATTATTTTCCTTCAACTGTTTATCAATATCATAAAAAAATTAAAAATGTTAATTAACACTTTTTTTTCAGTAAATTGAACGATTCGAAATGAGTTAATTGTTTTGTGAACAATTGGTAGGCAGACGTAAGTTTACAGGCACGTAACCTCTTTTCTCAAGGGGGAGGGGGGAGTTCAGAAATATAACTAACAAAAAAGAGAAGGTAAATCGAAGTTAATTTCACAAAACTCCAAATTCGTACATTGTGGGGGGGGGGGGTCCGACTCTCATGTTACCTACATAAAAAATGGATGTAATGTAACAACGTGCGAGGGCTTATTCATACTGCAATAAAAAGTGGATGAGGGGCACAGGCGCTTTTTTCATACAGTACACTAGTTTACTTCTATATAATAATACGTTGTTATGATTATGTTATTGTATAGTAGTAAACAAGCGTACTGTATGAAACAAGCGCCTGTGGGGACAGGGATGCAGCCGGCCTTTGAGGGAAATTTTCTAAAAAGTAGACAGCAAAAGACTCTTCTCGCAAGGGGGGGGGGGGGCTATCGTACTACAGGGCCTGGTTAAATCTGACATTTAGAGTGTTCAAAATGTCTATTGCGATCATTCACAATTATGCGTTCAATAAGTAATGTTATATATGTGTTACGTTATATATACAGTGGTCATAAATAATTTTGTAACGCGTGTGACACGTCAGGTAGCATGTATACGTTATCCCATTACGGAAAAAAATACACATATTGTACGTTAAATCATACGTTAACACCACAGGTACATGTATGTAGCATCGTCTTTTAATTCAAAGTGCAAGGGGGGGGGGGAATTGATATCTGAAAAAAAAAACTTTGACAAGCACAAAGAAAACCTATTTCCTGGGGGGGGGGGGGGGTGTATTCATTGACTTGCATTCTGTCTATAGTGTAAGTGTATTCAGTATAAGTTAGATTCTGTCCCATATTCAGTAAATTAGATTCTGTCCCTACTGTGGTGCTAGGTTATATTCTGAACTTAGTGTGGTGTTAGTGTATTCAGCATCTTAGATTCTGTCCCTAGTGTTATGTTAGTATTTTCAGTGAGTTAGATTGAGTCAATGTGTGCCATTAGTGAATTCATTGACTTAGATTCTGCCTGTAGTGTGGCGCGGTCCCGTAGGAACAGTTTCACTTTGTGGGGGCACATCCATACATTTTCAGTTGGGGGGGGGGGGGGGCTATCAACATGATCAACTATCAAAAATTCCTTGACAAGCAAAAAAAAGGTCATCAAACTTTATTATTGAGGGGACACAAGCATATAGTAGCTGTTTTCTATAGTATTCTATGTAACGGCAAAATAATTGGGGGGGGGGGGGGACACACCCCCTCCCCTGTTCCTATGGCCATGTGTCATAAGTGTATTCAGTGACATGTTCTGTCCCTACTTTGATGTTAGTGTATTCAGTGACTTAGATTCTGTCTGTAGTGTGATGTTAGTGTATTCAGTGACTGAGATTCTGCCTGTAGTGTGATGTTAGTGTATTCAGTGACTTAGATTCTGTCAGTAGTTTGGCATTAGTGTATTCAGTGACTTAGATTCTGTCTGTAGTGTGGTTGTTAGTGTATTCAGTGACTTGTATTCTGTCTTTAGTGTAGTTGTTAGTGTATTCAGCATTTTTTCTCTGTCCATCAGCAATATTTGAGTATTCTCCAACTTGAGTTGCTATATGGTGGCAGTTTATTCAGTGACTTATTTCTGCATCTAGTCCTTTGTTTTATGCTAAACATGGTGAAAACAAGGTGAGACATATTCGTAGCATTTTTATTTTTCCTCCTTTATGTGAGATAATTTGAATTCATATATTACACCTGTACAAATGGTACACATATGTATACAACTCATTATATCCAACTTTCCTAGACAAGTATAACAATCAAACATATGGAAATGAAATACATAGCCATTTATGAATAAAATGAATTACACTTAAAACAATGAAGGGTAACATAAATACAGGCAACAAGTTTATGACTTTTTTCTTGATTAAGATGACAAACTTTTGTATTGAATACGAAAAATAAGATAATAAAAAGCTTTCTTCACAATTAAAAGTTTTCTCAATAACTAACAACTTTTCTTCCCTGAAAAAGATTTTGAAAAATATAAAAAAAACTTCTCGACATCATCCTAAGGTGCTTGATAAAATTTACAAAGTACATAAAAAGAAAACATAAAATGCATATTGAAAACAGAAGAAAAAATATTGCATGTGAGACTGAACACAAGACAGAAAGGAAACTGAGATCAACTTTAAGAGGAAACAAGAAAACATCCTTATAAAACAAATTTATAATTAACGTGCTGCATCACTTCATTTCATATATGTGTAGTAGTGTTTGAAATACCAGTAAGTTAAAATCAAAATCTTCAATACAAAAAAAAAACTGTTGTCACAAAAATAGCACCTTTGAATTAAAGGCAGATATTTTTTTTTCATTATTTAGCCACACATAGACAAGTTTCCAAATTTTCTCCAAAAACAATATCCACATAAAACACTGTTGAACAGTGCAGATTTCCCTTACGTTAAATAAAAGAGAGCTGGATTCCTATGAGAAATACCATATTGTTTTATTTTTAATGACAAGATTAAAAGGCAACTTCATTGAGGTTAACAGTCCCTGAGGTACAGAGTTCATCCATGTCTTGAATCAGAAGGTAGCGCTTCAGAGACTCTGGAATGGGATAGGGTAATTCCTCGATAGCTGCTGGAACAGGACAGGTTACGTGTTGTCGGAACGAGGCCCGCGAGAGGTGTACAAGTGATAGGGGTGTCTTCATCTGCTGTATCAACCACTTACCCAGGTGTGGACAGGACCTGGAAATGTGGTACACATTAGATCTCCGCCACACCCAGCCTGCCGCGATGGTGTACATGATCAGTTTGTAAAACGTGTTGAATTTATTCCTGCGGGACTGCCAGTAGGATTCCATGTAATAAAACATCGAGTTCACGATAAACTCCAGCTCTGATGGAGGAGCAATCTTTAACAATTTAATGCTAAAATCTGACATGTTCATAAAAATGGGATCAATAGGGTCCACATAGATGGGTTGATGACGATGTAATTTCTGAAGAAGGAGTTCATGAAACATGGTTGAATTTGAACACTCCAGGGCTGCAGCAATGAGATTATGTAGAAACTGATCATCCTGGTACTTAAAAGCTGTCCGCACTATGTACATCATGGCATCTTTACACATAGGTTCTGCATTAGCCCTCATCAACAGCTTGATTATTTCCCAACAAATGGAATGTCTTGGTTCCAGACGATTGTCAAAAGCAGTTATTAGGGCCATATCAAAGGCAGAACAATTGTTAACATTGAGGCAGTTCTTCAAACACGACTCACAGTTCACTATCACTTGGACACACTCTATGTGGCTCAGTTTAACAGCTAGGATAAGTGCTGTTTCTTTTTTCTCATTGAGTTCTACATTTACATCAGCTTTAGTTAGACTAATAAACTTTTCTAATTCTTCATGGTCATTATTTATGATTAAATTTTCTAGTTGGAGGGCTGTAGAAGACTGGGCAGAGTTGTTTTCTCCTGGGTTTTTTTCCACCAGGTGGGGCTCTGTTAGATTTGGCATGCAGTGAGTTGGCCAGAGACTGTGACCTTTGACATTGTGATTACCCATAATCCAGCCCACCCATCTGAAACAAATTAGCAATCAATATGAAGACAAATTCGTACATCAGAAACCCAGAGGTCTCTGATAAGATGGTAACTCTACCATGTCTACTGGTCTAAACTTATCATAATTTAGGAGAAATGTTTAACTTATTTGATGTATTTTGTTTTTGAATTTTACTAGTTTCTCTGTGAAGACACAACATTCTTCTTTTAAATCAGACTAAAAAGAGAAACATAATAAGATATTCTTAAGTACCAGTACTAGTTTGCTACAATCATAAATTTATGCACTGAGATATGATCTAGATGTACCTCTATTTGTATTACAGTGAAACTTGGCTACAATGAAGTCACTGGGACCTCGAATTCAACTTCCTTAAAACTGAGATTCCTTATATCCATAAAGAGAACATAGTAACAAGAGGCCCATGGGACACACGCTTGTTTGAGTCAATATGGCCAGATGATTTTTTTCTCCTATATATTCCTATGTAAAACTTTGATCCCCTGTTGTGACCCCACACTATCCCCAGGCATCATGATTTGGAACAAAGCTGAATCTACACTACCTGAGTATGCTTCCATATCAGTATGACTATGGTTTTGTTGTTCTTGAAAAGAAGATTTTTAAAGATTTCTTCCTTTATATTTTTTGATCCCCCATTGTGGCCCTACCATACCTCCAGGTGTCATGATTTGAACAAATTTGAATCTTACTACCAGTATACATGTAGTAGTAGTACATATGTATGAAGCTTTCACACTTTTCTGGCCCAGTGGTTCTTGAGATGATTTTTAAAAGATGCCAACAAATTTTCACTAATTCTTAACTGTAATTATCTATAGCTACCCTGGGAAAAGGCTGTGACCCTTCAATTGAAAAACTTAAATCCCCTTCAATCAAGAATGCTTTGTGGTATGACCCAATGGTTCTGGAGAAGAAGTACCTGGTAACAAATGTAAAAAGTTTACACAGAGACGGATAAAATGTGATCAGAAAAGCTCATTTGAGTTTTCAGCTCAGGTGAGCTAAAAAGTCGCCAAGGGGGTTCATAAAAAAATTCTTTAAAACCGAGATTTCCTTATTTAACTGAGTTCTTTATAACTGATGTTTTACTGTAATTTTATTGGTACGAAGCTAAAACTGAAGGCATACGAAATTTCTAACATTACCCTATTTTCAATGACCTTGGTAACACCATTCATCCAAATCAAAAAGTTAAAAAGGTTAAAAAACTTAAAAGTTAAAAGGTTTAGAGAATCTCATAAATCCTTTAAATAAATGAATCATGAACAAGGCAAAAATACAGATCCCTGAAATTTTACTTACATCATTCAGTTGACAAATTTGGTAAATGTTCTAAGAAGAGTAGTGATGACTTTATGAATCAATCCTTGCACAGATGTCAGCCAGCTTAGTGGACAAAATTGTGGACAACCTCACCTATAATAAACAACCTATAATAAAAAAGAAGTGTCCATGAAACAAAAATAATGCCAGCAGAATTTCTTATTTGAGTTTGATCTTGACCTTCACAGTACATGAATATTAGAGTACAGCAAAAAAAATATGGCTGTTATGTTTACAGTTGTCAAGGTCAAGTCACGAAGAAGCAGTGAAACAGACAGACATGCAAGCCACTGAAAACTGAATTTAATACCCAGGATTCAAATAGCCTGGAGGGGATTTAAAAGGTTTTTTTTTCTAAAATGGAATTCAAATTATCAATGCTATTAACTGAATAAGCTTTTCTTGATGTTTTTAGCTACTTTATTTGGTAAGCTCAATTTTTACTGATAGCTGGACTTACAGACAAACAATAAGATGATGTATGCTTAAGGAAGCTCTAAAAACTAATGAAAAATGTTTTTTGGACTTTGAGAAAATTCACTGTATCATTTAAAGGTGCACATACTGAGTTTATCTACCTCATTTTCAACATAGAGTACATGCTATATTTCTCCAGGAAAAATGTTCAAAGACAATGAAGTACAAGAGAATACATGCAAAAATGTTCTTTAATTACTTTATCTTAATACGTTCCATTTCCACTATGGAAGAGTTATACTTCTTAGTGCGCTTTTTTGTGAAAAAGTCGGAAAATGTACAAATCTCGCGGGATTTCTGGGACAAACGTAACGTAAACGTAAACAATATGTTGAATGTCGATGAACAAATCCTAAGAAAATGCAAATGAAATATTTTATTGTTCTGGACTTTATATACATCAAGAGTAGGAATGACAACGATATCAATTTATATCTATTGTTGATCGTATGTATCTATTTATCGTATGGTACATCTAAATACAATACACATGCCTCGGAAATATCGTATTTTTTATTAATGGATGATAAATTTAGGGTTCTTGCTCTGTTACATATGTCTTTTAGTTCTTCTATTCTTTAATTGGAATGACAAATACATTTAACATTTAAAACTGGATTGAGATTGGCATGTTTTGTATTATCCGCTGTCCCAGTCAGACGACCAAACACGCCTCTAATTTTGAAGAGTTCACTAATGGAAATAGAACGTATTGATCTGTATACTGTTAGGAAGACAATTATCTGTTTCAAATTGTGTCATTTACTGTACATTTGTTCATCAAAGGGTAGATCACTCTAACTGCAGAAAACTACCAGGTAATTAGAATTCTTTGGTGAGCAGTGTTTAGAGCTTCCTTAACATTTTGTTTGTAGTAAACAATATTCGCACCAACTTAACTCGGTGAAACTTAACTGATTTCTCTTCGATAACACTTTCTCTATTGTGAAATATACAGTGTATGTCACTGTTACTTTGTATATGTTTTGGTACATGTAATAACTTTTTAATGAGGGATAATATGGATTAATATTTCACATGCATTACCTGTGACAAAACCTTTCAGAATGTACAGATATCCAACAAAAATACATATGTCTAATGCTTAGCAAATGAAAATATAATTTGTCTGAACATTTAACATCTTTACTTAGCCATTTAAGAAATAATGTTCGTGTTTTTGTGAATATTGCAGGATAATCTCCGAGGTTGAGAAATGTTGTTCGAAATATAAAAGCTGAGGCAACAACATTTCGAGACCGACGAGATTATCTTGCATCATTCAAGACAACAAGGACTTTATTTCTATTCTAATGACAGTGCTAAATACGGCTGATCATTTCCGCTATAAAGAAACGAATAAGGTCACCATGTGGCATTTCACTGTTCCATTTAACACCAGAGGATAAATTTTTTTGTTTATTAGTGTATCAATTGCATAGAATGCAGACGATTTGAGCTTTTGTTGGGTTAAAAAAATCTTTTAATTATTCATAAATTTGTTTGTAACATATATCAGTTTTTATGAATGTAAAATAACAAAATCAGTTGTCTAATTCATTGCATTATCAGTAAAATTACAGAGTGTATATGTTGTGGGGAGGTCCGTGGAACACCCCAGCTTAGCAATAAAAAACAACATTTATCAGCTGTTTTAAGCAATACACACTCTATAGACTGCGGAAGACAACACATCGATATGGTCTTAACAAGTATTAGATTCTACAGTGAAATATTCATTTAAACTGTACAGGTTTGAATCAAATGACTTCAAATTGTACAAAATTTAAATGTAACGTCAGGCAGATCGATGGGTTTTTAACGCAAGTCATTGTGACGTAGGCAACCCAATTTATATGATTTAAAGTAAATTTTTTATCCAATCAGATGGCATCTTACAATCAGAATTAAATTATTGGAGAATAATGTCTGCGGCATCTCTTTGATCTCTGCAATAACTGTAGTAGAATTTATAGTGTTAATTGTATATGCCTATATAAATTTTAATGCCACATATTCAATCCTTTTTTTTAAATTTCTGAATCAAACAAAGAAAATAATTAAACAGATGCTTCTTTTTTCAGAAAACTGCCTATAAAAGAATTATAGCTTTCATAGTGCTTTCTGTAAATGAATTATATAGACACACACAAAAATTATTTATAACAATTTTGCTCAACTCTACCAACTTTGTGATCCCGAGATTTTGCAAAAATGACAATTGATGCTGCATACAAAAGGTATCAAGATTTATTTCTTATTTATATGAATTGTAATTTCTTTGGGCTTTCCATGTGAATTTAGTAATGACATGTTTTTGAACTACTGCAAATAAACTAAATCAGCTGTATATAGGTCAATCCACATTTTGCAAAGTTGTGTACCTTTGCAGGGTCAACTAAAAGGTCAAAAGGGAATAAAATGTTTTTTCTTCTTCATGCTACCAAACCTTTGGATGTTCCGTGATAAATTCTATGTCTTTCGATGCATGAGTAACCCCATCCTGAGGCAAACAAAATATAATAAAAATGGTATTTTAATAAATGTTAAATGACAAAGGCTACTGTGAGGACTATATGGATTTTCCCCAGAGATGGGACCAAGGGACATAACTTTTGAAAAGCGTGTATTCAACTACACAGATTACTGTATACTGCTTTACTTATAAATAAGACAAGGCATTCCTGTTGCATAATATGCAATGAAACAGCATGCTTTTAACAATTGACTGTGCATAACTTAAGGTATAAATCTTTGGGGACGTATTGCAGGGTAAACGAATAACCCCTCAATCAAAGCAAACACTCAAAACGTGCAATCACTGACTTTACCTAAAGTTTGACAGCTGTTGGGAATGTTGAATGTTTGCTTGGTTCTTTTTTTTCTTACATGGAGAACCAGTTTAGTTACTTAAAAAAAGAAAGCTATCGATGGGATTTAATAACTCCGGATACATGAATTAATTCAAATAAAACAAGAAAAAAATCATATTAAAATGTCATTTCGGTAATTACGTGTATATATTTTTTTAGTTGTTAAACACGATTATTGAAAGTGAAATATTCTAGGGAGAAATTATACAAAGTCTTGACATTTGACAATGAACCAATTGTGGTACAAATTACTAATACACGTGGAATTTTTTGCAAACTTCCGGTAAAATAATGGAAGAAGAAAGCCAGAGAGAAGATGCAAGAAAATTAAGATCAAACGTCTCGTCACAGAAGTCAACAGATGATGAAAATTCTAATTCTAATGACGGAAAAAATGATGAGTTGTCAGTAAGTACACATCCCCCCTAATGCAATGGATATGTCATTAAAAATCCGTATGTTTTTAGAGGAAATTCAAGTTAAGTGGGATTTAACAAGTGAAACTAATCCACTAAATGAGAGTTGCAGTCTTACTTGAATTTTGGAATTCCAAGAAATTGTATGCAATTAATTAAATCAAAAGGCAAGTCTTAAATTCCAAAATGACTTTTATGAATTAAATAAAATACAGAAATCAAATGTGAAAATATTTATATGTCAGTTTGTGATCAGAAGTCTAAGTAGGTAAACTTGTTGCTTATGACTTTCCTGCAAGTTATGAATTTTATTTAAATTTTTTTTGGGGGGAGGGGGTGTTCTCAAAGAATGTATTCTTGGACTGGCATGCCAGAGGCCCTGGGTTCAATCCCCAGCAGAGGTACATAAATGTCTCTGTTACATTTGGCCCCCATGTTGGGACAACTCATGCTCACGCAAAGTCACACGTTGAAAGGCGAGATATCATGGTGTATGTAATTTTGCCTTCTGACACCAAATTTCTGTTTTGTTTCCATCAGAATTACAGAAAGGATGTTGGTCCAATAAGAAGTGGTACTGACTCATGGTAATTAAGAAGTCTCATTCACAATGAGAAATAAACACTCAATTGTCTCTGGTGCATCAGAAATGCCTTCAGCTTGTAGGTCACATGATACAACACTATGATGTGGCAATTCAGTACCATCAGCACACTCAGGTGTAAGTAGACATTCAACTAGATGCAATGGAATATCCTATACAATGTTTTTCCTAAGAACTGGCTACTGGCCAAATTGTCTGCTTCAATTGATAAAAATGCTACTTTGAAATAGAAAAATGAAAATTTATGTTGTAAGGTCCTCAGGGATTTGTCATAAACCTCAACCCAAAGCCTGTTAAAATTGATCTCTAACCCTTTACTTTAAAATAAAGGGAAAACACTGCTATAGATAAGTATGATAAAACTTGTGAGTTACAGTCAACACAGCAGTATCAATGAGTGTCTGTGTCATCACACCCTGTACACACACTTCCATTTCATTAGATAACCCAGCAAGAGTTGCATTCTGTCTTGAAATGGGTTTCCTAGTCCCATATGGAATAAGATCATGTAGAAGTCTTGAATGATCTAGTCTAACATGGCAATTTGTGTCTAAGTGGCCATATTGTCCACATCTAATGCATAAAATTTGTGAGTAAGTTTCAGTGGGACAAGATTCTTCCTTAGAGCCTCTAATTTGTTCCTCATTAGTGGCTTCTATTGGATTAATGGGTCAGACGGGTTCAATCGCCAGTGTCCAGATAGCTCAGTTGGTAGAGCACCTAACTGGAGATTCAGGGGACCTGCAGTGGGTTTAAATCCCAGTCTGGTCCACTGCATTTTTCTCCTCTTAACAGCACAAGCATTGATGTAGCAAGGTCAAACATTTAAGCACAGATGAGGCTGCAGCAATGTGTACACCAGGTCAAATGCTCCCTGCATTAATTTTAGCCTGGTAACACAACCTCTATTTATAGAATGTGGCACTGACAGGGGGACTTGATAAAAACCTTTTGCATATTTTAACCAATTACATGTATAAGTCAATTGAAGAACGTAGGGGAAATTACATTACCATTAAGGATTATTTGTTTAGAAAATTCTTCATTTTACTTTGTTTGATTCAGTGTTTGTGTTGTCTCAACAGTGGTTTAGAGTAGACACTATATTTCTTAGTGTAAATATAATGTGGGTGTGAAGCATCAGCATATCAGCATGTGACAAAAGCTGATTATTGCTCTACAAGCAAATTGCCCGGCTGAAAATGATATTTATAATTTTCTGAATTACTTAGAAATGTTTGATCTTTACAGAGTAAACACCTAAAGATGTTAAAGTTTAGGAATCCAGGGAAGTTTATGGAAGATTTCGATCCAGAAAGAAGTGCACGAGAGATGAGAAAAATGAATAGGAGGATATACAGAGAAAAGTAAGCTAAAGATACGTAGAAAAAAAAATATATATATAAAGATTAAATACAGGAAAGAAAGCTTTAAGATATTTAGAGAAAAGTAAGCTAAAGAATATAAATATATTCTAATACAATTTATCAAAATAAGTAAGAAAATAGAAGGGTATATATAGAAAAGTACTGGGTAGGCTATTTAGAGATCAATTAATGTATTTTATCTCATCAACAATTGCTTACACTTGATCTGTTAATATAATTTTAGAGGTAATAGTCTAGTAGAATTATTAGTAATGAAGAAACATCCTGAATGATAATCAGTCTTTTTCTTTCTCCAGCAAGAATATATTGCTTTTTTATCATATGAACTTCTTAATTTATGAAGAAATCCATTTTATTATGAAATACTTGATAAAATCATATTTCCAAAAATACATTCTTAAGTTATGATTGCCTGAATAATTACATTAAACCCATATCTTTCCTGTTTTCCTTCAGCATTAAAAAGAACCAAGTGTATGATGAGAATGGAATACTGCTGGAGAACAGTCAGGATTTGTGTGACTGTTTAGACCTCTCCTGTAAAGGTTGCCACTTTCCTTGTCCTAAATGTGGCTCCCAGAAATGTGGCACCGAGTGTCGATGTGGAAGAAAGTGGATTTACGAACATGTGGAAGTGGAGGGCACAAATCTTATTTTAAAATGGCCGACAGGGGAGAACAAATGGTGATCCTCGTTAATGCTCAGATAATACAGTCAATGTCAAGGCAGCATTCTTCACATTAAGTTTATATTGTCAGTGTTAACTCGTATCAAGAAGCTCAGTATTACAAAAGAGATAATGAGTGATTATAACTTTATTAAAACTTTTGTATGTCTCAAAGTCTGGTCATTATGTCAGGCCATTGTTATATTGCTTTCCTCAGAAACAAAAAAGACAATACTGATTATTTGTGGAATGTCTTTATTGTGGAATCCAAATGTCCTATAAGAAATGGCATACATTGACATATTTCAGAACATAATACACATAGCGGTACTTGCATTTGATGCATGAAAATGTGTAACAAGTAAACATTCCAGGGAATGGCTGATTTAGGTCTAAAATTTTGCCTCAAACTAAAGGTGTTAGTCATTCTTATGAATACTAAGTATAAATCATCTGAATTCAAAATTTTCTTTTGGAATTGTTTTTCCACATTTTAGTAAGTTGATGATGCATCTATCTTTTTGTGAATATATGGTAAGGACATGAACTACAATGGTATCATTAGAATATTCATCATCATTGTTTATAAATTACATGTGTATACTTTTAACATTGTAAGCAAAATTCATTTTGAAAGCAAAACTAATAAATGCATAAATTTTGTTGTATGGCTTATATAATGTTCCTGGTAAAAAAATGTTAATGGGATGACTGAAAGACAGCAATGAAAAAAAGTACAACATTTAATTAAGACAAAAGTCAGGGCACTTCTACAGCTTATACATTATGAAGCCGTTGCTCGTAAGAAATTAGAATATCTTAATCAATAAGGCAGCACACAGGAATGTTGTTACAGAAACAGCCATAGTCCATGATGCATCATTGTGAGGATTGGATCCAAGGTCATCTGGCACTACTGAAAGGAAACACAACACTCAATATTTTCATCTTAATGACTCCTGCCTTAAGATTTACTTAGTTACAAATTGAAGAATCAAAAAGCAATTGTTATTCATCACACACAATATCTTTATTTTTTACTAGAAGTTTGAAGGAATCTGAGAAATTTTGATTCCAAAACTACAATATGTACTGAATCTTAGAATTCAGATTCAATTGATTTTGTTTAGGTATAATTTGTATGTTGTAATGTTGTCTACATGTGTTTATGTGGAGTGGTATTGTTTATCAGCTGATTGTGTGTGTGACATACTGCCAATTAGCTGATTCTGTGGTTGTCATGTTGTTTATATACTGATTGCATGGTTGTCATGCTGTTTATAAGTGAATTCTGTGGTTGTCATTTTATCAGCTGATTGGGAAATTGTCATATTCAATATTTATCAGATGATTGTGCATCCTCACAATGTCAAGGTTTTGTGATTTCGGAACTCCACTGTGTTGTGTTCCGAAATCACAAAACCTTGACATTGTGAGGGTGATGATTGTGTGGTTATCATATTGTTTGTCAGCTGATTTGCTGGTTGTTGTATTGTTTGTCAAGTGATGGGAAAGTTATCAGGTTGTTTATCAGCTGTTTTTGTGGTTGTCATGTTGTTTATCAGCTGTTTTTGTGGTTGTCATGTTTATCAATTGATTGTTTAGTTGACATAAAGTTTATTGGCTGATTGTGTGGATGTCTTGTTGTTTATATACTGACTGTGTGGTTGACTTGTTCCTCATCTGATTGTATATAGTTGTCATGTTGTTTGTCAACTGATTTTGAAGTTGTCATGTTGTTTGTCAACTGATTGTGTAATTGTTATGTTGTTTATCAACTGATAGTGTAGTGTCTTGTTGTTTATCAACTGTATATGGTTATCTTGATGTTCATCAGCTGATTGCATGGTTGTCATGTGGTTGTCAACTGATTGTATAGTCATGTTGTTTATCAAATGATTTTGTACTTGACATGTTGTTTATCAGCTGATTGTGCAGTTGTCTGATTGTTTATCAGCTGATTGTGCAGTTGTCTGATTGTTTATCAACTGATTGTGCAGTTGTCTGATTGTTTATCAACTGATTGTGCAGTTGTCTGATTGTTTATCAACTGATTGTGCAGTTGTCTGATTGTTTATCAGCTGATTGTGTGGTTTTATTTGTTTATTGTCTAATTTGGTAGTTGGTTATCAACTGGTTGGGAAATCATGTTCTTTATGACTGATTGTGTGGTTCTTATATTGTTCATTAGCTGATTATGGAGTTGTCATGTTGTTTGTCAACTGAATTGTATGGTTGTCTTGTTTATTTACTAATTGTGTGGCTGAAAGTTTATCAGGTGATTGTGTCGTTTGTCAACTGTTTGTTTGGGTGTCAAAGTTGTTTATCAACTGATCATGTAGTTGTCACGTTGTTTTTCAGCTGATTGTGTAGTTGTTATATTGTTTATATCATTTCCTTATATTTTATTTATTTGTAAGTTAGTTTATGCATATTTTTTTCCTCATGTTGTATTGTGAGTTTTCAACATGTTTTTTGACTTTCTTTGAACACCCCCCCCCCCAAAAAAAAATTTCCCAATATAATTATTTTGTCTACTCACTGGTTGTGTTGGACGTGTCGTTGTTGGCCTGCATGTGGGAGATGGACATAAATAGGACAACAAGTATTAACATTTGACCTCTGAACTCCATTTTTAACAGCAGTGCCCTCTATGATCAGTCAACGAAACTTTTTTTTTTATAATTGTCTGAAACACAGCAGGAAATTAGAGATCTTGGGATATGTTATGCTTTTGCAATGTCAAAAAATATTTTGAATAATGGATTAGAGTTGGTAAGTTGATTTTGATTGGATAGAGCTAGGTTGATATTAATTCGTGTAGAGTGAATTGCTAAAAACAGTGCATTAATACAGGTATTGTAATTATAATGACTTTCAATTAAATAAAATATCATATAGAAATTTTATTTTCGAAAAAGTCTGGAGATGCCAAACTGCATTTTAATTAACAACCTTTTTTCACAAGAACTGGATTAATTTTCAGAATCATCCTAACTTTAAACAAATATATTTGTATGCCTAGTGTTTTCTTCTGGGAACTGTAAGCCGTATAGAACACTTTAAATGTGTATATGAAATATATATATTAATTTAAATTTCTAAAGTGTCTTTGGTTTTGTTTAAAAATTCTTACGTGAAATTTTCTTCTGGAGAACATTGTATTTGTCTTAAATTTTGGATACTTATTCTTAAGGTTCAGAAACCCTCTGCTCACTTATATGAAATGTTATTTTAACCCTTATGATTTTCCAGCAGAAATGTATTTTACAAGTAAAATAAAAACAATTATAGCATAGTTTGCGGGGCAAAATTGGATAAAAAAGACATTTTCAACTTGGCAAATTATAAAGGAATAATAGACATTTATGTTATCAAGAGTTATCTCTCTTTTCAGAGTATCAATGAACCTTAAATATCCATTTTCCAATTATATACAGGGTTATATTGTTTTAAATTTTTATTTTCTGACACTTGTTTCAGACATATGAGTTAAGTATTTTTCTGATTATTTTTTAAAGTTAGTATTTATATACTATAATTTGAACAACTTAGTATTTAAGAATTTTGTAAATCGTACATACCTCTTAGAAGAAAATATTACCGCTGTGTCCTTGTCAAACATTGGGCTAAAATAACGTAAATTGTGATAATAAAGAACTAAGTGGGGCTTCCTTGTTCGAGTGCGAATTTGTGAACAAATCGCCTTTTACCAAAAAATCAATTCTATCGGATAATAATTAATGCGTGGGAAGGGAAAAGGGGTGATACGCAATGTGAATCCTCATTTCATGGTTGCAGATTTATCCCGAAATTTTTGTCAACTTTAAGGTCAGACGACACGTTCCTCAATAATATATAATTTTTTTCCAAGAATTTGTCATTGAACTAACGCTACTTTAACAAATTTCCTCACAAAAAATTGAGGTACCTTACCAGGCATTTAAGCAAGATACCAGGGGGTGTTATTTACTATATAATCCTATTGGAAATCACTAGCATTTCTAATATCACAATTTTTGGGTGTCTTTATCTACTTTAAAAATCATAAGATAATGATAATTATGATCAATTTGTTGTATATTACGAAGAGATACAAAACAGATTTTCGAGCAACGTTTCGTCAGGCCTTAAGTGCTGAATAATTCTTTAAAATGTGATGAACCTGTCATATAATACGGTTTTGCACTTTGCTTACCTAGTAATTGGTATTGAAAATCTTCGTATTTGATATCCTCTTCCGATCATTCCTTTGGGGGAATGACTAAGAATTTTACTTTGAATTTACATATAAATTTATAAAAAGCACTATATGCTCACAATTTGAGCGATCCCCCCCCCCGTTTTCTTCGTTCTGTCCTTCCTAAAAATGACCAGTGTGCTATAGTAGTTGCATGTAGAAATATCATTATTTTTTTATCTTACTCCCCCTTTTCTTATGAAGTGCAATTTAATTATACATTTAATTTAATTATATATTTTTTATTAGATTTGTATAAGATTGTCGTTCAGACAAAGATTAGAGAGAGAAAAAAAAAAGCAAAACAATTAAGGAGATATATGTACATATATGTACACTGGTTATTTACAAATTATGAAATCTTCATATTAGTTCCCTTTGTTGTGAAATCGTAAAGTCAGTAGATTGGTCAATGAATTCATTCTTATAGATGTTATCTCCTCTCATGTTCCGTTACGTGTCCTGCCCCGGGGCCCCCATGTATCACGGTCCCAATAGGTCAGCCCCCAGCATTCACCAGTGACCACCAGAGAGTATTAGAAGGGTAGAGATATTTCAAACTTCCTGAAAGACGGTGTATATCCAGAAACAAAGGTAAAAGCAGTTTTATTGTCTTAAAACGTGTTTCGTAAAACGTTAGAATACACTGAGTGTTTTTGTATATACGTGTTTGGGAATCCGAACTTTGAATTCATTTTTTTTTTCAAATCAAATGGGATTTTATAAGAAGAGGTTTATGATTCATTTGTGACTACTAGCTGTATTATTATTATTCTGAATTGGGAACATTTCAAACGATTGACAACTTCCATCCTATTTCAAAACGAGAATTTGGAGTTTATATGTAATTTTAACATTAATTTACACATTTTAAAGATAAAAGTCTTGAGAACACCGTGAAATAATTCGAAGTAAAGGCAAATTGCCAATTTTAATCATATAAATAAAATTTAAAAATAGACTAATCGAACGATCGGTATAAAAATTTTGCCGACAAATTAAAGAAAAATAGTGAGTGACTGCATTGTTTTATTTGTGGATTGCTTCTTGTCTCTCTCTTTCATTTTTTAATTTTAGATTTTTTTTTTTTTTTGGAAAGGGGGGGTTAAACGATAAAACTATTGATATGAATTAACTTTAGAAGAATTACAATAAAGTTTATGTATTACTCAGTATGATCTATCCCCTTCCAAGATGGATAATTATTTCTACAATTTACATAACTTGAAGAAAATCAGCTTTTTTTCATCTTCTGATTAATTAAGACAAGACATCTGTGATTGGCACCTACACATTTTTATAATAAAATGTAAAATTTTACTAATACACATTGCAAAATAGAAATCCAGAAATGACTGACTCATGTTTCACGTCATAAGCGTGTTTTGCCCATATAGAGAGGAGGAAGCTATTATCGCTGGTTATAGTTTGTTATTGCCTGTTATCTTACTGATATACATATATAGCAATAACACCAGTTAACACGTTACTGATTGGTTAATCACTCGAAAAAAAACCCATTAACACTGTCTTCTGATTGGTCCGTGGTGATAATGAGGCCTCTTAGAAGTAATCATTCATCGGAGTTCATTATATACTCAGTCCTATGGAAGTTACTTTTGAAAAGGACGCAATGTCCATAATTACCCTGATATTGGTATGATTTAAGTTGATCGGATCTGGAATACGTCTGCTAGATAGATTCCAAGTTTGGTGTCCATGTCATTTAAAAAAAAACAACCAAAATATACAAAAATATTAAAACACACATTGAATAGACATGACCGAATGTTCATTATGAGATGTCATTTTAGTATTTTTAAGCCTTTTTCTTACAAACAAAACAACAAATCAAATATTCAAAATTTGATATGAAAAATGAATTTCAAAATAAAAAATTGATATGTAAAATAATATATAAAATCAAGTATTTTCTTTTTACATAAACAAATTTTTGATATCAAAATTCACTTCTTGATACCATACACTAATTTCTGAAAAACAAACATTAACATGTAAAAAATAAATAAATAATAATAATAATAATAATAATAATATCAATTTTACAATTATTTGTTATTTATCAAAACTGAGTTTTTTTCTTGGTCCTATCGAGATCAATACAACGAGGTTTGACTGTATACTAGTATTTAAATGCAATGACTGGTAAATACCGGTCTCATTAATGTACCTGTTTTGTTATAAAAGATAAATTCCAGATCTGCAAATTGTATTTTAAAAGTGGTTTAAAAATGCAAACAAATTATAAGATGAAACAGACTGTCTAACATTTGTACTAATTTTAGAGATTTTATAACCTTATCGAAATGCAATCAAGTGTAAAGGTCATGCGCGGATCTAGAGGGAGGAAGGGGGCCCGGGTCTCCCTTATATTTTCAGATTTATTAAGTTTCTCCGCAAAGTAACGAAAAAATTACCTCTGACCCTCCCTCTCCTTTAGGAAGCACATAGCCCTCGTCATATGATAAGGAGTCATGTATCTGAAGAAAAAGTAGACTTAGTATTAAATAAGTAACTTGTTCTTAACACCCCCTCCCACGAAATAGGTTTTTCAAATTTTGCTTGCAAGTCCGACATTTGTTTGAGTTGGTGTGTACCCCCCCCCCCCTTTCCAACTAGAAAAAAATCCTGGATCCACGCATGAAGATTAATGTGTAATATTTCTGAATGATAAAATAATATATTTTGACGAAACACAGTCAGGATGTGTATATACCTATTCATTTTGACCTTGTTAAGATTAATTTGAGATGCAGGATGGTGTTCTAAATGTACAATGCACAATGATAGGAGTTAGTTTTAAACAAATAAAATGCAGCATTTGTACCACTGATAAAATTTTTATGCACCCGTAATCAAAGATTCGGGGGTATATAGTTTTTGTCCAGTCCGTCCTTCTGTCTAGCTGTCTGTTTGTCCGCAAAAACTTTAACCTTGCCCATAACTTTTGATTGGTTTGATCTATGGCTTTCGTATATCACATGTGTATTCCTTGTGACAGGACCTATCTTTGGATATCAACATATTTGACCCCTTGACCTTGGAGTTTGACCCACTTTTGCAAAAAATTACCCAGCTTTAACATTGGCCGTAACTTTTGAACAGGTGATGCTAGGACTTTCATGTTTCACATGTGTATTCATCGTGACACGGCCTTTCCATGGGTGTAAATATTTTGACCCTTTGACCTTGACCTTAGAGTTTGACCAACTTTTAAAAACTTTAACCTTGGCCATAATTTTTGAACAGTTAGTACTAGGGCTTTCAATTTTCACAAGTATATTCATTGTGATAAGATCTTCCTTTGGATACAAACAGTTTTTACCTTTTGACCTTGGAGTTTGACCTACTTTTGAAAAAATTTAATCATCGCCATAACTTTTGAACAGTTGGTGCTAGGGCTATTATATTTTTCATGTGTATTTCTTCGACAAGGTCTACCCCCTGCGTACATGTACCATTAATATTGACCCTTTGACCTTGGCGTTTGACTCAGTTTTAGAAAACATTAACCTTGACCATAACTTTTGAATGGTTGGTGCTTGGACTTTCATATTTACCATGAATATCCATTTACACAAGGTCTTTCTTTGGGTAACGACATTTTTTATCTCTCGGCCTTGATCTTGGAGTTTGACTTGCATTTGAGAAACTTTAACCTTCGCCATAAGCTGCCATACGGGGGGATTAGTGTTTCAAAAACACATTTTGTTTAACCTAATAATAATTTCATTTTGATAATCCAGGAAAGCTTCTTACTTTTTAGATTACTTTTACAGACCTAGGAATATTTTTTTTACAGAGATCTTATTTATTTCAGATGAAGATAGACCAGATATTGTTGACTGTATGTGTAGTGTTCACAGTTATCCCGCTGTCCTCTGCAGCGCTTCCACTTATAGGTAAGTAACCAAACCAGTATTCCACAATTATATTATTTTTTTTCTCAAACTGAGCAGTCAGACCAAAAAAAGATACATAATACATGGAATCAGAAATTTAGATTTGTAAGAACAGTGTAACATCAAACAGAACACTCTTTTGACATTTTCTCTCTTTCTGTTTTGTAGCCTATGCAGCACCCGCCATTTTCGGATTAGGAATGCTCGGCGGATTCGGCGATAAACTCGGACTTGGAGGGTTATTTGGTCGTAAGAAGAAGGAACCGTCATACAGTCCTCTATTTGGCGGATCTTTTGGTGGTATCAACGCCAATGACATGTCAATGATGTTCATGTCAGGATTTCCACCGACAGGGGGCGCTGGCGGGATGCAAGGAGGGTTTGGTGGAATGCCAGGAGCTCCTGATATGGGTGGAGCTGGGCTTGGATTTGGCGGATCGGGACTTGGGATGGGCGGCCAGGGACTTGGTGGGATGGATATGGGATTAGGTGGTGGCATGGGAGTAGGGGGAGGTATGGGAGTAGGGGGAGGCATGGGATTTGGTAGTCCAAATATGGCCGGAGGATTTGGACAGCAGTCGATGAGTCAAGGGCAATCCAATTTTGGCAGGAGGCGTCGGCGACGCGCCATTAGGTATTTTCAGTGATTGCAGAATTTATAAATGATTGTAAAACGTAAGCTCTATTATTAGTAAAAAAAAAAATAGAAAAATATTTTATCAAACCCTGTCTTTTGTAGGTTGTGATGCAGTCCTTGGCTATCAATAAATGCTGTGATAACTAGTATTTATGCACGATTTTTCATTGTAACAAAATCATTGTCTTTCATGGACAGTTTTTTATTAAACATTTTGTTGAAAGTTTTGTTTGTCTGTTTAGTTCTTCTCAATAAGCTTATCTGTTCAGATTTTGTCCGTCTGCCTGTTATCATTTTACAGACCAGACCTGCCATAAAAAGTAAATGGGTTAAAGGAATTCTTTGTTCAGATCAAGTCCCTTCCAAGAAGTTATAAGGACGGTTATTTTAATGTATACGGATAAAAATACAGGGGATGAAAGTCTTGTTACAGACAAAATGTGAAGCGGTCAACCATACATTTGCTGCAGCTTTCACGTACAAGCATGCAGAACCTGAAATTTCGGGAGACTCTAACGCATCACTTGAACAAGCTAGCTCACAAGTCAAGAGAGGAACTCCATATACTGTCCGCTATTTACAATAAAAATTTGGACGATTCTCCACATAAGCACTGTGCATTACATGCGGATCTAAAGGGATCGGGGTTCGGACCCCCCCCCTTGGAATTATGTACATAGTAAAGTAACTGAAAAATGAACTTGGACCCCTCCCCTTTTAAAAAAAACGTGGACCCCTTTTAAGTTGGTAGGAAAAGTCATACATATGGAGCTTAAGAAGTGAAGCGGCTCAAACCCCCCCCCCCCCTTTCCACAAAATACATGTAGGTTCTTCATATTTTGGAAAGGGGTTTACCTTTTTGTGCTTTTCAACAAATTTCTGGATTGGATTTTTTTTGGACCCCCCCCCCCTGAAAAAAATTTCTGGATCCGCGCCTCCATTTTTTTCCCTGGCATGCACGTCAAATATAAAAAAATCATGAAAAAGCCTAGAAAACGTCAGATATTTCCGAGTATTGTATCTTATGAACTACATTACAAATGTTTCATTGTGTGTAGGCGTTATTTGATTTTGGTTCTCCGCTTTTATTGAAAGTGGGGTACATTAATTTGGTTCTGTCCGTGTCTGTCTGACACTTTCGTTTTCGGACAATATCTCAAAAAGCCTTTTTTTTGCAATAAATTTTTATATCACAAATTAATTTTAATCAGTATTTTATTATGTAAAGTCAGTTTACATAATTGGATTGGACATCAGGCATGGCCTATATAAGTCCTCTCCAAGAAGGTCAAGGTTACAAATGTTAAGAATTGACAATGATTTACAATCATGATGAAATAATTCATAATAAGTTACATTAATTTCTTTTGTTAACTAGAAATGGGAAAAAAGGGAGAGATAGATTAATAAATTCACAAGAGTTATTACTTAGCATGTATACTCACTATACAATATAATGAAAAAATAAAAGAGTGCAAACAAACAACAAAATAGAATAAGTAAACAAATGAAGTGCAAAAGACAAATATGCAAGGAAAAAAAGCAAAGAAAATAATATTAATAATAACAAATAAAAAATTATGGAACAAGCAAAAACATTGGATAATAATAATAATAATAAAAAAGAATGAAAGTGCAAAAGACAAATATCCAAGAAAAAAATACAATATATATACATGGAAATGCTGAGATTTGAAATAAGTATAAATATCAAAAATATTAGGAAATTAATATTAAGACTTAAATATGAAATAATATCAAAATCGCTTTGAAAACTTGATGTATTGTTGGACTGCTTCAAAAATTGAACAGTTATTTTTATCAGGTAATTGCCTATCACCAAATAGCAAAATATTCAAAATTTGATCAGGAGAGAGGGTTTCTAATTCTATTATACTCTGAAGACTGTCAAAAAATATCATTCTCTGATTATTATACGCAGGGCATTCTAAGAAAAAATGATAGTTATCCTCGTTTGGATATCCGCACTTAGTACAAGATGCCATTTCACTTAAATACTGATTTTACAGGTGAGCATTTAGATTACTAGATTCATTACGTAGTTGACAATGTATAATGTTTTCCTTGCGATTACCATAATTAAAGATCTTGACATCCTTTATTCTGTCTATAGTAAGTTTCTTTAAGATATTCTTGAAACTTGAATAAGATTCAATACATTTTGTTTTTAATGGTAAATTGTTCCATAATTGTATAGTAGAAGGCAGAAAACTGTTGAAATATGACACTGTCCTTGCTTGAGGTATGACAAAATTAAAATTACCAATATTCCTAAGATTGTAACCATGATTTGGTGGCATAAGAGGTAGGACCATTTCTTGCAAATAGAGAGGGGCTATACCTTACACAATTTTATAAAATAACAAGAGTTTTTGTCTTTCCCTTCTATTATTTAATGGTTCCCAACCTAATTCTAAATACAGAGCATTTCTGGATGAATTTTTCCTAAGTCCTGTTATTATTCGGGCTGCTTCTACTTGAATATTTTCTAAAAGATTTGAAAGTTCCTGTGAGCAATTATCCCAGACAATGCTACCATATTCTAAAATGGGTCGAATAAAACCAAAATAGACTTTTATCAATGCACTCCTATCTAGCAAATGTTTCAACATTCTTAAAAGATTTAGCCGAGAACAAGCTTTTTCATATAAATTATTTATATGAGATAACCATTTGGCATCATTTTGGAAAAGGAGTCCAAGATGACAGTGTGTTCTAGATTCATTAATAATACTACCATTAAACCCAAAATGGACTGGGGGATGGTCATTCGAACTTCTTGAAAAATTTAAATTACAGGTTTTGGTTGGATTAAAATCCACAGCCCATGTTGAAGCCCATTTATTAATTTTATCTAAGTCAGACGTAAGTGATATTGCTGCTGCATTAACATCATTATCTACAATTATAAACAGTAATGTATCATCTGCAAATAACCTTGTATTATTAGCTAAATTATCAGTTATATCATTAATATACAGGAGGAATAAGAAAGGACCTAGAACAGAACCCTGAGGAACACCTGCAGATATAGATTTAAAATTTGGATAGAACCCATTTAAGGCCACTCTTTGAACTCTGTCATCTAAATAATTTCCAATCCATTTTAATAATGTACCCTGAATACCATAAGATTCTAATTTAAAAAGTAGACCTTTATGCCAAACTTTATCAAAAGCTTTTGAAATATCACAGAAGATAAATCTAACATCACTACCTTTATCTAGGTTTGATATAATCGTATTATAAATTTCCACTAATTCCACCAATATATCACAAATTCCTATGGCATAAAGAAGACCCTATTGATTTTGAGGTCAAAAGGTCAAAGTTCAAAATCAGAAAATCATATATTGCCAAAAAGGTATTTCCACATGATAACTTAAGTTCTCTTTGAGCTTGTTTAATGAAGTTATATATATCATAACTCCTAGTGACTTACATCTTCTCAATGTCAAGGTTTTGTTTTCCTCTACACAAACGATATCACAAAACTTTGACATTGTGAAGATGAGTGACTTAAAGAAGACCCTTTTTGATTTTTAGGCCAAAAGATCAAGGTCAGAAACTCATACAATGCAAAAATTTCCAGATCATAACTGTAGTTCTACCTCAGCATTTTCTATGAGATTTTATATAATTCCGATTTTTTTTTATTTTTATGTCAAAAGGTCAAGATAAAAAAATCATATATCTTGCATAAAAAGGTTACCTGGCCCCAGGATCATGAATCATCTTAAGGTATTCCATCCCTAATAGCCTCAGATTCAATGAATTTGAATACATAACAGATGTGTATGGGTGGAATACGCAGTATATTTAGACATAATTCCCATTTATTAGTCCCCTACCGTTGAAACAGGAGGGGACTATAGGTTTTTACTATTAGCATGCAAGAATGAAACGTGTCCTAATTTATGACCTTGACCTTTGTTGAATAGTTATCTCCCTCTTTTTCTTAAATAATAAAAATCAATTTTAAAAAATCTATACGGTAAAAAAAATTGTTTTCAATTGTCATTCTATTTCTAATGATTTAATGCATCTTTACACCACAGTATTTCTTGATATTCTTATTATTTTAAGTTTTATTTTAAAAAAATCGCTTGTCTCCATAGACTTCAATGCAATTTCTGGTAATTAATTACTGCTTAGTTAATTACATTTTTGAAACATTCTCTTGGTAAATCCCTTTCTACTGTAAAATGCTTTGAATTAATATCAGAGTATTCATCGTGATGGATATTTAAGGATAGAGAATTAGGTCCTATTAGGGATGGAAAACCTTAAGCTTAAGTAAAAATCTTTAAGTTCTATTTAATTTTTGAAATATCAAGCAGAACAAAATTAAAATATATTTCAATATTGCTTTACAAAAGCGTTGTTATCTGCAAATTTGGAGATTAATTAAATAATAAATAAACATTTTACGGGTGATTAAAAATTTGACTTAAGTCTAAGTTTGTCTCATGATCCTGGGGCCAGGTGATAACTCTAGTTCTTTTTTAAGGTTTTGCAGTGATTTTATACTTTTAGTCAACATGGTCAATATGACTTAAAAGACGCCTATTAAAGTCAAAGTCCAAGGTTAGAAATTTTATACATTGTGCACACATTTCGGGTGGTCACTTTAGTTCTTAGTAAGCTTTAGGTCATGAATTTCTTTCACTAAAAAAGATCCTAATTGACTTTAAGGCTAAAAGCTGAAAGGTCAAGGTTGATCTTTTTTCGCCATCTGCAATTTTTTTCAGTTCTTCCACCCTTTTCTCATTTCGCTACGTGATCGGAAGGTCATTTGTTCGATTCACGGCCGCAACTGACCTAAGTCGATAAAAAATACACTGTAGGTAGCAACTGTTCCTTCGCCAAGCGCTCGGCACTTCGAAGTGAAAGTTGCAGGTCTTTCGGATGAGACGTTAAAAACCGAGGCCCCGTGTCACGGTAGGCGTTGGCACAATAGAGAACCCGCAATGGCACTGAGTGCCGAGAAAAGGTCTATATTTGAAGCCCGGCATATAGTGACGACTCTATATGAGTGAAAAATTCTCGACCGGGACGTAAAACAGCATACAACAAGAAAACATTGAT